AGTCAGAGACCGTCTACCACTTACGGACAATCACAACATTCATAGACAAGATAAAAATTTCTCTTGGGATGGGATTCGAACCCGCACAGCGCACGGCGACTGATCAGGAGATCGAAGAGTCTAGTACTGCGGCCACCGCTGCTGCCTGCCTTATTATATTATCAATAAAGTCTTTGTTTGGCCATAATTTTTAGAAATGCTTATTAATAATTATTTGCTAATTTTTTTATCAGTTTAAAGTGTAGTATTTATACATTTTTCTGCAAAGTCTGACTATTTTCTTTAAAAAAAAAGACAGCTTTGTCATCAACCTCCTTAAAATATTTCCACGCGGAATCCTTTCTCCTTCCTGTCATTGCGTTTCTTTTTTTTGTCGATCTTTAATGCACAAAAAACAAAACACACCACCACGCTACGACTTCGCACATTTGACTGCTGAAGATAGCAACGCGAAAAATTACCCAAAGACAAACTGCACTTCCCCGACGTGCACACGTTAGTTTCCCGACGTCCGATTTTAAATTAGGGCTCTGATAGAGCTGGATCAGAAATAGAAAGGGTACCTCATTAACGTTGCTAGATTATATAGGCAATAGTTTTTTTGAATGTTTTAAACATGTATTAACAGTGCTTTGAACGTTTTTTTTTTCAGCTAAATTTGAATGTTTTAAACAAAAAAAAACATGATTTTTTTTAAACATGTTTTTGAAAAAGATCCAGCAGACTACGGGCTCGAACACTTTGTATGTATGCATTATAAAACCAATACGAAATTGATCAAAAACAAATCAGACTACATTTTTATAATTGCGTTGTTTCTCAATTTGTTTCAATTCGCAGTTCACTCGAACTATCTACTCAGATATTACATGCAGATTACTATTGCGGAAAAGCGATGATTACCTGATTGGCGTCGACGTTATTTGCTGTCAAAGAACAGAAATTAATGTAATTATGAGCAAATCTCCATTTCGCCCCGCGATAAAATTACATATCACAATCCGTTTTGATGTCAATCATCGAAAGAGACCAGTAATTGAAAATGAAGTAGTGTAGATCTTAATCAGAGCCAAAAAGACATGAGAAGCTGTAGGGGACCTTTCAGTAGATTATTGTTTTTTATATATGTACTGAAATAGTTGTGAAGGTACAGCCTACCACGACTGTTATATTTTTGAATTACTTATGGTTAGAAGAGCTCGCCGGACAAATTGCTCAACGATTGATTGTCCATTTTCAGGATCACGGGAAGTGCCTTTGAATCGGCATACGATGTGTTTCTCCACTCTCTTCAGTACCGCACTTGTATAAGGCACATTTCGTGGCATTGGGATCCCAGACTAACGGTATTGCGAGGGTGTGGGTGTAATTTCTTGATAGCACGCAGACTCAACATCACAGGTAATTAAATTAAGGCAAAATTACATTATTCTGCATCGATTAAATGATATTGATAGCATTAAATCAATATTCATATGTTACATCAACTTTTTACAGCACGAATCATTTCACTACATGAAATGTTAAATAATGCTTATATAGCATAAGAAATTGCATAATTAATCACACCAGGTGAATTGGGCCAAAAAACCTGAATCATCCTGACTAATATTGTACATGAGAAAGTGTGGATGTTTGTTACTTGATCACCTGAAAATGACTGAATCGATCTGGATAATAATTTGGAACAGAGACAGATTATAGCCTGGAATAGTACATAGGGTACCTTTTATCTCTGGAAATAACTTTGAAATATCTATTTCACTGGATACGACCCAAACGGTTTAATCGAATCAGAATGTCGTTTTCGTTATTTTCATTTCCACCATCTTATTTGATAAACTGTTAATGTCGATGACACAATTTGTTCATTACTATACAGGGTGGCCCATCCATGTGTGGACGGAATATTACTCATAAACAAATACATTTTGGGAAAATCTATTTATGGGATGTTATACGAGTACATGAAATTTGAGGGCACATTTCTAAAATATTGGCCATTACACAGGGTGTCCCAATTTCGACCTACATATCAAAGTTGTGATTTTTTAAATGGAATGCCTCAATTTTTATTTCATGTTTGGATAAACCAATTCAAAAGAAGAATACTGATATAACAAAAGGCTGAGGATTGGCATTTCCATTTTTCACCGTCGCCTACAGCAATTACAGAGAGATTCAGTAAATTAAAACAATTTAAAAAAATGCGATTCATCTTATCTCTAATTTAGTATAGGTAATGTAATGTATAAAATTGAGGTACCATTGTAAATAAAATACAATATTGAATGGTAAGTTCTTAATCTTCAGCTTCAGAAGCTTGTAACTGGAGAAGCACCTTCTTGAATTCCTTTCTGAAACTGCTACTGGAAGTAATTTGGAAAAGTTCTAAATATTTATTCAACAAACAAGGTGCTGTGTAAGTGAAAGGTTTTTTGAATTCAGATGTTACATGGCCTGGGATATTATAACAATTATCGTTTCTTAGAAAAACATGTCGAACAGAGGATATTTTCTCTAAAATATTATACAGATAATTTGGAGATTTATGTCCTAAAACTTTATACAGGGTGTCCCAGAAGTCGACGTCAAGCCGAAACCGGGTGATAGGGAAAGTCATAACAGCTATCAGAAAAATATTTGAAAAAATTTTATGTATGTGTTTTGAAAATTATAGGTCTTTGAAAAAAATATAGAAATTTCACACCCTACGGCAGTCTGTCAACTCCTGTTACTACAAATATTAACTTTTTTTGGATTTTATTTTTACAATGTAATGATGAATAATGCATCTTCAAACTGGTGTCTCAACCTTACTGCCAACTTTTCTCGTTCAGGAAAAATTGCCACTTATTTCCCAACCAAGTATTCCAAAGTAAAACTTTGCTCAACTTTAACTGGCTATACTGGAAAAAAATGTACTACGAGAGTTTGGCAAGTAACCTTAAAAGTTGGCGCATTTAATAAGGATTACAAAATGGTATAACACTTAGAAGATTACTCGTTAACTTATGCACAATTTTTATTTGAAGAAAAACTGATGAAAATTTTTCAAAATTTCCTAATTAAACAGCGATTATGAAAACGCACAAGGACCCTTAAGGATAACTGTTTGCACAACAGTGGGCATCAAAATGCTGCTGATGATGATGATTTACCTTTACAGCAAATGCTCAAACTGTTTTCCTTCAGCCGCAATACACGCTCGACATCTTCTTAAAAAAGATCGGGTTATTAAACGAGCGAATCCACGGTTATTAACAAACTCAGCTGCTTCCAATAGTCTTTGCCGTAGCTCAGCTACATTTTGAATCGGCTTGAAATACAATTTTTCTTTTACAGTTCCCCAATAAACAAAATCTAACGGATTCAAATCTGGTGACCGGGCTGGCCACGGTATTGTACCAGACCGCCCTATCCATCTGCCTGGAAAGTTTTGATCGAGATACTCTCTCACTGGGAGTGCATAGTGCGTTGGGCAGCCATCATGCTCAAACCACATGTCCCTGTAAATACTCAGTGACACGTCCTCCAATAAATTTTCTAAATGATTTTGCAAAAAACCTCAGCAGTGAAAGTCTCTGGGAACTCAAACGGACCGATTATTTTACCATTTAAAATTCCTGTCCAATGGTTTATCTTGAAGCGATATTGAGATTTATCTTCTCTCATCAAATGTGGATTTGCTACGAGCCACTCGTGTAAATTATGCAGGTTCATGTACCCATCTTTCTTAAATGTGGTCTCATCTGACCATAAAATTTTTTCAAAGAACCGTGGATCTTCCCCGTGTCTTTCTAACATTGTGCGACAAAAAGCAACTCGGGGTTCATAATCCCGGGGCAGAAGTGCTTGAACACGCTGTACGTGGTACGGGAAAAGTTGGCAGTAAGGTTGAGACACCAGTTTGAAGATGCATTATTCATCATTACATTGTAAAAATAAAATCCAAAAAAAGTTAATATTTGTAGTAACAGGAGTTGACAGACTGCCGTAGGGTGTGAAATTTCTATATTTCTTTCAAAGACCTATAATTTTCAAAACACATACATAAAATTTTTTTAAATATTTTTTTTGATAGCTGTTATGACTTTGCCTATCACCCGGTTTCGGCTTGACGTCGACTTCTGGGACACCCTGTATAATAGAGCACCATGAAAAAGTAATGAACGGTAGTTATATTTTAAAATGTCTTCTCTCACGTAGTAGCCAGTGATGTGTTCTTCTCTACCTATATCATTAAAACAAAATCTTATGCAACTATTCTGCAAAATCTGAATATTTGTTTTATTTCCTCTGGAAGACAGTTGTAATAGACTGAGACACCATAATCCAAATGTGTAAGGATTAACGTAAACTCGTTTAATTTAATATCACATGTCAGTATGTGTTTATATTTCCAACGCGTTTTATACTTATAATAGCACAATTTGAGTTTATTCATAACATGACATTCAAAACTTAAATTTGTATCTAATAGTATTTTGTTTCCTCTACAATTTGAATAGTGGTATTATCTAAAAGTATATTTGCATTCACTGCCTTATTGAATTTTGGAACAACTAGTCTAGAACCAATACAACAAGCCTTAGTTTTTGTGGGGTTAAGTCCCAGACAATAATTTTTTGAATACCTTGTTATCATTTCTAAATTTGTGTTAAGCTCCCATATAAGGGTATTTGCATCATCTGGTTTACATATATTTGTACATTATCCGTATACAAGTGGATATTCCGACCATATGATATACTCGTATAATCCGTTAGATCTGATGTATAAATGTAATTAGTACAGGGCCTAAAACACTCCCTTGTGGGACACTAGAATTTACTTTTCGTTGAGCGGACATTTTACCATTTCCATGTGTTCCATGTGTGTATGCATAGTCATCCAATGATCATTATTTTCATCTAACAGATTATGACGGACCCTAGTGTTCGTGCCTGAGATATAAAATATGCATTTTTTTGCAGCGCGTCGTCATGTCATCGTACTAAGTGAGATGTTCAGTAATGCTCATACAACGTAAGAAAATGTGTAATCCAGTGTAAACAGCTGCTATTAAAAATCCATGTTTAGCCTAATGGGTCCAATTGGCTACTTTCTATCCATCATAGTCAACGATCATAGTGCCTCGGCAGTTACCGAGAGGATATATATGTGGCTGAGATGCATGATAGGGGGCAATATATATAAAAGCGGTACGGAAATTTTCGTGCAGTTTCCGCTGAAGCTGCACCGTGAAAATGCTAACAAGTAAGTACGAAGTACTTATTTTCGACCTATAATGAATGAGTTGCAGGTGAAGGATGATTTAAATTTTTTAATCTATCCGATAAATTATTTAAATAAAAATACATGAAACGTCGTACAAAGGAATAAATAGAAGCAGTTTTTTATTTCATGTAATTTTGATTTTTTTTTAATTCTGTAACGTAAGTGTAAAATAGTTTGAATATTTCGCGTCATAATATTAATTGATTTGACTACCCTGAGATTCCTTTTCTATATTTCCAAAGTGTTTTACTATTTACAAAATATTATCTGATAAGCTTCCAATTTTACGCATGCAAAAGCTTAGGGGAAAGGTTTCTTAAAAGCACAAAATTTTATTTATTCATACACACTCATAAGTTTATACTCGTATATGAAACGATTAAAACTCGAGTTTGAGAATTGTTTGCGTTTTTAACTGATTTAAAGCCCTGCTCTATAAAAACCGTCGGAAGTAGATATCAAAAAAAAAATTAAATTCGATTTTTTTTAATATTAGTGATGGTACTTCCAAGGATTGTCACTAATTTCGACATTTATTCATTATTTTGTTCATGAGTAGTTTCGTCATTAATATATAAATTAATAAATGTATTTTTCCGCTTAAATGATTAGGTAATATTATTACTAAAATGGGAAAATAGTTGAGACCATTTTTTATGATGAATAAATACTGGAAAGTTTAGATTGAACGCATTTTTATAGTTCTTGATAACTTTAACCCTCGTTTAAGGGATAATAGCTCGTTTCCAGAACAAAGAAACCAATTTAGATTTTTTAAACATTGATTTTCTCAAATATGTAAACAACCATGCCATTTTCCACTTCGCCTATAATAAGCTCCTATCAACTTGAATGTCAATATTCAAGGATACGATTTTTTGGTCTATTTTAAGTAGGACTTCATATTAACGTGTGTCCTAAAAGCCTTAACTTTTGAGATATAGGGAGGTAAAGTTTCCAAAAACAAATCATTTGGCACTTTCCTTGAATTAAAAAAATGAGATATGTATTAATTCATAAGCAGACTTAACTCTTGAATGTTTTTATTCAACTAAAAAAATAAAATCTATTTATCTGTATGGTGATATTGTCGTATTAACGATACTGTAGAGAAACGTGTATATTTTTTTACGCGAATTCGTGAATGGCTTAAAAGTGACAGGTTATTTCAACAATAATGTTCATTTTAAGTGAAAGCAGTGGCGTACCATCATTGTTTGCCAAAATAGGTAGGTGAAATTCCTTATGAATTCCACTGGTGGAATTAAAAAGAAAACTGTGGTACATTGAAAAATGTTTCTTGATACATAGTGTGTCTGCATAATTTCATTAAAACAGATATTAATAGTAAATGAAATATTTTTGAAAACCTTTAAATCTCAAAAGTTGAAGGACGCTTAGGACATACCTTCATATGAAGTTTTGTTCTTAGAATTGACCCAAAGATGTTCCCCTTAAATATGTACACCCTGTGTGATAACTCTAATCACACTACTTAGAAATGAAGTTAAACAGAATTTTTAACTTCTATAAATACGTCCATCATTTAATAACTGATGTAATTCTTATAGCTTATCCAAATAGGCGTTAGTATTTTCTGTAGTTATTAACAACCACACTTGATAATGTTAGGCTGGAGATCTGAATTTTTTTCGTACATGATGATATTCCAAAGATCTAAAGAAGCAAAAAAATATATTTTTACCCGACTGACTCAAAAACGAGGTTATGTTTTTCGCGTATGGATATGTATGTATGTATGGTGACAAAAAATCATATTTCACTGGCTACATACCAAAGGGCTTAATTAAATTTGACATATGCGGTATTGTTGGAATCAGAGTGATGTATTTTTTGCGCTAATTTCAACTTTGGAATTTCTACTTCACGGGCTTAATGGATTTTGACATTTGAGTCGTCGGTCGCGAGCGTTCAGTGTCCCTTTCGAGTAAAAAAGACCCGGCGCGGAATTTGCATCGCACATTCAATCATCATTCGCTTTCTTAACGAAAATTTATAAAATGCGATATGTTTTTTGGCTGTTATTTGATATGTACTTCATGAAAAAGCATGTCACTTATTTCCGTCTGTCTGTTGGTCTGCCCACAAATCTTTGGCCCATCTATAACTTAGAAAGTACTGCTCGAAAAAATTAGGGTATGGGGGCTGTAGAAGGGATGGTGTATCTACGAGCCCCTTCCCACTTCAGTTGGCCCACTTCAAGATTTGTACCAAAATATGCCTTTATAAACTAAACATGACGAAACTATTTACTTCTAAAACAATTTATTTTCTCAAAAACATTTTAGATACACTCTAGTCGTAAAAAATACATAATTGAAATCACTTAGACCTATAACTAATAGAACATCTGAACAAATAAACAATGTGCGAATAAATGCGCGAAGTTAACAAAGCAACAATTGAAATATTACCATTGGGTAACATCACTTTTATTTTTTATTACGGCTGAAATTCTTTGAGGCATAGTGTTAACCAAATTTTGGCAAAAATTTGGTGTAAAACAATCCCATATTTCTTGAAGCTCTTGTCTCAGTTCGGTGATTGTACGAGCAGAATGTTGTCGTAGAACCTTTTTCATCTCGTGTCACAAAGTTTCAATAGGTGACAGATCTGTACTGCTGGACACCCATTTCAAAAGTGGTACATTATTTTCTTCCATCCATTTTATAGGCTTTTTTGAGGTATGGCACGCTGCACCATCTTGCTGAAACACAAAATCTTGGCCGGATGTCAAACATTCTTCCATCACTGGTAAAAGCGATTCTTCTAAAATTGCCAAATATTTATTTGTATCCACATTTCCATCAATAAAATGAATTTTTCCTACTCCTTTTGATGACATACTGTCCCAGACCATAATGGATGCTGGGAATTTCACTTTTCTCTTCAGACAGTCAACATGGAATTTTTTTTGCAAATAACTCTACTGCGACTGTCACCAACACAGACTGCGAATCGGGCCTCATCACTCCATTGTATTGCACAGCATTGTTGAGGTGTCCATTGTCTATGTTCTTTAGCCCATCTGAGCCGATTTTTCTTTTGCTGTGGAGTTAATAGTGGCTTTTCATTGGCTTATAAACAAGTTGTGCAACTTTAGGGTTTTTGCTTCACTTTTTTTTATAAGAAAACTTACCTTGCAAGTGCTAAATCCCAGTTTGTGGGCCTCTCTATGAGTTGTGGACCTCGAAATTCTCCTTCCAACAGCGTCACTCCACAGAGCACTTAATTGTAAATAATTGGCACGCCTGTTTTTCACGATTATTCTTCTTAATGCTCTTCGGTCGGCATTTGTGATATTATTTTTTTTCACATATCGTGGCTTAATATTAACTGAACCAGTTTCGTTATATCTTCTAACATTATTTATCACACTGTACCGCGATAAGTCTAACAAAGTTGCAATTTCTCAGTCTGATTTCCGAGAATTAAAAATTTTAATTATCAGTAACCGAATTTTCTCACTAATAACCTTTCCTCTACCCATTTTAAAAACCTTAACGACCCAAAACTATTTTAAACGTATTCTGACAGCTGTGATTAATAAAAACAATTGTCATGGCTTTTATTTTTCACAGCCACCTATGCGTTATAGACTTATTTTGCATTGAAATGAAAATAGGTTGATATGCTGTAATTGCAACATGTGTTATTTTTATGCTGCAAATTTGATTAGGGAGTGATAAAGTTGGTGTTTTCTACTATATATTATCAAAATATTCATTGTTAATATTTTAAACCTATAATACCCTGCTACATTTTTATTATTTGTGTTTGATAAGAAAAAAACTAAGATTTCAATAGTTGGGCCAACTGAAGTGGGAAGGGGCTCGTATGTTTTTTGATGTTAAAGTAAAACATACGCGGGATGCGCGATTTTAAGATATACAGGGTGTTCCTTAATGATATGCGAATATTTAAGGGTGTGAATCTACATAAAAAATAATGTCAGTTTGCTTTGTAAACTATGGTCCAAAAATGTTACCTTACAAAAACTCGGGGTGTTGAAGTTTTAGGAAAAAAATGGAAATTAATTAATATTTCCAGAACCGCTTCTCCGTACGGGTATTGACTTCGATATTTTTTAAGAAAAAAATGGTACGCCAATGGTTTTTGCCAAATAAAAATAATTTTTTAATTCCTCGTTCAATTTAAAACAAATGATCTCTCTTGAATTGTTGCTCACCATTACCGTCGGCTAGGCCATATACGTAATGCATTTACGCCATTTCTGCATTTGAATAATTCATCATTATTAACAAGATTGTAAAAACTAAATAATGAAAAAGATACCACAGCGAACAGATTTGAATAACATAGACTTGTCAGATGTCAAAAGTCAATGACATATTCCAGAGCAACTAGATATTTATTGCTAAGTTGCATTCTTCAATTGTCACATTAATTTCCTCGGACAATAGAACGGTTTTTATTTTTTTACTCAAAAATGGCGCATCGAAGGAAAACAATTCGAGAGAGATCATTTATTATAAATTGGACCGGGAATTCAAAAATAATTTTTATTTGGCCAAAAACCATTGGCGTATCATTTTTTTCTTAATAAAAATATCGAAGTCAATACTGGTACGCACGCCACTGTTAAATCTAAAACTTAGTTTTGCATTGAAAAATATGCAGTTTTATTAACTCTCGCTACGTACTAAATATGATTGAAATATCTGAAGCGGTTCTGAAAATATTAATTAATTTCCACTTTTTTCCTAAAACTTCAACACCTCGAGTTTTGTAAGGAAACATTTTTGGACCATAGTTTATAAAGCAAACTAACATTAATTTTTCATGTAGATTCACATCCTTAAATATTCGCATATCATTAAGGAACACCCTGTATTCGGGCATTATGCTTGGAGTGCAATTTAATGAAGAAATGTGGCTAGCATGTATGGACACAAAATATTGTACAAATATTTCTGACAGCACCTACGTCTTTTTGATGTCATTGCACTACATGAAAAATTGTACTAGAAGTTGATTCGAAAGCATGAGAAGTACATATCAAGTATACGTATTTTTTAAATATAGCTTTATCCATTTTGCCGCAGCAGTCGCCAACGTCCTAGTGGTGGTTGCTTTAGCTCAAATCTGCTTCGCTACAATCAAGTTGCAGGAGCATTTCGAATGGAATATTCTGGACTTTGACTACGCCGACGAAAATACTAAAATCAGGGATCTCATCACCGGAAAATATAAACCGGAGAACAGCTTACCCGTAGGAATTGAAATATGGAAAGATAAGTTCTTTGTTACTGTGCCACGGTGGAAAGAAGGTAAACAAACTACAAAGTATGCGCTAAGCTTCGTGGGATGATTCCTTAAATGATTTTTCAAAAATATTTCGTTGAGGTGCGTATCTTGTATCTTGTATGACGATACTACGAGTATAACCTCCTATAGAGACTTTTGGTTGAACTCCACGAACACTGTAATGAATCGATATTGACAAAAAATGTGTTAATGATATGTCTGAAAATGTAGACGATTCTAATCAATTACCAAAGAAATCATAAAATCATGTTGGCGTCTGACGGAAACTGATATCTATTAATTAAGCTTGAACTCCTGTAACACAAAAACCCCGATATTAGGACCACAGTGCAATGGAAACTTTTAATCACGTTGATATGGAAAAAACATACTAAAATGTCAGTCAATTTGATTAGGAGCCATAAAGAATGTGCCATCTCTCTAAAATTGTTTAAATTATTATTACGATTTTTACGAAAAAGCAAAATGCCAAAACAAGTTTCAGCGTCTACCACTGTATCATGAAGACCCAGTACGAGGGATGTCTTTTAAGTTTTGCATATGGAAGTAAAACAACACGGTAGGTAGTTTTAAATGACTCTATTGTTTTTCGAAGTATTCTCCACGAAGATTAATACACATCTGCATGCGCTTGAATCAATTTTCGAAGCACTTATTTCACTCGTCCGCTGGCAGATCGATCCAAAACGGCATTTTGAATGCGTCAACTGCTTCTTCTGGTGACTGGAACCTTTGACCACGCAGTCTGTTTTTAATTTTCGGGAAAGGTAAGAAATCGTTAGGACTAAGATCGGGAATATATGGAGGATGGTCTAATAATTCCACGTTTCCTTCGTTAAATACTGCCTTGTATTTTGGGCTGTGTGCGAGCTTGCATTGTCTTGGTGGAGGATGATTCTTCTTTCGGGGTTGATTTTTCGAAGCTCGGTGATGACTTTTGGCAAACAAATGATGGTATACCAATCCGCAGTAACAGTTCTTTGCTCATTAAGAGGAATTGCTGCAATATGACCCACTTTTGACACAAAATGTCGTGACCATCTTTTTCGAAACACTTCGAGAACGAATGACTTTCTTCACCTTGGAACATCCAAACAGCCGACTGTCGTTTATTTTCTGGTTCATAACAGTAAATCCACGATTCATCACCACTAACAATGCTGTACACTTTTTTTGAGTTTCCGGAATTGAAACGGTCAAGCGTTTTTTGACACTAATTAACCCTGGCTGCTTTCTGCTCTTCAGTCAACAGGTGGGGTATCCAACGAGAAACTAATTTTCTCACTCCTAATTCTTCATGTAACATTTTTTGAATTGAGGTCTTTGAGATCTTCAAGGACGCCTCAATCTCGCGATATGTCACATGCCTATCTTCAATGATGAGTTTTCGCACAGCATCGACGTTTTCCTGGGTGACTGCCGTTTTTGGTGCACCCACCCTGGGATCGTCGCTAAGACTCACCCGTCCACGTTTGAATTCTCCATACCAACGGGAAATTGTCGACTGATGTGGCGCTTCGTTGCCGAAAACAGACAGTAACTCAGCAAGGCATTCTTGTTGCGATAATTGTCTCTGAAAGTTGTAATAAATTATGGCGCGAAAATGTTCTCGGTTGACTTCCATTTTTCTAATGACTTGATGACACTTAAAAATTCACTGTAGTGAGAACACTACACGTATTGTTGTGAACCTTTGAATGTAAGTTTACTAAAGAGTGAGGTTAAAATTCAGTACTGACGTTCGATCCGCGCGACCTACTATGTTTCTATATGCAAAGACATCCCTCGTATTGCTGAACCCGAGAGAGTTGTTCTAAGAATTGCCCAATGAAATTTGGCCAGACACCTTAGTAAAAACGTGTACATCATATCATACCATCGGTTTGTGGAATAAATTTTACATGACACAATTCAGCATGAGCCTGTCTATAATTAGTTAATATGAATTTTGGAGCTGCTAATGTCAGTAAAACCTAGGAAACCTCTTCTAGTTCCATATTCTTGAATGAAGAAACGATTAGCCGAAGATTGTCTAGTCTTGCAAATCTCGGATGCGGCATAACGTTGGATGACGGCTCAAAGGAACAAATTCCATCAATACATCGGTAAATAACGGCCAGATTGTCAACTTCCCGTCGATATGGAAAACTTGAGGTCGCTTTGAGGAAGTGTAATCTATTAGTCGGATTGCGCTTCTGGGGATCATCAAGTGTAGCAAGGACTGCAGATCTCCAAGAATAAGATCCCTACATTGGATTTTATGTATGCTCTGAAAGGAGCAAGGAGAAAGATGTACCTCCTAGTTTTAAGCAAGCAACCATTTCTTTCCATTTTTTCAAATGACGAGACATGCTCGTGCTAATTTTCGTCCTCAATAATTTCGAATTGTCTTGTTAGATTATCCATCATGGCAGGATACAGGATGCACACTTATTAATCAAGTGCTTATCTCAAATACTAAGTCTTAAAAGCGCTAAACTGGACGCTAAACCGGTTTATTTTTCAAGGTATTCCATCTACTCTGAACTATGTCCAGCTAAACTCTCTAGTAAAGAATCCAAGTCTTATACCTTACCCAGATCTGAAATCGAATGAACTTGGCAATTGCAAAGAAGGATTGAGCACAGTATACCGGATACATGCAGATAAATGTGACAGACTCTGGGTTCTAGATACAGGTACCTATGGAATTGCGGAAACTATGCAGAGCGTGTGTCCATATGCTATCAACATATTTGATTTGAAGACGAATACGAAGATAAGAAGGTGAGTATCTTTTGAATTTGAAAATAAATTTGGTATATATGTGCTTTTCAAAATCACCACTTTCTCCTAAGCAAGTTCCAAGTTTGGATTTAACTGCAAAATTCTTAAAAGTGAGGTTGTATCGTGTTAGGTTACATGTGAAAATTCGGAACATCCAAGAAATCGAGAAAATTCTTCGTAGTTTATTTTAATTTAATATACAAAGTGTTTCCTTGCTTCATTGATTCCTCCTTTGAAGCTCGATCATGTAGTGTAGGTGCCTTCATGGCTTGGAAAGCTTGGAGTACGAGGAGGTAATATTTAACATTGAGTCGCTGGAATCAGCCTTCGTTCTTTCGTTATTACACCAAATCGTGCCTTTGACCTGTCGCTGTAGGTACCTTTTTTAACTTCTTAGACCAGTTACCTCGATAAGTCTCCTTTTCACGTTACTTTTGTGCTGTCTGAAAATCCGTTGACCGCATCAAGGTAATATATCTTGATGCCAATTTGTGGAAGTTTCTTTTACAACGAAGCAGCCGCTCGGGCAGATGCCTAGACGCCAGAGCTCCGCGGCTTCTATGAGGAGCTTGACATTTTTTTGTTAATCTGGCCGAAGGTTAGTAGAACCGTGAAAAGCCTCCTCCTGTATGGTAGATTGTTCCACAATCTCAAACCTTCCTTGAACAGCATCTAGCATGGGTAATGTAGTCGGGGTGGTAGCACCCCAAGCATGTGAGCAGTACTCGAGTCTAGGTCTTATCTGGGCCTTGTACGGAGGGAAGGGGTCATATGGAGAAAACCAATACAATAGCTTTTTCCCAGCAGCTGCCGCTACTAACGAGTTGTGTTCGTGCCAGATCAAGTTCTCGGTGATCTGGACTCCGACCAGCCGAAATCAACGGCTCTTTGGCCACCGATTGAAAGCGGATGAACGCTAGAACACTTCTGGTTAGTCGAAGGTACAATTGCTGCATGTAGAGCGCTGTCATCCGCAAATCTGTGGATCGGATTGATCATACAGGAAAGGAGGTCGTTGATATGGACGGATCCCAGATGCCAATTCTTCCTAGTTGGAGGAGTTCAGCCGATTTCGTAATGCGTAGATGCAAAAATGCACTTCATAATATCAGTGAAAAAGACAATTTAATTTTTTGTGTTAATTAAAACTTCCTCTGTAGAACACGCGACGTAAAAGTGAGAGCAGATACTTATCTGTATATTGGTTATCGGTAGGCCTTAATTGCTTCGTGAGCAGAATTCGTACAAGGCATGTTTTGCTAAGCACGTGAAACGTATTGTCACGACACTATGAACGGTTCTAATCGGTGTTATATCGAACTATCAGGTAACCAAATAAGTTCGTGCGGTATTTAGTAGAAAAATACAAATTTTTATTGAGAAACAATAAGACACTATTTATTCGTCGAATTAATTTTTGTATGCCGGTATTGTAGAACTCCCTGGATTTGGAGTAAAAAAATGGCATTTATTACACCATCTCGAGTTGTGAACTGTCGGTGCCTCATACAGTTGTCAAGAGACGAAAAAAGGTGATAATCAGTGGGCGAAATGTCGGGAGAATATGGCGGGTGTGCTAACGTCACGCAGTCGAGTTCAGAAATTTTTTCTCGAGTCACTTTTGCGGTATGACGCTTGGCGTTAACCTGCAAGAATATCACTTTCTTCCGATTGATCAAAGAAGGCTGTTTCTGGATGAGTGCTGCTTGTACTCGTTGAAACTGCTCACAATACAAGTTAGCAGTGATGGTTAGACCCCTGTCAAAAAACTCATAATGGACACACAACAAAGCCTTGTTTGGGCGTGTGTGGTAGGCGACAACCAATGATACTTAGAATTTGAATACAAGATCCATTTTTCGTCGCAGGTTAATAACCGATTAAGAAATGGTTCATTAGCGTTCCGTGAAATGTTTGTTGAACAAATGGTAAGACGACTTAATTTGTTATCATTTGTCAGTTCATGTGGGACCCATTTGCTTAACTTCCACGTCTTTCCTAGCTGATGAAGATGCAAACGAATAGTTTCAAGACTCACTCTGAACATTTCTGCAAGTTCTTGACACATTGTCCTGGAATTTGCGTCCACAACCTGTCGAAGATCCACGTTGTTCATGATTTTTAGTCTACTTGAGAGCGGTTCATCGCTCAAACTCCCAAAGAAAATTTTTTGAACCACTTCTGTGCTGTTCGATCAATAACGGCATCATCTCTGAATGCGATATATATTTTTCGCACCGCCGCTGCAGCTTTTGTACCAAGTTCGTACTCATACAGTCAACAACTTCGAATTACTGTTTTATTCGTCGCCATTTTCAATTATTAAAACCAGGTACGTAACAATTTTCAGCAACTTTTTATGTGTGTGAGAAGCGAAGGATTCATACTAAAGTGACAACAGGTAACAAACAATCGCTATCGATCAACAACATCCATGGCAATGTGCGATATATAGCAACCGCACCAACTTATTTGGTTACCTGTTAATAGCTACGATTAAAAATGTAGACGATGAAAAAAATCGTAGAACTTGACAAGTTGGAGGAATGATGAATATTAATTGGTTTTTATTTTGATGGATATTTGCAAAGTTCCATTCTCAGTTTACTAATATTCAGCACACTTTTCGCAAATTCTAAAAAATTTCGACATGCAATTAATGAAACTATTGATGAAATTTTGTCTTCTATTTAGTTTCACTGAAACTTATTTTTATGCATATTCTAAGCTCTTTTTAAAGTAATGTCAATCTTGTTATACGGGATGTAACCTAAACATAGGGAATAATCAAAGGCAATGGAAAAATAGCTCTTTTTGTTGCAAACATAATTTTCGCGAAATGATATAATAGTAAAAATAAAATCACTTGTGATGCTTCTTAATCTTCAAAAACCGTTCAGAATTACTAGATAACTCCAGCTAGAATGTTTTTTCATGGATTGCTGAACACTTATTATACTTATTTCTCACTGAACAACATCCAGCAACTTTTGGTATGGTTGCTAATGAAACATACGGAAATCCTTGAATACATCGAGGTGGATTTGACTTTCGTCCTGCTCAATCTCCAGTCTTAAGCCTTCTAGACCATCCAAGGTTATTAGTTTACTCCAGACCAGTGAAAAATCGGATAGATATAACTCCCTATTTGAGAGAGTTCGGCGCTCTCTCAGAAGAAGATTGAGCCTTGCATTCTACGTGGAGGTAATCATTTTAAACGTCTTATTTTTTCATTAATAAAAATTGTTATTTTCGTCCTTTATTCTCCAAAGGGAACTGTTTTCCGAAATATTGTATCAGTACTGCTTTTATTTGAAATTGAAGCACAAAGAAGTATTAGGTACGTGATTTTAGCAGCTTGATTTCAGTACTTAGGGTCCATCTTTTTAATATTACATCCATCAACACTTTGAACCTTCAATTTTAGAGCCTAGTAGTAGTGCAGTGGACTGCTGATAAATGTACTACAAATAATAATAATTATAATTATTATTCGCCAAAATGCAAAACATGGCCAAATAAGTATGAAAAAATAGCTGAAAACAAAAATCTATCGATTGACTTCTAGGACCATTGCGCATGTGCCGGTCAATCAAATAGCAATTACTAATTACTCATTAAGAGACAGCAATTAAAAATTATATTTATTATCACATACTTTCTGTTCGGCCTTGTTGCGCGGTATTCATTTTCAATAAAACAAATCATACATTCACATTAATAACAATTTATAGAGAATCGGCAAACGATACCATTAAGAAAGTATTCGAACTGTACTGCAATTTTGTCAACAAGTGTATAAATCATAGGCTTAAATAGACCGATCGGCCTACAGTGAATAGGCGTTGTACGCATGAAATGTTGTTACTTAACAGGACATTTTCAACTACAACAAAATCGATACAGTAAATAAGCTCTTTCGTATTTGTCGCATTAGATTAGGCCTAATGGGACTGCTATGATAAGGCTGTAAAATGATTTGCATTTTATCACTAAATGAATTAAAATTGAAAAATATATTTGTACGTATTTATATTTGCATGTGTGAATATTCAATTACATACACAACACGTAAGCGTATTTCAGAACAACACATGAGTGTAATATGTGATCAACTTCAATCTTCACTGAACTTACTCATATTTTTAGCGTCTGATCGCCCTATTGAAAAAATGAGGCTCAAAACTAATCCCTAGTCTATCTTGTTACCTACTAGTTGACACATTTGGGTCTGTAAGTACCTTTCCAAAATAACTCTTTTACTTCCCACGCCTACTTGCGAGGAAGTATTATAATCGCAAAACATTTCGAAAACGAGATATGTTTTTAGGACGTTATATGACATTTACATTTAGGGGTAAAAAATTGGGGGGGTGAGGAGCTTTAGGAGAGTGACGGTGACCCCTCCAGCACTACGCGCCTGCACGACATATTTTAGTCATCATAGATTTACCATTAAAACTTAGAAGTTTTCGTTAAGCATCTATTGACTTCAACGGCCATGACCAGCGTGGCGGTGTTCGTATGCTTCATGCATAACTGGTGCTCTGTGTATTGGGGAGAGGCAACGCGGCGTTGCCAGATGGACGGTGCTACCGTCATCATGCTTTTTTGGGCAACTTCAGCTTTGTCTCTATGACAACGAAAGAAGTCATAGCAACCAGCTCCTATCCAGGGTATAAGGCCTATGGTGCTGTCTTATTCAGCTGGTGCTTAACGTAACCCTTATGAACGGCGTTTCGTGGGAAGTGCAAAGTCAACCTACTTGACGCCATTTTTTTCACAGAACACCAAATGGTATTAAGGTTGATACACTATTGAGAAAAAATCATATAATCTTTGTTTCCAGATACGAATTCAGGCCTGAAGATACAAACCAAAACACCTTTATAGCCAACATCCTAGTGGATATGGAGGGATCTTGTGACGATGCTTACGCTTACTTTAGTGACGAGCTAGGATACGGTTTGATAGTCTACTCATACAAGCAAAACAAATCATGGCGATTCACGCATAGTTATTTCATGCCAGATCCGTTGAAAGGAGATTTCAATATCGATGGATTAAACTTCCAGTGGGGAGAGGAAGGTAAGCTAATCACTACAGTGAATGAAAGAATCATGAATGAAAAAAATATCAGTGTATAGGCCACCTGCCTGGTCTTTTTGTGGCTCTATACATGCTATGCCTCAGGACTCGTCCTGCTAGTGAACTTAACCTTAGGTGCCATCCCCTTAACAGCATGGGCATCCAAAATTGCTGCTTGTAAACGTGTTGTACTCAGACTGAAATTCCAACAACAATCTTAAGGTTGCAAATCCCTTCCTTTTTAACAGTCTTTACTTTTCGCCTGATTGCTTCATGGTGTACATAGAGATTGCTGAAAACCATATCAATTTTTTGACATAATATACATTTTCGTTGACAAATAATAGTACAGCTCTGAAATTTTATGGACATATTTATAGTAAATTATTATAAGCAATTGATGTTTCTTTCATCATTTTTTATTCAAAATAGCTTCGATAAACAAAATTTTCCAGAAAAGCATAGCATTTTCGTTAAAAAATATTAAGAAAGAAGTAATTACATTAATCTACTAGATATAAATGTAGAATATTCTCATCGAGTTATGATTGTAATATATAAATAATAATATAGTTTTTCGGTCATATCTTCATACACCATGAAACAATCAGATAAAAAGTATTAATAAAACTTATATTGAAACAAAAACGATGTACGACCTTAAGGTGGCTGGCATTTTTATATGTTCAAGGGTGACTATGAAGCTGCTTTTAAATCCCTGTCTCAAGCGAATTCTTTTTTACTGTAAGAATAACCTTTCTTTCATTACCAGAACTGTGCGCGTGTCAGGAAAAATAATGTTTTAAGGAATTTTATTTTATTTTATTCCTGAAAATACTAAGTTTCAAAATTTTCTAAGTGCCGCTGTCTCGTATATTATAGTTAAAACGTTGCTCCATCTTGACAACTTCAAATTTGTCTATTACATTTTTTTAATCTAAATGCAACACTATATTAAAAAATAAATGTATCTATATAATCATCGAAATATTATGACGTTTTATCTAATATTAACAATTAACTTTATAGTACGACATTTTGGTCTGGATCCTTTTCAAGCACAATTGACCCGTTTGACAATATACTTCGTCTTCCAGGTGACACTTCGTTTGTGCTTTCCTTCATTTACACATTCCTATGCAGTATATTCCGTTCCCAAAATGAAGTCCAGCACTCCAAAGCGACAAGCGAGCATGAGGTTATCTATCGTTTTTCAGACGTACCAGACACGTTACCCTCGTCCATAGTTTCAAAAAACGCCAAAAGTTCGCTACAAACGTGAAAACTCACCAAGTTTCAGATGCCATTAATACGAGGGCGGTTCAATAAGTACCCGTGTTTGACGACAGAGGGCGTTCCTGGGGGAAGTTAATATTACCATCGTGTGCTGCCATCTATCAGACGACGGCACAACAAATTTTAGACTGATTGATAGGTTATTTTGAATTTGGCAGCCATTCGAGTAACTCGAGTTTCGTAATTTACGCCAAGATGGAAAAAGAGCAGTATCGTTCAGTAATTCGCTTTTTGTTTTTGGATGGAAAAAAATGTGAGGAGATAAAAGCAAAGTTAGATGCTGTTTATGGAGGCACTTCGCCATCTATGACCACAGTTAGATATTGGTTCAACGAATTTAAACGTGGGCGAACATCCGTTTTTGATGTCATTCAAAAAGTCCACGACAGGATTCTCGCTGATCGACGAACGAAAGTGCACGAAGTAGCAGAGGCCGTAGGTGTGTCGACCGGAACGGCAATCAATATTTTAGATGATAATATGGCTATAATTTAATCGGTAAGATAAAGCGGCGTGTTAATGTTTTATTTAATGTTCATTATGATACAAATTGCATTGATTGTATATCTAAGTGTAAATTAATCAATAAAAAAGCGCATTTCTCAATTTTGGTAACGTTATTATAATATTATAAAAATATTCAGAGGGAATTCAGACAGTCAAGTAACTTTAGATAATAAGAGTGAGTAGTGCATGTATTTGAAAAAAAATACTTTTATCACTCATTTGAAAATAAATCATGTTACAATACTATTGAGGCTAATTAGAATATCTATCTATTTATTTTCATGCATTTATCACTACCGCCCGCCTCGGTTACCCTTGAATTATCCCGGAAATGATAAGTCTGTATCTGGAAACCTTAGGACCATAACAAATAAACATTTATTTTTCCTTTTTTTCACTGGATAAATGAAACAAAAAAATTATTAGATAATTCTTTGTTTTAACAATTCGCCATTTGTTTGTCTGGGCAGTCCGTAGGACCTTTGCCCATTAGGCACTGTCTAGTATACGTTAGTCGAATCCGTCAGTCCTGGTTGCCCAGAAACCAAAGTTAAGGAAAAAGAGAAAGGGAAAGAGAAGAAAAAAAACAGAAGAAGAGCAAAGAAATCATATGTGCTTAGTTTAAGAGAAAACACCTTAAATTACAAGTAGACTTTATATCATTATTTAGTCTATTAAATTCAAGTAATCCTTTCTGAAATATTGATTTGCTAGTTATATTACTACTGCAATTTTGTAAATGAAAATCTATATTTCCTGTCGGTCCGATGGGTGGCGCAATTGCGCAAGGTGGACAAAAATCGGATGCAACTGTTTACTTCGAAGCAGTGTTTGGAGCAATTTAAGCGAAATCCGAGGGAGTTTTTACGACGAGTTGTCACCGTCGATGAAACCTGAATTCATCATTACACACCAGAAACTAAGCAACAATCAAAACACTGGATTTCTCCCAGTAAATCTGCTCCAAAGAATGCGAAGACGGTCCTATCGGCCGGAAAGGTCATGGCAATGATTTTTCGGGATGCGAACGGCGTCATCCTCCTAGATTTTTAAGAAAAAGGAAAAACGAACACTGGACTATATATACTATAGTGAGTTATCGGACCGCTTCGACAAAAAATTGAAGGAGACACGGCCACATTTGTCGAAAAAGAAGGTGCTGTTCCACCACGATAACTCACCAACACATTCATCCGGAGTTGTCGCCGCCAAAATGCATGAATTGCGTTATGAAGTGCTGCCGCACCCACCGTATTCACCCGATCTGCGACTTTTTCGTGTTCCCTGACATGAAGAAATGGCTCGCGGGGAAAGAAATTAGCTCAAACGAGCTGTCATCGAAGTCATCGCCGAGGAAGAGGCGTATTTTGGGGAGTTTGAAAAATCCTATTTTTTGGGGGGTTAAAAAATGGCAGGAACTTTGAGAAAAGTGTATCTTTCTAAAAGGGGTACTTATTGAACCACCGTCGTATTAACAAGTTTCGATGCAACACTCCAATAGATCAACGGTTAAAACTCATAAAAACCAAGCAAAAGGTAGATATGTTATTCTACCACTTCCTTCTTATAACACAGCCCACTTTTTTGATTAACCAAATATTCTACCTCAGCTTCGGTCGATGGTTGTGGCAAAAAACCAACAATGGCTTCAGACTTCAGTCAGACTCTAATCATTCCATGTAATGTTACCAGTTCAAGTAGTATTACATCGAAATTCACTCCTCTGTAGTTCTAAACCTTTGTACAGGCTCACCTAAGGCCGGATTAAGACCAACAAGGCTAAGTTCTCTTCTTTTTTTTATTTCAGGTATTTTTGGAATGACTCTATCACCGAAAACTGTAGCCGGAGACAGACTGATCTACTTCAGTCCTCTAGCGTCCCACAGAGAATTCGTAGTGTCAAACAAAGTACTCCAAAACAGTTCCAAGGTCTCCAATAGCTATAAGGACTTCTATCCCTTGAACGAAAGAATACATGGCCACGTGACTGGAAAAATTATGGACGAAGATGGTATCCAATTCATGAGTTTTATAGACAAGAACGCTATTGGATGTTGGAACTCAAAATACGTCTATGACAACAAGAACATCGATATCGTGGATAAAGACGATGTGGGCCTGATTTTCCCTTGTGATCTGAAGATAGATAAATACAGGAACCTCTGGGTGATATCTGACAGAATGTCAAACTTTCTTGTTGCTAGTTTGAATTACAAGGAGGTGAACTTCAGGGTGTACTTCGCGCCTATTGATGTGTTGTTGAAGGACACTGTGTGTGAAAAGAAGAAGTATATGAAACTTAATGACCATTTTGAGCCATTCGGAGGTGAAAAGTTTGTTTTCCAGCACTATGGGACAGGAAATTTATTGTTTTAAGTTGTAAATACAATACTAAGATTTAAGATTTCGTCTTTTTGTATCCCTAAGCACTCGGTAGAACTCTGCGATGACCCCCCCTGGGCGAATCTCTAATACGAGGAGGTACCCAAAAATAATCGGAATAGCATTGCAGTGGGCGGAGCTTGTGTAGTATACATTTCTGCCCCTAGAGCCGTACAGCGCAACTCATTACCAGTTCAGTGCCACCTGAGTTGTCGAATCTCCAATACGAAGAGGTACCCAAAAATAATCGGAATAGCATTGCAGTGGGCGGAGCTTGTGTAGTACACATTTCTGCCCCTAGAGGCGTACAGCGCAACTCATTACCAGTTCGGTGCCACCTGAGTTGTCGATCCGGCTTGTTTCGTTCCTGTGTAGTCATTATTTTTGCTAGAGCTGTTTCGCGCTTGTTTCGTTTTATACGATGGCAAGCTTCAGTGAGCAACGTGCAGCTGTGAAATTTTGCTTTCTAATTGGTAAAAACGCTGCTGAAACTGTTTTGATGTTCAAAATTGCTTACAAAGATGATGCTATGGGAAAAACTCAGGTGTACGAGTGGTTTGCTCGATTTAAAAATGGCGACATATCGATTGATGACAAACCTCGCTCTGCACATCCATCAACTGCCCGAATCGACGAAAATGTTGAAAAAATTCGAGAGCTTGTGCTATTTGGAGGTTTTAAGACGATTGCGAAACCCGATTTGTGGCAGTCAGGAGACTCGTTCTTCCACCACGATAATGCACCTGCGCACACAGCCATCTCTGTTAGACAGTTTCTGGCTAAAAATGGCATGGTTCCGCTGCCTCACGCCTGGCCTAGCTCCGTGCGACTTTTTCTTATTTCCCCGGATCAAAAGGGGCATAAAAGGACGCCGCTTTGACGACATTGAAGAGGTCAAGAAAAAACGAGGCAGGAGCTGTCAGACATTTCTATGGAAGACTTCAAAAAATTTGAAGGAGATAAGTTGAAAATAAATAGCTTTTGAAATATAATTCCGTCTTTTTTTGGTATCCCCTCGTACATATTTATGAAGTTCGGATCTCTTTGATAAATTTAATAAATACAGACTTTTTGCAAATATGTAATGGATACAAACGGGTAAAAATCACCAGATTTGGTGAAAAATCACCGTACCTGGCAACCCTGGTCAATTTGTAAGCGCATTGATGATGGCGTGGAAATAAGAGAGTTTACGTAAGTCCGGTTGCCTATAGGTTCAGCTTGACGCAAATATACAGGGTGACTTTGAAGTTGAGTCATTAATTTTCAGATAATGATTGTAGAAGGAAGATAAACCAAAATTTGTGTGTAAAAATAAAAAAAAAATTAAAAAAAAATTTTACCTTGTTTTATAAAGTATCCTCCCGAGACAAGTATTTCAGTGCGGACCTGTATTTGATCGTGAGGTCTTGGAGCACCGGCATGCCGTCACCTGATTCACGAGCCCGTTGTACTACATTAACAAAGGCACGAGGGGTTGGTTGCACTCGATTGGGAAACCGATCCGCATAAACATGTGCCATTTTTTATTTCGTTTGAGCCACGCAACAGACACCACTATTCACAGACACTGACTGTATACAAATGAATAAAATAATTGTAAAAACATCGTTCCAAATTCTTTCGCTTTTTTGTTTCCGATGCGATGAACCGATACGGCGGATTATATTCGTTGTCGCCAAACACGAGCACATAATATTATACGTATTATTGAGACAGGGCGGTACTCAAACTTCCAACTTCCAAACTTTGTTACTTTAATTTTACCAGAAAAATGGTAAAGGAAAAAAACATTTCTTTTGATCAGATCTACTCACTGTTAAAATAAATGACTCAACTTCGAAGTCACCCTGTATAAATAAAATAGTAGTTCTGCGTTTTCCGATCAGAGACTCAAAAAGTGGTTGCGAGCCTCTATCGCAGAAGATCACCTAACTAGACTGGCACTTTTATATGTCTATAAAGCTGTACATTTCGGTACGGATGAAGTCAAGACAACAAAAAAAAATAACTAAATTTTGTTATTTAACAATAAAAGCTTCCCATTTAAATTTGATTTATTGCTAAATCACATTTAGACTCCCCCCCAATCCATGAGTTCGATAACAAGAACATTGATACCCTTAAGAAATACAATGTTAAGCAAATTTTTCCTTGCGATTTGAATGTGCTCTGTTTGAGAGTAAAAAAAAGTATATTTTCATATGCATTTTGAGGCATTCGGTGGAAAAAAGTTTTTGTTTCTTCACTTTGGGGAAGGAAATTTATTATTTTAGTTTGCAAATAAAGTTTAAGTCATAAATACTTATATTTTTTGTTTATAGTCCATAATTCTATGCATCACAAAATTCATATCAACTGTTAACGATATAAACCCTACAGGTTTTATAAATGCATTTAAAGTAAGGTCTTATTTATGAACGCGATTTGTTGTCGCGCGGCAATATCACTCAGAAATGGGAAAGAAAGATAGACATTGATGGGGGAATTAAAAAACTTCCGGTCCGATGGGAAAATGCATCAATAAGTGAGGAGATTATGTAGAAAAATAAGATGTAAATAAACTTGTATTTACTATACCAATAAAATCACGGTTCATATTTGATTCACCGTCGTAGATACAAACAGACCATGGTTCTATTACCTTTGATATTTTTTGACATCGATAGAACGGTTGCTACCCGGGTCATCCTGACGAGAAAAAGTGCGGTAGTCTCGCCGTCGATCATCAGTCTTATATCTCAAGACAAAGTTAACTTTGTGATGGGTCGTTTAGGATATGAAAAACCTAGGAACATTTATTATTCTGCCGTAAATAGATGCGTTTATAAAAATTATTTGATAAGCAACAAGAGCTGCCAGAACAAGTTACCAAAGGTTACCGGTTTAGTCAAAAACAAATTCTTTTAAACATCAACGACATCTTATTCCGTGCAACAAATCGGATCCAAAGCTTTGTGGGTAGTAGCACTTTGCATGCAAGAATTCAGGATGTCAGACCGTTCTGTCTGGTTCAGCTGGACAGAAAAAACTAGTAGCAGCTCTCTCTCTCCCTCAGACGGATAACCTAGAGGTTATCACTTTCTAGAGATAGAATAATTTGGAGATGTTTAATGTTTCTAAGACACAGTATTATGCGACCAAGGCACATGTTCGGTTTTAACACATTCTGTGTATGTCGGTTTCTAGGCTATGCCTCAAAGATTCAGGATAATAAACAAAAAAGGAAAAATCAAGAACGAATATTTTTTTTGCTTCTCAATTACTATGCAAGCACTAACTACTTAACAATTCGAAAGTATGAAAAATCAGGAAATATATAAAGATTGAAGTTAACAGGTCACCAGTTCGCGTAAATCGAAGGTTTAATCTTTTAACATAAATCAAAGTTGGAATATTGATTTCATTTGTAAATTTGGAGAATGTTGTTTTTGCATACTGACCGCAAATGTCAAAACCAAAACATGTGATTTGTTGCTTCTGTTCAATTGAGCTTACGGTAATGGTCAATTAGCTTAATGCCAGTCACCTCCTTAATTGGTGACACATTTTTATGGCGAAAATCAAGATTTATGTTTTGTCTGTACTAGATGCAAATTTTGACATAAAGTATTCCGAAACGGCGTGTCCTCGGGAAAACAATCCAATGTTGAGCAATACTCAATCAGTGGCAAACACCTCGGTACGTATTTCGAAATAAAACAATACTTACCCGAAGAATTTGGCAGTCGCTTAAAAAAATACCGAGTATTACAAATTCCACCATCAGCATTGGTATTTTGGAAACGACATGAGATACGAAGTGGGTTAAATAAAGATAAAGTTGCGCATCCGGGTTACTAGAAAAATGGCACATTGAAAGTTTGAAATTCGTAGTATTTCCGGAGATGGATAAACTAATTGGCATTGTTAGCTTATCAATTTAACATAAGGTGATTCTTAATTTTCGTTTTCAGTTTATTCATGTTTGATATCAACTAGCGTCAATTTTTCACTAAAGTTTAATTTAATCGATAAGATAATGCGGCGTGTTAATGTTTTATTTAATTTTCATTATGATACAAATTGCATTGATTGTATATCAAAGTGTAAATTAATCAATAAATAAAAGCGCATTTTACAATTTTGGTTACGTTATTATAATATTATAAAAATATACGGTGCATGTATTTGAAAAAAATAAATCATGTTACAATATTATTGAGGCCTAATTAGAATATCTATCTATTTATATTCATGCATTTATCACTACCGCCCGCCTCGGTTACCCTTGAATTATCCTGGAAATGAAGTCTGTATCTGGAAACCCTAGCAGGACCATAACAAATAAACACTTATTTATCCTTTTTTTCACTGGAATAATCAAACAAAACAATTATTAGATAATTCTTCGTTTTATTATGTAACTTATAAAACTTTTTTTTTGTTACTGAGTTAATCAATATTTAGTGACAATAAGGTTTATTAAACTCTTCCGAACGGCCTTTCAAGGTACAAGGCTCCATACAAGACCGATATAATAACGAACAATACTTGAAAAAATCAGTGGTCCATTCTGGTAATAGATCGTGCTGTTTTATTTAAATATTTTAAGACTATCGTAAAACTAAAAATATATTCGTGAAAATGTTAAGATAATAATTTAATTTAAAATAACCGTTTTAACAAAATTTAACTGGCCTTATGGACCAGTTAGCTAGACCAACTGTCAATTTTTTTATAGGGCTTACAAAAACCCATGAAACTGAAAATTAAGTAAAAATTGTTTTCTTTAGTGTCATAGCCAATCGTTATTTATACATTCAGAATATAAAAATTTAAAGAAAATGATAGCTTATTTACTTGAAATCTTACTTTTTGCTGAAAGCGCATATCTCTACTAGAGTTTCACGGAGGTTAGTGTGAGTAAGGGATTTGTTTTCACATGGTTATAACTGCGACTTTTTAATAATCACCCTAACATAGAACATAGCCTTTCATGGTTCACCCACCTTGATTAATAACATTTAACATAAGTAAATGCAAAATTAATTACATTTAAAGGCAAATGGTCCATCTAGGGAGGCACTAAATTCCGTACTATATATCACAGGGTGTATCTACTGTTATTTTTTTAACCACAAAAAAATTAAAAGGATTAAATATCGGCAGCTCTTGGGGTTTGTTTGTTTGTTTGTTTAAGATTTATTTAGCATGTTTCCTACAATTACATTCTTCTAAAAAACTAAACAATTACATAACATACAGACATTCAGAAAAAAAAAACAAAATTTGCATCTCTAAGAATTTTCATTGTCCATGAAATATTCCTTTAATTTTCTTTTAAATATCTTTAAATTACAAGTAGACTTTATATCATTATTTAGTTTATTAAATTCAAGTAATCCTTTCTGAAATATTGATTTGCTAGTTATATTACTATTGCAATTTTGTAAATGAAAATCTATATTTCCTCTTGTTTAATAATTGTTCAATTCTATGTAGTGTTCTAAATGTTCTGGCAAAAGATGATTTTTTATCTTAAATATAAAAATAATAACCAAACATGATATGAAATTTTTTATATTCAACCACTGCAATTTTTGCAACATAGATTTTATTTTGGTGTACTTATTTTTATTCAATATTATTCTCATAGCTTTATTTTGCAAGACTTGTGATTTTGAGAATACAGCTTCATTGGCAGTGAACAAGATAGTTGAACAATATAGTGAATGCGGTAGAATAATTGTATTATAAACTATTTTCTTGGAATAGGTACCAAGACTATAAGAAGCCCTATAAAAGTAATTTGAGTTTTTGGCAATTTTTGAAATAATGTATTCATTACTCTCAATATATCTACCTAAATATTTAATTCATTCAACGTTTTCAATTATTTCTCCATTTATCCTAACTGTGATAGTATTTTCATTTAGGTATTTCCCTATTAGCATACATTTTGTTTTAGAAGTATTCAATTTTAGTTTATTTACATTTAACCAATTTACGATTTTTGCCAAGTCAGAATTTAGCATTTTTAAAGCAGTGTCTATATGTTCCTCTGATATGTATATTAATGCATCATCTGCAAATACCGGAAGTTTACAATAATCTAAAATATTACAAATGTCATTAATGTATAAAATAAATAGTAGTGGACCTAGTTTACTACCTTGTGGTATACCAACAGAAATACTTTTTGATCTTGATAATGTAGATCCAATTTTGGTTTTTTGACTTCTGTCAATTAAATAGTTTTGTAGAATTTTGAATACAGATCCTTTAAATCCGTAGTGATGCAATTTTGTAAGTAATTTATCCCTGTCAATAGTCTCAAACCTATTTTAACGTTAGGGTCACCAGATGATCGGAATTTGTTGGGATTGTCCCGACATTTCATATGTCCAGAATTTCGACAAAAAACAAATTATCTCGACAAATAATAACAAAACACAAATTTAAAATAATCCAAAAAGCACCAAATAAGTGGAATCGGTGAACACAGATGCCACATACTTCTGGCAAAGTAGAAAGTAGTATGTTTTAGTTTAGTTGACCTCATATTTCATCTGGAATCGCATAACTCACCAAAAAAGTATATCGTTGTAATAACAAATAACTTTTTAAGTCCAGACATTTTGGAATTTAACCCTAGTTGACATACTGTGTTTGGACAAGATCGTGAGCTGAAAGGTACGATTAATACTATTAGCCGCTACTTGCATGCTGCATAAACTGTTAGATTAGATTAAAATACACAATATGTGAGCATGCGTGGATGGATCCTACTTTTGCACGGCAATCTATAATTTCAGTCTCGTTAAACGTCGTTACGTTTTATTTGATCTCATTTACAATACGCACCTGCCAATTAAGAAGTGAATAAAATAAAAAGAGTGTATTTGAAACATGAGATTAAGTCGTTACTATCGTCTTACGTAAGTTTTTGTCAAACGTATGTGCGTACAGTTTGAGTAATGTATCGTGTAAGAGGAAAATAATTCATAAGAAAAATAGAACAAATTGTACAATCATTCAACACTCGACTTTGAATGGAAGAATTAGAACCTAGCGAATTCCACATCACAAAAAGTAACACTGGGTTTAATGATTCCTATGAAAGTTTATAATAAAGATTTGGCTCGGATATTGTAACAATGATACATGTGTATGTACTGATAAAAAAATGTTTCAAGTAGGTTGACTCTGCACTTCCCACGCAACGCTGTTATTAGTTCATCTGATAAAACAGTCAGTCAAACAGGTCTATGCAATTAGTCTATTGACATTCTTTACCTGCCATTCAGGTTGTGCATTTGGAAACGTCGCATCTCCCCGGTCAAACGTGGCAGCACGATCAGAGCATAGAAAACACTATGCTGTGGTATGGCAGAAGTATGTGTAAATCCATACCAAAACCATCAACAGAACACTCACCAAGGCCGGCGGCACGCAACCGGGAGCAATAGCCACGACCGGTAAGTACGCGATCCGTTTGTTAAAAAAGTTAAGGACTAATGTATGGAGAAGTCTATGATGCGTCTAGGTGTGTAGAATTATCAAGGTTGGGAGCGAATAAATGTGCTAGCATCAAACCCTCTCCACCCGCCTACAACCCTCACCCCCAAGTTTCTCACCTCTAATTTTTATTCAAAAAATGAAGTTTGAAAGACTTTTTTCTTTTCCGTTTTGGCATAGAAAATATTCCTACTAGACCAGGTACCCCAGTTTCTGCGTCCCTGGTTTAGTTTGGGCAGGGAAACTCTGTGTGTTTATTACTTACGATGTGCTCATTGAACGTCTAAAATCTTAACTCAGTATCTTTACCCGCTTCGTATATATACAGGGTGCGCCATCTTTTATGTCGGTATGTAAACATGAAATAACTTTGAAAACGAAAAACTATTTTCTATATATCGGGTATTTTTATTAAATATAGTCCTTTACAGTTTATTGGGACTAGTTTTTGAACACAACATCTATCAAGTGGCCACCTTTATTGGCCAAAACAAAATGTGCCCGTTTTGCTGCGTTTTCCATTACTTTTTCGAACTCTGGTGGTATAGCGGCGATTGCGGTACGAATGTTTGCCTTGAGTTCTTCAGTGGTCTGGGGCTTGCTGGCGTACACTTGACTTTTCAAATAACCCGACAAGAAGAACCCCGGTGGGGTCAAATCTGGAGACCTGGATGGCCAGTCAATGTCATCTCTTTTTGACATCAGACGTCCAGGGAATTTTCGTTGCAGAAACTGGATTGTTTCATTTGCAGTGTGGCATGGCGCACCGTCTTGTTGAAACCAGTAACCATCAAGACCTTTTTCACGCATTTGTGGGCAGACATAATGAGCCAACATCCACCGATATCGATTTCCATCGACTGTTTCGTTTTCGTTGACGAAAAATGGCCCAATGATGGTTTTGACGCAAACGCCGGCCCAAACAGTCACTTTCCGGTCATGCACCGGCATTTCGTGCATCTCATATGGATTTTCCGCCAGAGAACGTGAAATGGGCCTCGTCGGTCATCACAATTTGCTTCCAAAAATCAGGTTCAACATCAACCATGCGAGCGACTGTTTGGGCGTATTCCAAGCGACGTGAACAATCAGTTGGCAATGTTTCTTATGTTAACTGCACCTTATAAGGAGACAAATGCAAATCATCCTTCAAAATGCGCCGCAACGTGGTTCCACTGATGCCAAAATGCTGAGTGCGGTGACGATACGACACTTTTAGGTTCTGGGCAACGCCGTCTTGGTCGTTGATGAACGTTGACGTTCTCCCACTGTCCCGTACTCAAGAAAATTTGAAACCAAACGACGGATAGTGTTGCCACGATATTTTCGACGATATGCACGTTGCGTTAACACAACTGAACGACGATTTTCAATGTACATTGTGTCTATTTCGGCGCGTTGTTTCAGTGTAAAGCGATTCATGACTAAAATTGTAATAAATTGACGTTTCAGAAACACGGATAACCAAATCACTCGGTTGGTAAATATCAAAGTCACTCGATGTTTCAATACCGACATACAAGATGACGCACCCGTTATTTTATTCAATTTCGCAAATAAAACTTCATCACCCTGTATCTCGGTAGGGGAACACCTTTGGACTAACATTTACACGAACTTTTTTAGTTATTTTTGGATATACTTTCTACTGTAGAAATATTGGCACGTCTCTTATCGAAATACTAGTTATTTTTGGATATACTCATACTTTCTACCCTGGAAATATTGACACGTCTTTCTGAAACACCCTGTATATCGAAAATAGCCTATATTGTATTCCAGACTATATTTCTGTGCCAAATTTCATAAAGATCCTTCAACCATTTTGGCGTCATTGAGTAACAAACATCAACATTTTCTCATTTATAATATTATAATTAATTTTCATGCTTCAAACATGCATAATCTTCTCGTACGTACCCCGTAAACAGCAGCAGTGAACCTCCTGTTTCCCAGCTGAAACTCCCCGAGGAGGGCGTCGTCGTCTTCTTGCGGCTGTTGGGGGTCAACAGCAGCGGACATCGCCCCCGGCAACCAGCAGGCGAAGATTATCGCACTCACCATCATCATCGAAGGTACCATCTGGAATTCAAATAGGTACCGCACCGGTTTATGCTTATAGTTTATGCTATGCGTTTGGCGTTGGTTTTATGTTTGTTTACATCTCCGGTTCTTGGTTTCGTTACCATTGAGGATATGGACGATTTTTAATTTTGTCGCAGCAGTTGTAAACATTTATTGTAGTAAAGAAACTTCTGATGCTACATTAAATAGCTCCGGCCCTGACACGTTTGTATTTTTTACGCATTTTTTCGATCTATGTGACTATTGAAGTTATGTCGATTAGTCAGTCTACCTATCTGTCGATTTGTCTGTCGGTTTTTCTATTGATTTGTCTGTCTACTCGTCCGTGAAGTTGTCTGTCAGTTAGTCGTCTATCTGTCCAATTTTGGTGAATTCTGAAAAACATCATGATTGGGGTTTATTGCTATATTTATGATCTGCATAATATCCTTTGTAGAAAATTCCTGAAAATTAGTGCACTGCTGCAAGTTGTTATTAATAATTATATAGAAGCTTCCATAAATATGTATGTTGCTTGCAATTCTCAATATTTGTAAACTTCCATATTTCATTATCATAAAACATTTCCTTTGCATACATATAATATTTGAGTTTAATATTTTTATTGATTATCAAATATAGTCATTTTTGGGTAAAAACAACAATGTTTTGGAAATGTTGAGCGTAAAAATGTCAAAAATGTTGTTCCAAGCAATCGCGAATGGACAAAATAAAATTATATATTAGGTAGAATGCATTAAGCATTGCTAGTATACATCTACAGTGTATATGTGGGTGAAACAGTACGATCAAAAATGTATGCAATTTATTCCCCGATTAATGAAGTTAATTTCAAATAACTAAAATAATCAATCACTAAGGCTTAATGAGTAAACTAGAGAAAAATTCGTACCCTGCAATTTGTCCGAACCTCATAAATATTAATATTTCACGATCTCAGAGTCTTTATCTCTGCCAACTGGGCGACTAATGAATCAATTAATTGCTGATCAAAGACTGAGCAAGTCCTGAAATTCCCTCCAAAAAAATTTCGAGAAGTGAATGATCAAAACAAAAAATAAAGACTTAATTGTGTGTTTGAAAATATTTCAGGCCATAATCTCCGAATTCATACATATTTTCGCAAGTAGAAGCAGACATTTTTATCTTCGATATTCCTTAATATTTGGTCGCCTTACAAATGCGAAATGCCATTCTGATGTTATGATTCTTGTGACATAAAAAAATCATAGTATTTTGGTAATGATAATTTCATAATTAAATTGCAATCGGTCAAAAATTAATTAATTCAAAAAATATAAGAAAGCAAACAGAAAATGGCGCAACCCTCAGACAATAAATATCAAGTCACAGTTTACAGTGCAGATATAAGCTGATTGATTTTCGAAACACCTAAAAATCATTTGACTCTTATCCACAGAAATGTGGAAAAATGATAAAATAATATTCATTCACCAAATAACGCACAGCAACACTAACCGACAAACCAACGGTCTGACTAGAATAACGAAAAATATACACGTTAAAATGTGTTTTGAAAACAAAATGTTTGATGTCTGAATGTTGAATGTCTGTCTATGTGTCTATGGCAAATGAATTTGAAAAGCCCAGGAATTTGTTTATTTTTTCTTGCCCAGAGTTCATGCTAAAATCGATCCAATAGTTGTTAAGACAACATGGCAAAAACCTACCAATGTACCGATAGATGGAAATGACATAGATTACAGTGATGAACATCATGCCGGGAAATAAAAATAATAAGTTTTAAATATCTGAGAATAAGTACATAAAATACCAAAAACCTTCGGATTGCTGTAGAAATACATATAAAGGATAAAGTTACAAACCTTTGTTGAACTCGGCGAAGACACTCAACCAGTTTGACCACTGCCAGCGAGCTCCCATCCCATTTATACGAAGTACCTTTTTCGAAAAACTGTTATTTTTATGATAATCCCTACCGGTCGCGAAATGTTTTTACCGCTAAATGCCGTTTCGTTTCTGAGGATTTATGGATCTCCTGTGGCTATCAGGATAGCAGAAGCTTGCTTATGACTCTCCTAGCACGCACATTTTGCTAATAAGCAAATGTTACTTTATGAATTACAAACATCTGCTGTAGTTAGAAACTGAAAATAACAGATTCTGTTTGCGCATCAATATAAATACGTAAACATACAAACTTTTGAACGACACAAAATTCAATAAAAGTTAAAAATACATACGAGTTTTTACCCGACTGCCTCAGAAGGAGGGTTATGTTTTTCGCGTGTGGGTATATATGTGAACAAGAAGTTCTGTTTCCTGGCAATACGTTAAGCAGAGGCTTTGTTAGATACTAATTAGTACTAAAACATTTCAGAAATTTGAGAATATACAAAGTTGATTTTAAATTGGTTGGTTGGTTTGTTGGGAAGTAGGTAATCGCTGAGGCCTCAAGTCAGTGCAGTGCCTAGATCAGTGTGTGTCCCTCAATTTCCTGGCTACCACACCCTTTAAAAAACACTGCTCTAGATGCTCAAATATGACGGGTTATTCTGACAGGTAGCGGCATCACGAACTGATTGGCTGCACATGACAATAAGTATGCACTGTGTTCCAATCTCCCCAATATTTCAAAGACTGCTCATTCTAGAAAAAACAGTTTTAAACAAAAGTCTTAAGGGAGCAATATATATATATACATATAACCTCCACGTTCTTCGTGATCTAGACTCCCACCAACCGAAAGAGTAGAACTCGGTCATCCATCGAAACTGGATGAGGTCTGTCGTCAGAGGGGAAGTCGCTGATAGTATTTTCTCTCATTCTGAATTCCTGCATGTAGAGTGCTGTCATCAGCAAAGCTGTGGATTGGATTGATTGTACAGGAAAGGAGATCGTTGATATGAAAGAAGAACAGTCTCGGAGCCAAGACCGATCCCTGGGGAACACCCGCGTTGACGTTGTGAGATGAAGAGGAGAACGCGTCAATTACGACGTATATCTTGCGGCCAGAGAGAGAGTCAGCCACCCATATGCAAAGCTTCTCTGGGAGGCCATAAGATGGAAGTGATGTCAATAGCAACGACTCGACTACAACCATGTCATTTCAAAGTCAAGTGAATATTTTCAAGTGAAAGCCCCCCTTTTTCACAACGGAATTGAAAAGAGGAGCAAATTTGGTATCCACATATCACCCTCTCCATGACCTTGACCGTTGAATCCAAGGCCATTCCAATGTAAACAGCAAACAGTTTGCTCTAGCAAAAATATTCGACAGCATAGTTGTGATGTTCGTAGGGATCACCCAAAATGACCTTGACAATAAGCTTCGAATTATTAGGTAGTATTTAGGATGTTTTAATCTTCCCCTGGAGTTGCTAACATAGATGAGTCGGGTATTACAAAACAATTTGGCAAGTGGTAAAACTCTCTAGTCGCTACGTCAAAGGATTCAACATCATATGTACAACCCGCATTTTCGAATAACTGAACATTCAGCTTCGGCTTCGGCCGAAAAGGTATGCGGTAAAAGCGGAATGTGTGTTCAAAATAATTTTCGAATTTGAATTTAAAAAAGTACATACAGGTATTACAGAGAATAGATTGAAAAATTCCACTTTTTCGAATAGGTTATACTATTTTAGTTTTTTTTACTGGAAAGACAATACCTGATGGTGGCGATGTTATATACTGTAAATATTCATTTTATAACTCAGGTTAGTAGGTTATTGAAAGTTGACAGTTTCTGCACCGTGCATGATATATCTTTTCTCTAATTTACATAAATATACCGGGTTTTTCAAATTCGACTCTCACGATAGGCATCTCGAGAACAGTAAGAAATACGAAGTATCCTGACTGGGCAAAGTTGCGCATTTAGGTAGCAAAAACAAATGCGTTTTAGAATTTTCCAAAAATCGGTTTTAATTTCCCTTATTTTATTCGAAACGAGATTGCAAAATAAATGTTTACTAAAATTTCCAATGTTTCTCCTCTACAAGATTCGCATGATTGGAATTTCAATATGACGTTTCGTCTCTCATCCGCAATTATCAACTTTGGGATCATCATAGCAGCCGCGGTGTCCCGACATTTAAGCTTCTGCCTGCGCGGCAAATAGTGTTTTTAATTTCGATTCCAAACAGGTATATCATACATTGACATTTCCAAACCTAAGTTATTCCAAAAAAACTGAGTAGGTCTTGAGACTATCATATAGTCATTTGCTTCATAATATGATCAGTTAAGCATTCCTTCAGTTTTTATGAGCTAAGCATAGGTGAACTGTCGCTATTTCCGACGTTAAGGATGTATTGTTGTTTATACCATGGCATGGATTCATTACACTTAGAATGTCTAAAAACGTTAGTTTCCTATATGATTGGTCTTAACCCATATTACTTAAGGCTAGTATTATTTTATGTAATTTAATTTACAATCCGCCATATCTAAACCGAAGCACACATCTTGCATTCAAATACTATTAATCTGAGGTGTCATGTAGAGCGCCTCCATCGTTCTAAAATAACGCTTGTCATAGTACATAGTCGATAAGTGAGCAAATTATCTGCATGTCATTTAAACAAGCTTCTTTAAAACTGAAGCATTGGTGATTTAATCGGATATAGACATGCGAAGAACTGTCATTTTCTATGCCAACTATGGACTTTTTTTTTGAAATAACATAAGTTTGACAATGTCAATGTATGACATATATATCGAGTTTTGGAATGATAACTAAAAACTGTTAACCTGGGCAAAAATCCAGCATTGCGTTCCACAATAAATAGAATTGATTATTGAGAGCAAGAGACGAAACATCACATTTAAATTCTGCCATCCTGTAGAGGAGGAAAATTGGCAATGTTATGTGCAATTTAATGTCAAATAAAGATTGAGAAAAATAAAAACGATTTTGGAAAAAAAAATTCCGTTTCGTTCCGAAAATACTCTGAATTGCCAAACTTTCTACGTCCATTTTTTGCGACCTAAATGCGTAACATTGCCCTTATTTAACCGACATCGTATCTTTAACCCTTTCCGATATCTCAATGGTGAATGTCGAATTTGAAACACCCGGTATGTATATATGTATGTGTCTATGTAGTATGTTGGTATGAAATGATATAATAATAGAACCCATTTAGCCATTATGTAAGTGTTAATTAACATTAACATTCCTGATACTTTTAATTGAATAGTTGGTTCCGTTATTACAAGAGAATTATTGAATCTTTCACCGTATTGATATGAGTTTAGATTTTGTCACACCACCGAATTATAAAAAAAAATAGAAGGTTATTTTTATCCAATCGGTACCAAATAAAGATTGAACTAAGTAGACTTGATACTTCTCACAAATTCCCTGACCAAAGGAAGTGTTTGATTTGATTGATGCGATGTTAGCTCTTGGTTAATATCTTTTGTATCTTGTAGGTCATTATCTGTCCGGTTTCCTGTTGCCCAGATTCCAGAAACGACGGGATTGGGACTAAAAAAGCAATTGTTTTGACATTGTCAACTAGGATTCAGAATTTTAAAATGATTTTGAAAATTAATGATGTGGCTATTAGAAAAATACCAAAGGAGGGATCAAGTAAGACATAAATATCACAACGACTTAATAAGGCAAGACGTGCTATAAGTCAAGCTCTATATTGTTGCCAAATAATAAACAAAGACACATCAAACAAAGAACATAAAATTGTACAAAGCATTCTATTATATGGATCATAGGTATGGGAAACGACAAAATGAGACATACAAAGAGTGGAGGCGACAAAAATGGATTTCTTTCGCAGAAGCTGCGGAGTTTCGAGGCTATAGAAAATCAGAAACGATGAAATAAAGCGAATAATTTGCGTCAAGCTCTTTAAAAAAACTACTTACCGTCATATTGTTTAGCATATTTTGAGAATCCTTGGAGGCTTTATTATAGGACAATAAGGTGAAACATATGCAACCCATAGTTTGTAAATGCGTTTATTAATTACATAATTTGTATACATAAATATATTTTGCAATAAGATTCATATTCCACAAAAAAAACAATGAAATAAATTATGGATACAAATTTCATTATCCAATTAAACTTGGTCACGATACGATACTTTGGTGTCACTTAAAAACAGGCATGATATATATTATCGAAAAATCGATTCATAAAATAGATTTTGATTCATTGTTTATCACAAATGTTCAATATGGACGGTATTCAATAATACTGGGAGTATCTGCAATGTTATTGATAGAGAGCTGTCAAAACAGTGGATACAAATAAAAAAACCTTTACCTGTGAATATTAAACATCAAAGAATAAATTCCAAAGATTATTAAAAAAAATTGTAATCTAAAGTTCTGCATGATACTCCCATGTTGAGCAGTTCACTCATATTTTAACATTAAAGATTCTACGTTAAGTACATGTTAATATCATTCTTAATTGAACCAAACTACTCAGTCAGTTAGCTTTTTATTACAATTAAGTACAAAACTGCAAGACAATACAAAACCGATCAATATATGCAATTTCAGACATTAAAAAATGCATAGATCTCTTAATACAAAATACCTTACAAATCAAAATGAAAATGGTTTCCGCGGGAATGTTTCAGAGCAGATACTTAAAACTATATGAGATGTTCCATTTTTTGTTCAATCACACTTTAGAATATTAAAATGTTTCTCGCGCATATTGATAGGCATTTCACACAACTAAGTTAAAAGTTAAGAAAATACTTTCTATACCATACCTTTTAATTTCGAACGTCATAACTGCCGATACTTCTGATAAGTACTATCATATTACAATTACATAAATAAAATATAAACGCGAACATGTAAAGATCAAAAAAATATTTACAATTAATTAATCCATTCTTTCTACAATTGTAAAGTTAGCATATTAAGATATATCCCGCAATATTTACAATCGAAAAATACTTTCACTCGTACGTTCTAAATGCAAGAAAATAGTTTACTCTTTTCATGAAAAATACTATTTGTATAAGTTAAATTTACTGTCACTTTTAACAATTTAAGGTTAAATGGACGTATTTCACTGCAGATCTACCACCTAGATTTCTACTGGGGTTGCAACGGATAGCGAATACCGGATATCCGGTTTGTTACTTGGCCGGGTATCCGGTCGCAGGATACCTGACCAGACTCCAAAGGTTCGCAGTTGAATTTCCTGGAAGTGAAGATTCTTGCAGCAGAGGAGAAGATACGCCCCCACCAACCAGAAACTCTCAAAACTTTTTGGAGCTGTTTCAACAAAGTGAGGAAGTAAAAACCTTGGGCCATGAAAATTTTGCCCTCAAAAAATGCTATTACTATAGAGAACATTTATCTGAAGTCAATTGTAAAGCAATATCCAATTGTGGCAAATTTTGTTAAAGTATATCTCACGTCTCCCTGTAGCAGTGTATACAGTGAAAGATTGTCTTCCAACGTCAGCATACTGTACGAGGAGCAGCGAAACCAGCTTGAGCCAGCAAAAGAAGAACTCATAAACCTCAACTGCCGTTAGTAAATTTTCTTTACTAATTCAGTGATCAGAGATTTTCTATTGAAAGTTCGTGTTACTTGAAATAAAAAAGTCATTTTTCCACTATTTGAGTTATACACTTTGTTCTCAGACCTTTGTTAGTTTAGTTTGTTTTCTAATATAAAGCAAAAACATTTTGTAATTTAGGTTTTTCGGGCTGTTGAGCCGTGGTCGGGTTGGATTTGGTCCATAGCTTTCGGCTACATCTGCGGTAGCCATCTTCAGAGCGAAGTGCTCGGCTTGTCAGGTCGACTGAAACTTCTTAAATTAGATACCCTTATGATAATCCCTCATATATCTCTGGCCAATCGAAACCTCATACGTTGTTTACGTATTGTAAACGTTTCCGTGACAACTGCGACGTTCTTTAGTACAATGACTTTGACAAGTATATTTTATTTAACTGTCTCCTGTAACACCCGACCACGGCTCAACAGACCGAAAAACCTAAATTACATTAGAATTAGCCGTGAAAGCGTTCATTCTTCAAAAACATTTTATCTGTCATTCCACTTTATCCTTGATGTAGTGTTAGATAACAACATTGGTGTTTTACTGATTGAAGTCTGACTGTAGAAAGAAAAATAAAGTTCGTGTCTGTTGTTTGTGTTTTTCTTTTATTACTATCCTGCTTTCGTTGGATGTTACAGCTAGCATGCTGTATAGCCGGATATCCGTTGCAACCCTAATTCTTAATTAAGCTACATCTTTTTGAAATGGAATGCTTTAATGCTGTTCTCAAATAAATGCATTGTTACTGAAATCTCACACAACCACCGCACACAAGAAAGGGTTTCATTCTCTCAATAACTGCATACGAATACGCAATTAAAACAAAATTCCTTGCGACGAAAACATTCATACAGCTTCACAGTTATATCAATGGATGCACCATGAAGGAAAGAAAGGCTTTCATTATGCCGAAGTTCATTTCGGGTTTTATATTCACTCAATAAATTGCACATTACAAGATGCATCCACAAGAAATAGAGATATCTCGAAACCTCGTAAAACCTAACATACGGGCGCTAACGGAATCATTCGGAACATTTCAACTAGAGCCACTTTGATAATTACTGTTTTTGATCTCAACCACAAATGAGAGTATAACATCGAAATTCGCTTTCAAAGCCACGGATATGTGAAGAGGTAACGTTGCACTATTGGCGATACATTTTTATAGTAAAACACCCGCGGAGGTAAAGACCAAAAATAGAAAAATCGAGACAGCAATGAAGGACTTGAATAAATCCTGCTGATAGCTTAAATCAATAATACCCTCATCTGACAGTGCTTCTTATTTTAAGCCATCGGAAAAAATTGCATCATAATTTGTTATTTACCGCATATTTCACAATAAACGATATTTTTAGCGTCAGAAAAAACGGGGACAAGCTTGCATTGCCAAAGTATTTTATTTTACGGGTATCAGCCAATGTTACCTGAATTCCGAATTTGTTGGTACACTACGTAACTACTACTTGTTACATTTTCCATAGGGTTGAGTTGAATTAATTTAGGGATTTATGGAAGATATCGGCATTGAATGATGGGTAAGTGTGAAATCAATAGCAAATTGTTCAAGTTTAATGAATGTAATAGAAAAAATGTGTACTTACCAATTATAATGATGATTATGATAATAAGAATGGTGAAGTTAATCAGTATTTTAATTGATACACCTTCTCCAAATGCATAAATAATAAAAAATTTAAATAAAACATTTGAAAGAGTATTTAATCATTTTTTTTTTAGAGAATTGGTTTCTATACAACTAAACTTATTGGAGTAAAATATTTTTTTTCATTAGTAACCCGAGAAATCGCCAGTACTGACCGCAACGCCCTAGGTATATAATGAAATAATAAACACCTAGGTACATTATAATCGGTTCTTTCCAACATTGAATTTTTAGCAATCCTGATGAGAAATTTCCATTTTAGCGCGTATCTAGGCAACATCATATCATTAACTTGTATGGGTGACTGTAGTTGGCAGTGTCTGATAGTCAGAAATTCCTTGTTGAAAAGAATCGATTGTCAGTTAAAATTGTATACTGAGTAAGTTTGATAAATGAACATTATATTTCGAAATATGTGAAAACGATTGAGAAATACTTAATGTTGAGTATAGCTCCTCATGAACATGATCTTCTACGTGTCTCAGGTTATAAATAATGGCTCACTTCTCAAACTAGGTACGAATTTTACTAATTAAAGCAAAGGAAAGTGAATAAAGAATAAAATGAAGATTAGACTGAGATAAGAAGATTAATGAGAAGTTTCAACAAAGACTGTAACGTCTGTAACATGAAAACATCATAGACTTAGCCACCACATTGATAGCATCCTAAAGACCTTGCTAGCCTTAGCACGGGCTAAATTTCACAAGATTTCAATTCACCTCTATCCAGACAAAGTTTCATATAAGCCTCTCCTCAGGAGGTGGTTTCAGTACATGGTCCAACTCTACCCTGGGATTACAGAACTCCTGAGCGCTGGGACTGTAAGTGCCGCGAGTCGCCCTTTTGCTGCGGGCTATGTTCACCAAATACGCCATGCCAACGATGAAGCAGGCCATCAGGATCAGTACTACCGGGATGATGATGTACAGGATGTTTATGTCGGATTCCAATTGACTTGCGGCGACCTGGAAAGACAACGTCCCGTTTAGAAGGAAAATGGTCGATATTTTTATTATAATCGAATTTTTGAAATTGAGATACGTATGTTTTTTGGGTGTTATATGATATGTACATAATGAAAATCCATGTCACCCATTTCCGTCGGTCTGTCTATCGGCTTGTCCGCTAATCTTATAACTGCCTATAACTTGAAAATCACCGCTCGGATTTTGATGAAATTTTCACACAAGGTTACAATTACGCCAAGGATGAAAAAGCTTTGTAGTTTTTGACAATAAGTCTAGTTTTGGCTGGAGATGGGGTCAAAAACACGAAAAAAAAATAGAAATCGTTCAAACTTCGTTTTCTGGCGTTTCAAAGGGGCTGCAACTTGGCGATTGTAGGAGGTAGGGGTTGTAAATGTAACGTCTTTAGTATTAGTTAAAGATGTAGAAGCTTCTGATCCCGGTAACAGCGGGAACATTGAATGATAAAAGTCCGATGTACAATGTGCTCATAATAATATGTTGGACCAGTTCCTTGAATGATGCATGTTGAAAATACGCTTTAGATTATTTTTTACGCCCAAATAATAGTTTTATTTTAATCGTACATATTTTTGAATTGTGGATTGTGACGAATCTGTTTAGGCTCGATTCCGATTAGGTCGAAATGAAAGGTCAGGATCGTCACAAATTCTGCGACATTGCATCATCGGTTCGCTTGGCAACACTGCATGTCGTACATTCTAAGGCAAGGTTTCCACCTCCATAATCATAGATGAGCGAATTTCGTCAGTACCCATTTAGCGCTCATTGGGGAGTGTCGCCCTGTTTCTAAATGGTTTTCACCTGCATACACGCAGGCAGTGATAATTTGTATTGCGTAATGGTATTTGTTACATTTTCCGATCGCTCGCTGTCGCAAAATGTAACAGTAACTCAGGATGTGTTGATTTTATCCCGATCGGTGGAAATCAAATTCTAAAATAAATTAAAATACTAAGTCGCATCAAAACTGAAATAATCAAAACGAAAACGAAATATTGAATTAAATGTTCGAGCAGATTTCCTTCTTGGGTTTAACAGTAACCTAACCTATTGAAGAAGCCTGTGCGAACATTTTCCGGTCTAACATATTGGCAACGCGGCAGATTGCACGACCTTCAGCGCCACCGTTGCCAGGCAATGTGATGATGACCGTCGCTCTTAAGCCTGCTTCTATCTCTTTCTAACATGTTTTGATACACACTTCTCGCGCTGCTCTTTCGTACACATTGAACTCAAGCCGTCACACAAATTCGGTTTTCTCTGTATATATTATGCAACTACTTATTGCCATAGTTTGACAAACTGTTAATGTATCCTTTACTGTTATTCCTGTGATTGGGCAAACCGGATTAAATATTATTATTATTATTCAGCCCGGTGCACGTACGAATACATCTTGACGCGTGCTAATGACAAATGTCGCTCGTGTTCCCTTCGGATCGCTTTGTTTCAGAGAGCGTGCAACCTATGGAATGAATCTGGCAAAGAAATCTGAATAAACATGCTATAAAACTTGAAATTCACAGCTTACCTTATAATCTGTACAATTCTTCCCTGTGTAGTTTTCTTCGCAAATGCAGAGGTAATCAGGTTTGTCAGTGCACTGCGACTGACATGCGCCATGGACACAAGGATTCTGACCCTGACATGGATCGTTCAGATCGCACTGGTGTCCACATTTGCCTTTTATGGTGTCACATATACACCTAAACATGGAAAAAATATATGTAACCTATGTTAGCCCTTCTTTGATTTTATCAGAAACTAAATTTACTCGTACATTTCCGTAACCATTTTTAACACGAATGTACTGTACCGGCAACCGGCAACAACAAATAAACTAGAAATGTATATTCCACAAACCTGTATGATCCTGGTATATTTTCACATTTTCCAGCTGTGCCACATGTCATAGGATTCATAAAGCACTCGTCAATGTCAATTTCACATAGCAGTCCTGCGAACCCCGTTCCTGTGCAGTTGCAGTCATATCTGCAAAGAAATAAGGATACTTAAGCATTTTCTATTTTATTTTTCTTTGCAGGGTTATGATGTTTTAATCAAAATGTTTAAATCAAGTGTTTTAAACCAATTTATTTTAAACTGTTTAAAACATGTTGTTTTTTGTCGTTTTTGAATTATTCAAGATTTTTTTATATTTTTTTAAGTATGATTAAAATTGATTTTATTTTGCAAAACGAAACTAAAAGGGCCACAGGTTAAAACACATAGGTACTAAAAAATATACTTTATTTTTTATTACTTAATCAAACATGAAACTAGGGAACTAATACTAGTGAAAACAAATGTTTTGTAACGAACGAGTGACCTTAATAAACTGCATTGAACTCTAATACTAGTACCCTACAAGCAGCAGAATAATCATATAATATGACTATGTATAATAACATTAAATAAGTTACTTAACAAATTTCTATATAAGTATACAACCCGTCCTAATAAAAAAAAATCAAAAAACCCTTAAATTTTTAAAATATAAATCATGGAAAATGTACATAGAATAAATTTTTGTTTTCACTACTTTTTACGGAACTCCAAGTAAAAAATGTACCTTTTTCACAATTCTCCAAGCTACTCAACTTTGAGGAAATAGGTTCGGTAGAAACATCATCATTGTCGGTATCAGAACTATCTGATATATGATTATTTTGATTTTCTAACAAACTTCCTTGTTTGAGTTGTTTACAATTTTTAATATGCTTGCGCATTCTAGCCACCAGTGGCACTATATCTATATTGCAGGTTGAACATTTTGCTCTTTTATTAATTTTCGAGCCAGCTTTGGCATCAGTCTCCTTAAAATATTTCCACATTGGATCCTTTCTCCTGCCTGTCATTGCCTTTCTTTTTTTACCGATCTTTAATGCACAAAAAACAAAACACACCAGCACGCTACGACTTCGCACATTTGACTGCTGGAGATCGCAAAGCGAAAAATTACCCAAAGGCAAACGGTACTTCCCCGGCGTCCGCACGGTAGTTTCCGACGTCCGCTTTTAAATTAGAGATGTGCTCTGATAGAGCTGGATCAAAAAGAGTAATAAAACTTTCAAGGAACTTCATTAACGTTGCTAGATTATACAAGCAATAGTTTTTTATTTATTTTTCACTGTTTCAAACATGTATTAACAGTGTTTTAAACATGTTTTTTTTCAGCTAAATTTTAATGTTTAAAACAAAAAAAAACAGTTTTAAGCAAAAAAACATGATTTTTTTTTAAACAAGTTTTTTTCAACCCTGCTTCTTTGCAACCAAAATTTGTCGAATGATAAATATCGTTTTCAGTTTTATGAGTACCAATACGAATATAAGCGCCCAATAAAAACAATGGTCCATACTAGGCCTCATGTATCTGAAATGGACATGTTTCCATTTCCCCTCTGTAACCAAGACCTGCCTCAGACAGTGCAGTATAGGTTTAGGCGTAGTCTTGGAGACAGACGAAACGGGAAGCACACAAGTGGACATTTTTTTTTTGTTTGGCATTGGAAGTTATCCATTTGCCACGGATGTGTGTTACTTATATTTCTCTAATTATGGACAAACACACGACGTCACAACATCCATGGCGAAGGCGAGATTCGAACTCGCGGCCCGGCCGGCCGGCTGATCAGTAGCACGACACTCTGACCAACGCGGCCAACCGAGGCCCCACAAGTGGATATGGTCTTTTCGAAAACTGACGATCGTCATATTTTCACCTACTAGCGCACTACACCAATAAAAACTGCCAATGTGTAAATGTCGTTGCCATATCGTAAAATTGACCATTTCATTATCTATTCTATTCAGATCAATGATAACGAAGCATTTCACGACATGATCAGTCAAACATGTGGCTACTTCATAAAACGGCCAAGCCTGTTTGATCAAATCGTAGAATATTTTACATTAATCATCGATAGCGCCGCTGGCAGCACTTTGTTTACATTTCAACATGGTCGTCGATAATATCGTTGTTTTTCGAAATGAAGATTCTAAAAACTCGTTACCAAATCAGGAAGATAGTTAAATTGAAAGACTTTACGACAAAATTACTATGCAGATCACGCAAGTACCGATCAAAATGTCAAAAAACCGTGGAGTTCAAAACGTGTTTCACAAGTTAGTACCTTACTCTGCCAAATAAAATATTGTGTGCATGAGGTTATCTGTCGTTTTTTATTGTACCAGACATGTCATCCTCGTCCGTCGTCCCGAAAACGCAAAAGCCCACCCAGAACTGTTGTTGTAACACATCGGTTAATTGTTACCCAACTAGCAAAGTAGTGGTATAAGCTTTTGGTAAAAGAACCGTTCAGGCATAAAAGTTCTCTATTGTTGTTGGCTGAACACAAAAATGCTGGCTTAATGTTGTGTGGAATGTAGATTTGCTTTCTGCAACATATTTGCTCTAAAATGAAGTGTTTAAAATATTCTTATAGCATAGTTATACAACACCTTATAGGGCAAACTGTTGCATAAACGTTTATACAACTATTTTATATGGCATATTTGCACGTTAGTCGAAATGGTTGTGTTGTGGCATCCATGGTAACGTTTATAAAACAAACCCGAGCCTTGTTGTTTTGCTGTGCAATTTTCTACTTTAGTCAACAAATTGCTCCCAACGGAAGCACTTATACAACTGTTGTTTAGTAACTGTTAAAGGCTGTACATATGCTAAATATGTTGGTAAACAACTTCACCATAACCTCTTTCTGCTGTCATATTTTTGTAAAATGCTAAAATGCCATAATCAATGTTTTAAGACAAACAACGCATGCATATTGGTTCAAAAGGTTTTATCAACTGTTCAAACAGAAGATATAGATCTGGTACAAATTCTGGGTAAATCATTCGACTCTGTCGGTATTTCATTTTAGACATTTGTCAAATTGTTGTATAACACCTGCAGGCAAGACCAAAATATTCTAATAACCTAAAGACAACATGGACGATGCCATGATTGTACACAACCACCCGCCATATTGGGCAAACATGTATTCCTCTATTTAATATTAAATAATTATGTTTCAGTTCGAAATTACAGATATAAAGTGATAAACATTAGTGTAATTGTGTCTAAATATAGGATTTGTGGAAGATTTAACGCAGATAAGTTCAGTTTTCCATCTTAAAAATCTAGACATACTTTTGATCATTGTCAAAATATGAATCAAATACGAAGCCCCTAGAAATTGGGTAACTAATTTGCATGATAATCACAATAAAATTCGCTGCGCAAGTAATTCAATAGCCCTATATCACAGTGTAGAATAAGTTTACCATATACCTGTGTATGAAATTCACAATGGCCGATATGTAGATGACAGTAATGTGTTAAGTTATATATTCTTCACTTCGTCTATACAATACATAAGAAATAGTTTGGTTGCAATAAAGTAGAATCACGTAACAGAATAGTTGTATAGTTGACAAAAACTGAATCTTGCACTGACGCAAATGTCCTATAGCGGGTGTAAGAGGCTTACACTTTTGTTTTATAAATGTTACCTGCAGCCCTTATTTAACCTCTTAAATGACTGAAGTGTCCTATTAGGTGTGCCCATTCTGCTTGTATAGCTGTTCTGAGACGGTTTTGCCAATGTTCTTACAGTATACAATGCTGTTTAAGGAATACTGTATAATCATTCTTGCAACTCTAATAGGAGTGATAATTGTTAGTTGGGTATGCAATATTCGGCTACAAATGTTGCCTGATTGTTTATGAATCTGAAATGCGAAAAATAGTACTTCGAAACCTAAAGGGAAATTTTGTATAAAAAATGTACACTTGAAGACATAATATGTTATGTGATATATTGTTTAACAAACAAACTTCCAAGTGATAGGTCCGAATTTGAAAGGTATGTTACGAATGAAAAATCGGGCCTAAGTGGTAGACTTTATGAACGTACCTAGCGATGCCGTCAATACAGACACCTCCATTCTGACACATGCTGCCACCTGCCGGCGACACGCACTCGTCAATGTTGATCTCGCAGTACTTGCCCTTGAATCCACGTGCGCACTCGCAGTACGGCACCGCGCCTGTTTTGTTACACAAACCGCCGTTCTCGCATGCGCCTTCGCCTGCTTTTGCCTCGCAGAACGCGGTATCGCATAAAACGCCCACCATGCCTTCGGCACATGTGCAGGTAAAATTGTTGCCTGCAAAAAAGAAATGTTGATTGACAGGAAGATTATAGACACAAAAGGTATAATTAAAGTCCTTCCTACACAAAGCTGCATATGCCACGATCCTAATACTTTACAATATTGACCACCTACCTGTTTGTTCATTCGGGCCAGTTTTACACGTAGCTCCGTTTCCGCAAGGTTTGTTGTCGCATGTGATCAGTAAAGGTGCTTCACACTGTTTGCCTACAAAGCCTTCGGGACAATCACACTTGAATGTTCCAATCAAATCGTTGCAAGTACCGCCGTGTCTACATGGATTGCTAGCACACTCGTCAATGTCGTTTTCACAAAACTCACCATCAAATCTGGAATAGTTTGTGTATCAGAAACTAATATTTTATTTCCTAATCTCTGATAAAATGATATAAATAAAGTAATTCCATATTTCAACATGAGCAGGTAATAGTCTAATCATATTAGACGAAAATACCTCTGGTTTGCGAAATAATTGTTAAGTCTGGTTTAATTGCTGCAAGTTGTTCGAGTGGATATTCAAAACATGGACGCATAAAATGGGTACACCAATTTTTGTATGAAAACTTTTTTATTCGACAACAAAGAATGAGAAAATGTGTTTTTTGGGATTCAATCGAAAGTGTTGGCAGGAACGAAAAAACTCTTCAAATAAGCTTTTTAGGTTTTTAAGAGACCTACAAAATGAGACCTCACGTAAAAAGATCCGACGAATAGCAAAGTTATGGCCGAAAACCGAGGCAAACTGCAGGTTTTGGTACTTGTTGGTATTGCGACGATCGTTTTTCGCAGATATTTGAAATTCTTCAAATTCATAGGATTCGTACTTCTAAATAACCACATCAATGACGGAGTAGATTGGTCAAGTAGTTTTTGAGCATTTCCAAACACCAGTTTTCCGGCCCTCACTACTAATTTATTGAGCAATATACAGGGTTAGTTCAAAGGACATTTTATAGGAAAATACACTAGTTTACCTTGTCGATATGAATCGCAAACTATTCCGGAAGATAAATGTTATTTTTATGCAAAAAGGGATGGGTTATGTTTTTTCTTCTAAATAAATTCAAACATTTCGTATTTGTGAGTAATTCGCAACAAAAGATGATAGACACATCCGCTTTGTTTTAAAATGTACGTATGTTTTTCGAATATCGTAACGAATTTGTTCATTAGTCACAAATACGAAATGTATGAATTTTTTTAGAAGAAAAAATGTAACTTTCGTTTTTCGCATAAAAATAACATTTATCTTTCGGAACGGTTTGTGATTCATATCGGCAAGGTAAACGTGTATTTTGTTATTAAATGCTCTTTGAACAAACCCGGTATATAGCTTAATAAACTACTAGTGATGGCTGGAAAACAGGTGTTTTGGGATAAACAATTGGAAATTCTCAAAAAACTACCTGACCAATATAATCAAATTTTGTTGTTGTTAGAAGTATTATTAATCCTACGGATTTGAAGAATTTCAAGTAGTTGCGTGAAATTTATTATTATAATACGAGGAAATTTGCTAATATGATTAGACTATAAAAGGACATGGGCTAGTTATTATGATGTATTGTCTAAAAATTCGTATGATCAAAGCTGAATTAAAACTTGAATAGAAAATATTAACAAGATTCTTTTCATCAAGTTTTACAATTCTAAAAAATTACTGAGATATTACAAAGCTACAGAGTTACGGCCTAAAGCCTAAAAAAAGGGACATGATCTACATTTCGGTTAAATTCATACAAGGTAAGTTTCTGAGGGTATACAAATTTTCACATATCAGAAGAACTATTGGTTTTACTGGCACAGAACAATAGCTTTACATAAATATATATAACGGGTGGGCCATCTATCGGTTTCGATTTGAACCACGTGTTAATTTGACGCTGACAATACTTATGTCAATCTGATTTGTCATAAAATTCAGTATATTATCTCCGCTGAACGAAATGAATCGATTTACGCTTGAGCAACGTTGGGTAATATTGGAAATTTATTTCCAAAACAAAGACAATTGGGCAGAAATTGCACGAAAATGCCGTTCAAAATTCGGTCGCAACGAAGCACCAACAGCGCCCGGTATACGCAAGTTTATTAATAAAGTGCGTGAAACTGGTTTCATTGTTGATGCTCCAACACGTCAGCGTGCTCGTACAGTGCGTACACCCGAAGGTATCGATGCTGTGGCTGCGAGTGTGCGTGAAAATCCATCAACGTCAACACGTCAACGTTCCCAAGAATTGAACATTTCCCGCACCAGTTTACGACGAATTTTGCGGAAAGATCTCGGTATGACGCCTTACAAAGTTCAATTGGTTCAAGAGTTGAAGCCGCGTGACCATCCACTTCGTTCTGCCTTCGCTACATGGGCCAACGAGCAACTAATCAATGATGTCGATTTTGCGAAAAAAATAATCTTTTCAGACGAAGCTCATTTTCATATTGGTGGCTACGTCAATAAGCAAAATTGCCGTATCTGGGGCTCGGAAAACCCACACGAGGTCTTAGAGAAGCCAATGCATCCCTTGCGAGTGACTGTTTGGTGTGGATTGTGGAGCGGAGGCATCATTGGCCCATATTTCTTTGAAGACGGGGACGGCGCAACCGTTTCTGTCAATGGAAACACCTATCGCACCATGATAACTGATTTTTTTGTTCCTGCTCTTGATGGTATTGATGTGGAGAATGTTTGGTTTCAGCAGGATGGTGCAACTTGTCACACATCGCATGCCACAATCAACTTATTGCGCGAAACCTTCGATGGCCGTTTAATCAGTCGAAATGGTGATGTCAATTGGCCGCCAAGAAGCTGCGATTTGACACCATTGGACTATTTCCTGTGGGGCGCTGTTAAAGACAAGTGTTATGTCGACCATCCAGAGACAATTGACCATTTGAAGGCCAACATTCGTGATGCCATTGACGAGATACGGCCCCAAACACTCGAAAAAGTGCTCGAAAATTGGTCCGATCGAATGGGCTACTGTGAGGCCAGCCGCGGCAGCCATTTGAATGAAGTAATATTTCATTTCTGAGCGGAACAATTGTACTTCAAAACAAAAAAATAAATTTGGCAATATCTCAAACCGTTTTTGTTTTATTTTATTTTTAAATCGAAACTTTTAAATGGCCCACCCAATATATACAATCAACTTCCCTCTTTGTATCTGGAATAAGATTTTGTTTCACACAACATCAATATTTTATTGAATGAAACTTACCCTGTACAAATGATAAAGATTGAATATTATGAACGCTATCATTTAAGATTACTTTGAAGTGTTATGTGATCCGTGATGACTCACAAAAACCGAACTAAATGAATAACTTTGGTGCCACAAAATCCAAAATATTAATATGTTAAACATTATGAGCGCCACGCTAAAACCATTTGCAATTGTTAATTAAATACGCGAAAGGAGTCAACATAACTGACTAAAATTCTAATCAGGTATGTCATAGCTTATCATAAATGGCGAACGAATAGGTAATAGGGTGAATCATGCAATAACTGCCTTCATTACTAGATATATTCACATTGATAACACAAAAAGCAATATTTATGTTATTTTGTTGAAACACGTGCAATGAATTCTTAAGCGATTTGTTGCTTTGTTAACAAAAATTAATTTATCTAGATGATTTTCTCAAGTATTCGGTAATGAACATATTTGTCATAAAAAAACCAAAAGCGCACTCGACAACAGAGTTAGTTTCTTTGGTCTTAGGAAGTAGAAAATATTGACATAAGGTCTGTCTTTAGCGTAAATTATTGACAGGCTTTAATTTTTCAAGTTGATATTCTTTCAAAATAAGTGACATTGTTTCTTTTACAGTATTTCTCAAAACATACAGGGTGAGTTCGGTCGATAACTCTGTTTATGATGCATGGTATCTTAAAAAGTTAATGTCAAAAATTGTAGCCAACAGTATGCTCCTTACTTTTATTGCTACGGAATGATACATAGCTACGTGTTTATCCAAGCATACATCTTTTTAAATGAAGAGGCCTACATTATATTGCAAATTCGGATAGGCTCTTCCAAACGAATCAATTTGATGTAACATACTATAAGGTTTTATTTCAAAATTATTGAGATATTAGACAATCAATCAAAAAAAAAAACACGCACACACACAACTTTGACAACTCGCAATTCCATCTAAAGCTGGACTACTGAATTTTATGATCCCAAATTTTCTTTCTATCCACTTAGTGTTTCAGTTTCTTCGATAGACTATACAGGGTGATTAAGAACACAAAACGAACGGTTTCTCAAAATTTTCATATCGGACACCCTATATATTTTCACACTTTTTGATTCCCCTTTTCACAAACTTTATCCGATATAAAGGTTATGACAGTTTCTGAGTTACAATTAACCTTTTTGTAAATCGAATATCAAGGTAAATGAGAAATGTTGCAATATCTTTTGAATTGAAAATAGCATTCAGTTAGAAACGGCAGATGGTTAAAATCCGTGTATTTTAACTATAAATCTGACTAACCTTGTACAATAAAGTCGGAAAGTCAAGGCGGTATCCCGGTCTTTTTAGTAACTCAAAAACCAGTTGTACGAACCCCATAAACCTTATATCAGAAAAAAACCGGTGAAAAAATGAATCAAAAAGTTAGGAAGTATACAGGCTGTTCCATTTGAAATTATTCAGAGATCGTTCAATTTGCGTTCTTGGCGGCCCTGTATAAACTAATTAAAAAACTAAATAAGCAAAAAAATATTATTACTTTTTTTTGACGAAAAATTCAGATCTCTAGCTATACCAGTTGAGGAGGTGCGCGCTGTCAAGGTTGAGTGTTTTTGCGATAGATTGCCCAATATCTCAACAATTTGAAAATAGAACCCTATAGCATTTATTTTATATCAAGTTACTTCGTTTAGAGGAGCCTATCCGAACAGGCAATGAATATGTAGGTCTTTCCATTTAAAAAAATGTATGTCTGGGTGGTCACCACTAATTATGAATTACCGTGGAGAAATAAAATTATTTTATAAATAAAGTACATGCTACAAGCCCACACTAAAAACTCACCCAGTATGTCTAGAATTTTGGCGATCACAATTGATTTCATTTAGTTAAAACCATTCAAAATACATCAACTTACCCAGGTAAGCATTCACATTCGTATGCAGCAATCAAATCATGACAAGTAGCGTTGTTCCTGCATTGGTTATTTTCACATTCGTTAATATCTATGGAACAATCATCCGCAGCATATCCCGCTTGACAGTTACATTTGTAAGTTTCTGTACTATTGACACAATACCTTGAAAAATTCACAATAAGACAATTGCAATTTCTAGGTACTGACTGATAGTTGTTTAGGTGTTTTTTATATAGCTTTAACCAATAATATTACATTAACATGAACATAATAATCACATATCACTTGGATCTAGAATATAAAGCTCTTAATTTCCTCCTAAATATTGTAATATTTTTGTGCTGTTTTTATTTCTAGTGGTAAACCATTACAAGTTATTGAACATTCAACAAAAAGATTTGTACATTGTCCTGGTTTTAAACCTTTCAATATAACAATGGTATTTTGAGCTTATGTCATATGATACCATATCAAATCTTTTCAACATCTTGCTGAAACAAGTTGGCGCTTTATTGTTTATAATTTTAAATAAATAAAAACAAGTTTGTCTCTTCTATGATTACCTGCATTGTTAAAAAAATTAAATTTTGTTTGACTTCGACTTAATAGCATTCTCATACATTTGTTTAATAATAGTTGGAGCCTCTGCTTATCATCTAGTGAACAAGTAATTATTAATGATTAATGATCAGCAATTTAAATGAAATTCTGCCAATTTTTACCAATTTTTTTGTACACATATAATCCACTAGGTCACTGAAACTAAAGTTTTGATCTATAATAACTCCTAAAGATTTAATTTTGTTAACAAATCTTATGGTCTCATCATCAATTTTTTATTGATATATCGGTTTTGTACATTTGACAATGATACTAGGATCCGATTAGCATACACTTTTTTGTAAGCATCAATTTTAACCTATTTTAGAAATAATAATGCACTTACCCTTTATTGAAACAATCTGTATTATAACACAAGACGCAACCAAGTTCAATGTTTGCATCTGAATCCAATTCAAATCTTTCCACTTGGTAAGTTTGGTTGTGATATATTTCCTTTGGTTTGAAATAAGGCAGAAGTAAGGCACCTATTCTGATTTCCCCCAAACAACCCTAAAAAGGAAATATCGGTAATACACTATTTTTTTCTGAAAGAATATAGCAAATAATAAAAATTTGAGAATTCCAAAGTGAGATATATAAGGTGTTTCCTAATTAAATATTAATATTCAAGGATGCAATTTTTGGGTACATTTTAAACGTCTTAGTACCAGGGTGGTAAAGTTTTCAAAAATAAATAATTTATTATTAATATCTACAAACACTACTTTGGATATTTAAATGAAATTGGGCATTCATGTATCAAGAGGAATTTTTTGGTGTACCACATTTTTTTAATTTCCTCCAAGCAGTATAAAGTTATTCTTACCTTGAAATTGTCCGTGGTTTTATTTTTGTCAACCTTATACAATACGTCGTCTACAAAACCGTCATAATTCTCTAAAGAATTGCTGACCAACATATCTGCAGTGGTGGTGTCGCTCACTGGAATATAACCTGTCATGGTGTTGTTTGCACTTTGTATTATACTCCTGGAAACGAAAATTTACAATTCAAATTTGACTTGCTCACTCATCGGATTTTGTATAGATTAAGATTATGAATATAAAAAATAGCTACGTACATATAGTCAAAGGTTTTGTTGTCGCTGCCGCCTACAAATATTGCGCCGTATTTGAAGATTTCTGTAAAAGCAACTAGGTCAAAATCTGCGACCTCGAAATTATGGGATTCGTCCATGACATGTTCCTTGAATCCGCCTTTGAAAGTCTTGTCCTTGTAGATGAACAGCAAGGATATCCACTGACCCTCGAATCTAATAATGAAATATAAATATTATTAAGCCATATTAATAAATATTTTTACGGAAATGCTTTAATTTCAAACTTTCGGTTATAATCATAAATATTTTTAATCCAATATATATATATATATATATATATATATATATATATATATATATATATATATATATATGTAGATTCTGATGGATCGGTCCTCCACTCATGGGCTTTTTAGAGTCGATAGGTCCTCCGCTCTGATAGGTCCTCCGTATAAGGAGGACCTATCGCAAATTCCACCTATCGGCCCCTCAGGCCCCCCTCTGTCACCTGGCAAAATTTCAGAGGGATGACCTAGATCATGTTTTTCGCCGAATTTGGGTACCGTAGTTCAGGGTTTTGCCGCGCCGATTTGGTGGACTCACGATCGCTTGGGTATTCAGCCCGTATATTATCAAATATTACCAGTCAGGTCTACAGTGGATCGGTCATCTGCCGGGTATTCAGTATCCAGATTATCGCTTTTAGATCCTCCTTAATATTGGCATCGCTGTATTAGGTATTTTATTATATTTGCTGTGTTAGAGGATCGGCTTTTCACCTTTCTATGTCTGGTGCGGCCCAGTTCGCCGTCAGGCATTATAATAGGGGCGTCCGTGACCGAGAGTACCGTAATGCAGCAATAATATATTTGTTCGATTACTATCATTATTAATATAATTATGATTACGATTATGGTTGTGATTATGATTATGATTACGATTATTATTACTAGTTTTCGGAAAAAAATGTTTTTCCAATCAGGTTTTAGACTCATAACAAGTCGATTTGACATAAGTCACCTCTATGCAAAAGTGCTTCGTTTATTTGCCAACTAGATTTTTACGCTTGATGTGTTAAAACATTTTTTTAGAAACCAGCCCCAAAAAAGGTTTTTTTTTCTCGAAAACTATGAAAGATATCTCGTTTTAATGAGAGACAAAGGATGGAATAAATAAAAAAATCGGTCATGAGGAAAGTTGGGAAAAATTCTGCTACAATTTATGTAGGTGTGGGGGTAGTTTTCACCCTTCCAAAAAGCTCTGGAGTTTTTCGTAAAAGGCAAATATTAGAACGCTGAGCAGAGCATATGTGTTCCAAATTTCATTAAAATCGACCTACCGGCTTTTGAAATATCTTGGAAAACGTGTTTTTAAAAGAAAACTTTGATGCCCCCTAACGAAGCACCTTCGAATACAGATAACTTATGTGCAATCGACTTGTTCTCAGTCTGAAAATAACTAGTAATCTCACGTCCATGGAATATTGGGTCACGATGTGTACAATACATGATTATATGAACAAAGAGCAAAGTTTAGCGTAAAGCTACTCAAGCTAAATTAAAAAGGGTAATATAGATAGACCATTATGCAAATACAACCACATGAATAGAAAATCAAGGATGGTGTAGTATTAAGGAAAAATGTTCACAAAAAAACACTCTCAAATATGATAAAGGTGATGCTCAAATCCAATTTCCTATAGAATAAAATAAAAACAAATATGCTAATCCTAGTTTTACAATTTAAAAAATATGCTTTTACTTACCGCGCCTATTGGCAGGGAATTAATGTAATCACAAAAAATTCGCTTTAGCTGCAGTGGTTGCAGAGTGGTCAACAAACGAAGAGAAAATTGCATAAACTTCGCTTTCGGACAATGACCTACATTTTTCAACATTTTGTGCTTTGACAACCACGCGGTTATAGGAGCGAAGGATAAACGCAAATAATATCGGTATGAATTTTATTTACGAAAATACATAAGAAGAAAACTGAATTTATACATTGACAAAATGAAACTACTAAAAAATGCTTATACTTAGTTTGTGATACATATGTTCATACTTAATTTCTACTTTATTAAAAAAACGGGTTCGCTCATAAATTGAGATGGTATTCATTTTTTCTTTCGGTACTGGTTCTGGATGAAAACTTTGATTTTTAGCCAGTCCTTATTATGTAATAATTCAGTATGACTTGCGATGAGGTTATCGCATTCAGCCTTTTTTGGGGCCCTCTTAGATTTAATGTGATTTCCAAAGTGAACCAAGACTAAATTTTTCTGATCTTCAGTCCAAGGAACTAGAACCCTGGACTTTTTCTTTGGTAACGTTATATCCACTTGCTGAGATTCCGGATCTGGATGCGGTTCTTGGATATCTTCATATTGGCATAGAGGCTCTGGGTGGTTATCATCCTGCTGCGCTTCTGATATCAAATTCTCGTCTAGATTCAAATTAATTTCGTCCAGGGATTTTCCTTTGAAATGACCTGCCTCGCCCTTCTCCATCAACGTCAAAATCTTGGAGAGTCTAGCCGTTTGGTAGACGTCATCTGGTAATCGGTATGATGCACGGTGGATACCTAGTGTATGTCCCATAAAAGATGCGAGTTGTTCCATGTCATTTTCTGACATGTTGAACAATTGAGTCAAGGTTGCCAAGTGCTTTCTCAGACGGGTGCTAGTCAGAGCATGCGGATTTTTCGCTTGACATAACGACGCATACTTTTTGATTACCTTGTAACCAATAATGGGTTCTTGGGAGTTAGGTTTACCGAAAAGATATATGTTCGACACCGTCTGAATATTATCTCTACACTCTAGTATTAGATTCAAGTGATCCTGTACATCCTTGCTTATAAGAACTGGAACACCTCTGCCTCTTTTTCCACGGATTACTATTCGTTTGAAAGATCTCATTAGAATTCTCTCGGTTTCTGTTATTGCTTCTGAAAACTCCTCATAGGCTTGATTGTGTTCCTCAGATATAGCGGATTTGTAAACATGTATGGGAAGTCGTTGTAGTTCTCCAGGCCGCCTCCTATTTAATAAAAGCAACCTACAATAAACTGTCTCGAGTAAAGACGTGTATGCTTTTTCATTGCTTGGATTTTTTTGTAGCATTGATACCTGATTTGCAGCTACTTTCATGAGGTAATCCTTCAATAGTTTGAGATCAGTAGCTAACGGTACCAAAGTGACCTTATTCCATTTTTTTAGGTTGAGGTCATTAGCAGCATTGGTTGAAATATCGACTCGCCAATTTGCCTCTATGAGTTGGATGCATGTTTTTATATCTGCCTCAACGTTTGCATTATCTACTGTTGGCAGTGACTTAGATTTTTTTAGAACGTGTAAAAGAGCCACATCGCAACATTGTTTTAAGGTTGTACCCATGTTCATAGCATATGTGGGGGATTTATAAGTTTGGCTTTCGTCATCATATCCTGATGTTAATTTAGTTGCTTTCACAAGTATGTCATATTTGTGTGGTTTTAGAGCATCAAATAGGGTAACCACAGACAAATCTAATTTTTTTATCTCCATTAGAAGTCGAGCCAATTCTCTCATTTTCCTAGAAACGACTTGGACAAAATGTAGCTCCCTATGGAGTTTCAGATATCGGGAAGCAAACGCACATATTAATTTATCATTTTTCGCAACCAATGAAACTTTGTCAGGTCTCATGCGAGGAAATACTTTTACTTTGAGCTCAATATCTACCTTTATATTACCCAATAACAGAGTTTGTCCTAAAGCCTGTGATCGTTTGCCCGACGATCCCTTCTCCGGGTTTGCATCACATTGTTTGCGATGACGCCATAAGTTCTTTGCAGAATAGTAACCCATACAGTGGATGCATGGAAGATATTCCGTTTTTTCCGCACCTTTTCTAACAGGTTTTATCCCCTCTCCCCTCAAAGGCGTAGAGTTGATAAATTTACCCTTTTTCCTTAGAGCAAAAAGCAGTTGTTGCCTTTTACGGCTTAAAACAGGTAAAGCTAGAAATTCTTGTACCTCAATTTCATTCGTATGGTTTCTTTTCAAATGACGTGGAAAATGAAAAACCTCACATTCACAAAAACAACAGAAAACTGTAACTTTTTTCTTCTTTCCTGACAGTCCAGTATTCACTGATGAAGAACCAGACTGACTGGGTGCAGACTGATCACATTCTGCGGTGGGAATTGATTCAGCTTTTGCATGTATAGTAACATTCTTCTTGACACTTGCCGAATGTAAGTTGTCTCTGGCCTCATCGCTCCTGTCCAGTTCCTCGTCCTTTCAAAAGAAAAATAAATATAAATACAATAAATGCATAAGCATCGCGACAGGTGGACAGTACTTATACTTATCATTGGAGGCGTATCAAATGAAATGTTCAGTGAATAGTGTTAGTATTGACGTTCAATTTTGTATGTTGTTTCATTGATCAATTCATAAAATATCATGCCGTCTATGCTAAGGAATGACCATTGTTTTTCAACCACATTTCCCTCTTTCGTCTCTGGCCTTCTCTCACTTGCCAAGCAATAAGCGGAGAACCTTATCCTGAGCAAAGTTGTTCCAGTAAAAATAGATTTTATTATACCTATTTGGAAAAATGGCATCAAGCAGGCTGACTCTATACTTCCTACGCCTTCAAGATGGCTCTTAGTGCAATTTCCAATATAGTGCAATTGAATCTATTAATCTGCTGTCAAAAATAGTGGTTACAATTTGAATTCAAAGTTTTTACTTATAGATGATATCTAAGGTTTAGGTGATATTTAAGGGCATCAAAATCACTCCTTTATACTGAACTTCAAATTCAGATTGTAACCGTCATTTTTGAAAGCAAATTTATAGACTCGATTGCACTATATTGAAAATTGCACTAAAAGCTGTCTCTAAGGGGTAGGACGTATAGAGTCAACCTACTTGACACCATTTTTTCAAATAGGTATAATAAAATCTATTTTTACAGTAAAAACTTCGCTCAGAGATAAGCTTTGTCGCTTGTTGTTTGGCAAGTGAGAGAAGGCCAGAGACGAAAGAGTTTTTAATCCCTCCAAAAATGTTTTTGAAAATGATCGGGATTCTCTGAAACGTCAAATACGAAGTTTTTTGAACGTTTTTTTGAATATCTACATTTACCTGTTTTGATCCGTAAAAGGCAACAACTGCTTTTTGCTCTAAGGAAAAATCATAATTTTATCGCCTTCGGAGGTCGAGGGGGTAAAACCTGTTAGAAAAGGTGTGGAAAAACGGAATCATGCATCCACTATATGGGTTACTATTTTGCCAAGAACTTATGGCGTCATCGCAAACAATGTGATGCAAACCCGGAGAAGGGATCGTCGGGCAAACGATCACAGACTTTAGGACAAACTTTGTTATTGAATAATATAAAGGTAGATAATGAGCTCAAAGCAAAAGCATTTCATCGCATGAGACCTGACAAAGTTTCAAGTTGCAAAAGATGATAATATGTGCGCATGCTTGCTGATATCTGAAACTTCACAGGGAACTACAATTTGTCCAAGTCGTTTCTAGGAAAATGGGAGAAGTGGCTTGACTTCTAATGGAATTAGATTTGTCTGTGATTACCCTATTGATTGCTATAAAAACACATAGATATGACATACTTGTGAAAGCAACTAAGTTAACATCAGGATATGATGATGAAAGCCAAGCTTATAGATCCCCGACATATGCTATGAACATGGGTACAACCTTGAAAAAATGTTGCGGTGTGGCTCTTTTACACGTTTTGAAAAAAATCTGAGTCACTGCCAACAGTAGATAATGCAAACATTGGTTCCATTAGCTAGTGATCTTAAACTATTGAAGGATTATCTTATGAAAGTAGCTGCAAATCAGGTGTCAGTGCTACAAAAAGTTCAGGTAATGAAAAAGCATGCACGTCTTGACTGGAGACAGTTTAATGTAGGATGCTTTCATTAAAGAGGAGGCGGCCTGGAAAACTACAACGACTTCCCATAAATGTTTACAAATCCGCTATATCTGACGAACACAATCAAGCCTATAAGGAGTTTTCGGAAGCAATAACGGAAACCGAGAGAATTCTAATGAGATCTAACAAACGAATGGAAATTCGTGGAAAAAGAGGCAGAGGTGTTCCAGTTCTTATAAGCAAGGATGTACATGAGCACTTGAATCTAAAACTAGAGTGTAAAGATAATATTCAGACGGTGTCGAACATAAATCTTTTCGGTAAACCCAATTCATAAGAACCTATCATCGGTTACAAATCCGCATGCCCTGACTAGCACCCGTCTGAGAAAGGTCATAGCAACTTTGACCCAATTGTTAAACATGTCAGAAAATGACGTGGAACAACTCGCATCTTTTATGGGACATACACTAGGTATCCACCGTGCATGATACCGATTACCAGATGATGTCTACCAAACGGCTAGACTCTCCAAGATTTTGACGTTGATAGACAAGGGCGAGGCAGGTCATTTCAAAGAAAAATCCCTAGAAAAAATTGAATTGAATCTGGACGAGAATTTGATATCAGAAGCGCAGCAGGATAATGACCACCCAGAGCCTCTATATCAATATGAAGAAATCCAAGAACCGCATCCAGATTCGGAATCTCAACAAGTGGATGAAACGTTACCGAAGAAAAAGACCGGTTCTTGTTCCTTGGACTGAAGATCAGAAAACTGACAAGGAAGTATTCTAAAGTATTTTCATGTTATATGACATGTAGATCACTCATTTCCGTCAGTCTGTCCGCCGCTCTGCTGCTGTGTCGAGTCCTTGATTACTTGAGGGGGAAGGTTACCACTAGACCAGGGACAGAAAAGCTACCTATATAGTTTTTAAGAGCGTTCCAGTGCCGGCGGAGAAAAAGTTAAAAACAAAAAAAGAAATCTCATAAACTTCGTTTTTTATTGTTTCAGATACTGATCATTTTTGAGAAAAAAATTTGTGGTGGAAAATTAGCGAGTTGGAGGTTGTAGAGGGTGGGACGGGTATATCTCTTTTTTATTTAGTTTAATGATACACTTCCATCCCTAGTAATTCTTCGCAATCTATTTGACACATTCTAAACATCATAGATTCCCCTCACATAGCAACGTTTTGATGGAAAAGATGTTATAGTTATTAATTGGAAAGTCGAAAAATCAAAAAATTTGAAAGTTGAAAAATATTAAAATTGTAAAATTACAAAATTAAAATATCGGATTGGCTACACAACTCCACCCAATCCAAATTTTTCAATGGGTACTTGAGTAGAATAATAGTAATATATTTACCTCAGCCTCTTCACTAGTGTGGGGACTATAATCTTCATCTTCTGCATCAGAAATTACAGAAGATGATGGTGGTGTGCAGCATATATTAGGCGAAGTAAGAGATATGAACTGAAATGAATGACATATATCAGACATGTTTCATAAAGAATACATAATATTGCTTTACCGAGCTAGATTCACTTTGGTGGTCTGGATCTTCCACTATGCTCTCGTTATTCGAGGTAACGTTGTACTGAAAAAGGTTCAATAGAATAAAAAAGTTCACAGACTAGGCAGTGAATGATTATTACCTCAGAGTCCTTGCACAAGTTACTGCAATGAACATTTTCTGATAAACCGGATATTGATGATGATGGGGGTGTACAGCATATCTTGGGGGATGTAGAAGATATTACCTAGAATAAATCATAAATATGGGAACTCTACCAAAAAAAACATACTTATGTTTTACCGAGTTGCAGTCACTGTGGTCGCTGTTTTGTTTAACCACAGATGACACCTTACGTGAATCAGTAATCACTGTTTCAGAAGTCTTATCTTTTTCTTCATCTCTTGGATGCTGTGTGATAGGTGATAGACCTCTGTTACAAAACCAATTTTTGCTCATATTGAAAGGCTTTCCCTGGAAAAGTTCAAATATATTGTTTTGTAATTATTCCGTTTCAACTTAGAGAAATAATACCATTCCAAAAAATAATAGATATACAATATCGACTATCTTCAGGAAGAATACAACATGCTTGTTTTTAGTGAAAAGATATTTGATAAGAGTGCTCTCAAAAATGTCAAAAAGCCAATTATATTAGAGTAATTTTTGTCATTAGCTTTTTTCCCAATGAACTGACATCCACAAGCCATTTTTTTCCGTGCAGCAATAGTATATGTTGATTGTCAAAGTAAAATACTTTATTTTTAATTGATTCTAGTAGCAATACCAGTGAATGATGTTCGAAATTTTACCAAACTCAATAATACGTAATGTGTTATCATTAAACACTATATCCATGCATTAACACTAGAAATTTTTGAGTGTACAGATACAGGAAATAGGTATGATTTCCTGTTTTCTACGCAAATGTTTGATAAAGTCAGATATGTCAAATAGATCCGATAGAAAACCTTAGGAAATTACGATTCACTCCCTCATCAACTCCTAACCCTCAAAATTTATTTGGATAATGATCAAGAGCCCCTGAATCGTCAAAAAACAAAGTTTGAGCGATTTCTATTTTTTCGTTTGTGGCCCTTTTCTCTGACGCCACTGGACCTATTTTTAAAAGCTAAAGCTTTCTTGTCCATAGCCTCGTAGCAACCTTGTGTCTAAATTTCATCAAAGTCCCAATGGTACTTTCCACGTTATAGCAGAAATGAGTATCATGGTTTTCCGTGATCTACATGTCATATAGCATCCAACAAAACATAATACCTCACTTTCAAAATATCTTGCGATTACAATACTTCCTCGACCGTTGACGTGGGAAGTAAAACATGATATCTCTGATTTGCAATTTTAGATTTAGAATTTTATCACCCCGCTACTGTACCATATAGGAAATAATCAACACAATCTCCCGTTTAAAATTATCATTGTCTACATATAAAGTCGAGCTACTTGACACCGTGAGTCAAAAGCACAGTCTGTAGTGATTTTGTATTATAATGCAAAAAACGGAATCAGTACATATACAGGTATGTACCCTAAAAAAGATGTAAAGCAGCAGCTAGAAAAAAGCCAAAATGAGCTTTGATTGAAGTATTCTATTTTTAAATTTTCAGTGATGTATGGTCACACTCAATCTACTTGACCCTGTTCTTTAACTTGAAAAAAAAAACATTGTAGCTTTACATTCAAGAATCACCTATACAAAACTAAACCAACAAGATTAGATAAAGTTTGGCGTAAAATTTATGGGGGTTGACCTTTTGAACAGCATTGTTTTATCCTTCACGCTACTCAATATTCATTGCTTTTCCATTAAATGTAAGTAATACAGTCATATTACCATCATATCCTATTAACGATTGCATAAGAGTTCAAAAAGTCATACTTACCTCAACAGTCCTTTCAGACACACTCTTGAATACACAACAGATTTGAACGTCCTTCCAGCACGATTGGTGCCAATAAAATGAATTCTCAGATCTTAGACAAACCGACAAACCCTATCCCCGGGCGCACGCGCTTTATTGACTGGAATTAAAATGATCGGGAGACCGATCTGACGTCAGACGTACGCCATTCAGCTAGTTCGGGTATTGTGGAGGACTCAGCACTGGTTTGCGTATTGAAGAGTATTCTTCATGGGAGATTGATCCACCAGTGTTTAGTTAATTCGAGTATTTTGGGAGACTCAGTGCTGGTTTCTTGTGAATCGTATGGTAGAAGAGTATTCTGCATGGAAGACCGATCTAGCAGTGTTTAGTAAATTCAAGTATTTTGGGAGACTCAGTGCTGGTTTCTTGTGAATCGTAGGGTAGAAGTGTATTTATTCTGCACGGAAGACCGATCTAGCAGGGTTTAGTAAATTCAAGTATTTTGGGAGACTCAGTGCTGTTTTTTTGTGAATCCGAAGGTATTTTGATGGACGATTGTATCATATGGCTTTTGGTTGGCGTGACTATATGGTTAAGTCTGAGCTATTAGAGAAAATCGTTGATATACGATTTTATTTCAAGATTAGGAATATTCTCATAGATAGATGGTACCAAACATGAATGGTGATTTCCTTATCCAAAGATAACGTCACATGATTGTAAGGCTCAGTATAGTGATTAGGTAATTCAAGTATTTTAGGATACTCAATGCTGTTTTTTGCGAACCGGAGGGCAGGGAAGTATTTCAACTGCTAATATCACAGATTTGGAAATTACGCGTCTAAAGCTTATCATCATTAGGATGTCGTCGATACGACATAGGCTATTGGAAAAGCAAAGTGCTCGATCTGAAAGTTCATACAACCTCCTGGACATGTAATAGAAAAAAGTATTCTTGATTGTGTGGGCTGCTCGATGATCTGATAATTTTTGCATAGGTAAGTTATAATTTACGAAACGTTGGGCATCCTTCTGTCGTATGCTAGCAACGTTTTGTATAGTCTTAATCGAGCAAATAGTGTACTCAAAGTTGCTGGAAAGAATTTTGGTTATATCCATTGGAGATCCTTGAAAAATAATATAATAATACAAGTCCAAGTTAGGAGACTTCAGTAGTATTATGTAAAGAGAAATAAATGAAACTTGGCACCACTGCACGGATGACTTATCTACTGGTGTTTAGTTAATTTGAGTATTCTGGGGGACCGAATGCCGTTTTGTGATCTGAAGGGTATTCCGGTAGAGGACACATCTTACGGTTTTTAAAAGGTAGACCTATATAGCGGACTTTATATGAAAATCCGAAATGTTAATGTACAGTTTTTTGAGCTGATCCTGGATCAGTTTGCCTTTTTGTTGGATATACACGAATCAAATTTGATATATATTCGATATTTCTGGTAGGTGACTTATTGCTGGGAATTGAAAGGATTACCGATCCACATGGAGATGTAAATATATATATATATATATATATATATATATATACAGGGTGACTTCGAAGTTGAGTCATTTATTTTAACAGTGAGTAGATCTGATCAAAAGAAATGTTTTTTTCCTTTACCATTTTTCTGGTAAAATTAAAGTCACAAAGTTATAGCCCTTTGGAAGTTTGAGTACGGCCCTGTCTCAATAATAATATTATGTGCTCGTGTCTGGCAACAACGAATATAATCCGCCTTATCGGTTCATCGCCTCGGAAACAAAAAAGCGAAAGACTTTGGAACGATGTTTTTACAATTATTTTATTCAGTTGTATACAGTCAGTGTCAGTCGGTAACGCGTGAGTGAATAGTGGTGTCTGTTGCGTGGCTCAAACGAAATAAAAAATGGCACATGTTTATGCGGATCGGTTTCCCGATCGAGTGCAACCAACCCCTCGTGCCTTTGTTAATGTAGTACAACGGGCTCGTGAATCAGGTGACTTAAGACCTCACAGGGGACGGCATGCCGGTGCTCCAAGACCTCACGATCAAATACAGGTCCGCACTGAAATACTTGTCGGGAGGATACTTTATAAAACAAGGTAATTTTTTTTTTTTAATTTTTTTTTTATTTTTACACACATAGTTTGGTTTATCTTCCTTCTACAATCATTATCTGAAAATTAATGACTCAACTTCAAAGTCGTATATATGCCGAAGACAAACAATTTTTTGTTTTTGAGTTTGAGTTAAAGTTTCTTTGAAACTCCGAAATACTAACATGACATAAAAACTCTGCCATGTTTCACTCTAAAACTGGCACATTTATCAAATCAGCAAATACATATTTGCTTTTATTTCGAGAATCAACCCAATCATAAATACCTGTCTTTCATAAATCGCTTTGTATACTTATTTCCATCAAATAGCCACTCAACAACGACTTCATTATGATAAATGAATACCACAAAATAGTCTTCCTTGTGTTTTGCAAACAGTACTGTACCCCAAGACCTAAAAACAAGATGAAAACTCCTTTAATATGGTAACTACATTTTGGGTTAAAGGGTTCTGCTTTCGTTCATTGTCCCAGCATGAGAAAAAAGTTACAAACATGTATAACAGGGAAATTAAATGGATCAAGTATGTCAAACAGGTCCATACAATTAGCCCATGCCCTGCTGGTATTACCGTCTATCTGGCAACGTCGCCTATCCCCATATCTGATCGGGCGACGCGGTAGACGCGGCAGCGGCCTGAGCACTTATGAAGACCGACACGCCCGCTGGTGAAGCTTGAGAGCAGAGGCAAAGACGTGTATCTAAAACATGTCTATCATTTTATGGGGAAATGTATGGGGATTCAAATTCCTTTATTATGTACGAACAAGGCAAGATCACGTCATGTGTATAACCCACAATATTTCTAAGAGGTATCTACGTAAGAAATAAAAAGAAAACTAAAAGAACAAGCTGATACGAACAAGGCAAGATCACGTCATGTGTATAACACACTATTTCTAAGAGGTATCTACGTAAGAAATAAAAAGAAAACTAAAAGAACAAGCTGAATAGAGAAAAATCAAAACGTAGATGTGAATACCAAGTTATTGGGCCTCCTGACAATTACATTGTTTCAGGTCCTTCAAAAAAGACAAGGATGTGTGAGATATGTACCGGGGTTGTGAGCGTATTAATATCTAATATTAAAAAATTGTGATACACCCTCGCCGATCCCCTACATAAAACGTTTGAGCGATTTTACTTTTTCTCATTTTTGGCAGTTTTCTTCGCCGCAACTGAACCGATTCGAATGATGATGAGAAGTAAAATGAAAGTATTTCAGTTCAAATTCACAAATATCTACAATACACCTTACCTAGTTCTATAATTGATCTCTACAGTATCAAACACAGCATTATTTGTCTCTTTATCGAACATAGCCAATGTGTACTTCATTGGAGTTTGGAGTCCATTGAATGTACTGTTCGCAATACACTCGAAACTATCTTCCAGATTCTTACAGATGGATCCCTGAGGACAGCCTTCTAGTTCACAAAACTCCAGTTCATTACAAACTTTGCCCTTGTATCCTCGTGGACATATACACCTAGACAAATTTTTTTATATAAATAAGGAAGTTTTAATTATTGGATTGCATGGAACTGAAAAATGATATTGCTTATGAGAGATGTGACTTATTTAAGTTACAAGTATCTGAAATACAGATGATAAAAGATACAAAATACGTATTTTCATCTTGTATCCAAGACACTGTAACGTCCTTGATTGGCGTGAAGCGCGACCGGGCGTCAGCGCTTGCAGGTTAGGCCTTGGTCTCAAGAAAAGTCGAGACATATCTGGAGGCACATGCTGCCATCTAGACCACTTCCATGGAAGTTCCGACCAGATGGTGGAACGAGTCAGTCACAGTCGAGCCAGTGGACAGCGATCGCGGAATTAAGATAAAATAGCAGTCCAGTCGACATAGTTAAAAATTAGTAGCAAGTGTTATAGTAATAAATTAGACTTTGAACATTAAAACAGCGTTTTCGTTACAATACTTTTTTAAAATTGTATTTAGATACATTCAGTTTGATATCTTAATATCTGGTAAATACTATGTTTCAAATACTTTTAGTAATGGCATTGATTAACTTATACTACCTCATTGAATAGTAATAGTTACCTATGCATTTCTTCACAAAATGAGCCCATGAAACTTCAGTCTGGGGTCAATAATATGTAAAAACACTTATCCTGACTGAAACACGGAAAATTAATTGATCTGATAAACAAACATCGGAGGTTTTAGACAATACTGGAAGTAGTATGAAATAGAAGTCAAAAGTAGAATCCTATTACATGCTCTTATAGGAGTGATTCCACCATCGCAAGTCGCGAAAACAGTGAAAACACAGCGTCTACTGGCAGCAAATATTACACCTGTTTGCGGAATTCTGCTCATGTGGAGTACTCTTCTCTTTTGGGGGTATGATAATAACACGTATTTGAAGAAAAACGAGCGATATAATGTTGGTTCTACTAGTCTCAATTAATCCTTAAAAGTATGATATTTTATCTAATTTGGGCGATCAACGCGTAAATAATTATCCAATAAAATGCCGTTTTCTTACAAAATTATTGTATCCATAAAAGTATTCAAAAGATACGTATTTTGTGTCTAGTACCTCAGATACCATTCCAGAAAGTATTTTGTATCTGGAATGCTTATTTTAAAACTATCTTGTACAGGGTGCGGCAGAGAGGATGGACGGTTTTAAAAAAATCATGAAATAGTTAATTGTTACTCGAAAACAAATTTATTGATGGAATCAGGTTCACAAGGAAATAGCATTTGAGACAGTCAGGTGTGGAAAATCACATCAGGCATGTGGTGGCCGAAATCGTTGATGCAGTGCTGGAGGCGTTCTTGGAAGTTCGCGATACAGCGCACCAAACCGCTACTTTTGGGCTGTGCAGCGGTCTTTCGTGTAACTGTTGCGGATTTTCATTAGCCCAATAACGACAATTCTGCTGGTTAACCGTGCTGTTTAGGTGAAAGTGGGCTTCGTCACTCATAAACAAAATTAGGTTCTCATTTTGATCGATCAGTGCTTCCATCTCACGTGCGAAGTTCATTCGTTGTGCATAATCTCCGGGCTGTAACTGTTGCACAATGACCAATTAGTAGGGGTGAAAGCGGAGATCCATATGCAAAATTCGCTTTACCGAACGATCACTAAGGCGAAGTGCAGCAGGATGTTTCCGGGCAGATCGAGTCGGACTGCGAAGAAAGACCTGTCGAATTCGTTCACCCTTTTCTGGAGTTCGAACTGTTCGCGGCGCTCCTCTTGGTCTTCTGTTGATCAGTTCACCACGCCTGAGAAGTGATTCAACCCAACGAAGGATGATGTCTCGAGAGGGAACAGCTCTATTCCGATGAATGTTGAAGTGACGACGAAACTCACGCTGTACGACGATGACCGACTCATTATTTCGGACGAAACAATCATAGGCGAAAACGCGGTGCGCCACCGTCCAAGGCTCCATAACGACAACTGGTAAAATAATGCTAAGATCTCACGAGTCAAACGGCACCCTCCCCACCTCTCTGGTAGGCGGAGGCGGAGAGTACTACCCATCCCAAAAACGTCCGTCCTCTCTGCCGCACCCTGTATTTTGTATTCCAGATACTATGTATATGGCATCTTCTACACTGTTGCTAATGCTGGTAAAATGATTTTAATAACGTTAGCACAATAGCCTCAGCTACAGTAACTTAAGCCGGCCTACAACGCTGACGAACACATTACCTTTTGTCAACTGTAGCCTGCGTACTACAAAAATAATGAATTGATTACAATAAGAATTGTTTACGCTCTTTGGTAAACATAAACAAAATAACGAATTGTATGTATGATGATTACCTATAATCGTTCCAGGTATTCTCACACGTTCCATGATGACAATGGTTAACTCTACAAGAATTGTCAGAATGGACACCCTTCAGCACAGTCGTGTTGTCAAATTCGACTCTCCCAAATGGCGGGGGAATGTCAAGTCCGTCAGCTTGTAAGGGGAAAAATTCGACTATCATGATAGAAGATCCATTGCTGATTTGGACATCCTGAAATAAGAACAGGTATACTAATTTTCACCTCGATTTCACTTTTGATTGCGTTGCTTTTGCGATCCTATCGAAAACAATTGTGAAGTGTAATTCCATCTTAATATCATATCTTTATACTATCTATACGAACAGCTGTAAATGATTTCCAGTATAAAAGTACGTTGGTAAAAAAGGAACAGAAGTTATTCTTGAAATGACCGATTGAAATAAATCTTATTTTCATTAATAGTTCGTTCGTTTTGCAAGTGAAGTGACAGACTCAACAGAGATGGAGCTGAATGTCCGACTCACCTCAAAAGGAACAACTGAGCTAACCTAAGAACCTAAAATTGAGGTTTTTTAAATTTATGATGGAGCTACGCTCAAGACTAGACACTTTTGCGGATTACTGACATAGATTGCCACAGGAATATAGTTGGAAGTTAAAGTTAACAATCTCACAATTTGAATTGGGTGGATTTTGCACATAAAATAAATTAAGCCTAGAAGCTGCAAATTTAAACGAGTTTTGGTAAAAAGAACGTGCAATAAACCGAACAACCTGAAGTAAGATTTGCATATCTGGGTTTGTATGTCCCACAACTGCTAGGTGGCGCAATCATCGTGCCTTAAGTGAATATACTTAATATCGTTTTTTCTTCAATACGTTTTGACGTCTACTGAGGTCAACAGCTGGCCAGCAAAAGTCACCTTTATACCAAACATAGTAAAAAATGTTTATCTTGTTTTATTCCTGCGTAACTTGATATATAGTCGTGATCATTACTCCTTGCAGGTTTTCGACATGCGATGGGGAAGTATTATATTTATACAAGACGAACGTTAGCTGAAGTGTTACAATGACGCTTGTATTTGATTACCGTGCCAAGTCGGGTTGCGGTTGTTATATGCTTTTGGTGAGAACGGTCCCTAAAACATTTTTTTTTTCATAGATTTACCTGAATGATTCCTTTAAAATGCACCCCATTGCTGATAACAGGTGCTACAGATGGCGCAGTTGGTGGGAGCTCTTTCGCAACCAACAATTCGTTGGTTTGTCTCGTTGATCTAAGAGGTGGCATACCGCCAAGATACAGCACCTGAGCGTCTAGCATGCCAGTGGCAGATATAGTCTTCCGGAAATATTCTGTACCGTTCAGTTTGACTTGCACCAGGGTGACGTTTCTGATGACCTGTAAAATGGGAAGAATATAGTCATTCTATTGTTAAAGTGAATAATTTGTAATACACAAAGAAGTTACTCATTCCAAAGAATCAAGAAACATTTTTCTGCTCTTAAGGTACCAAATCACAAAATGGGACTAGAAAATGTCTTATCACGTCTAAGGTTTCAAAAAAGAGATAAAGATAAAATAATATTACAGTATTTCCAAAAGTTATTTCTTTAATTTGTAATAGTAAGATCACACTATAGGTAGGTACACTTGTAGGAAATATGTAAGGCTACGAGAATATATCTCAGCCAAGAAGACTGGAAACAGGAGGGTAAACTCATACAGTGAAGGTGAAGCTAAAAGTGTCGAGAATAAAGGCAGGGCTATCTAGTATATTGCGTCAGAAATGTTCATGTGGCATCCCGCTCCCGACTGCATCTCTCTCTCTCTCTCTCTCTCTCTCATGCTGTCACCATGAACGAAAAACTCCAATTTTGACATGTCAATCGAGCTACGCAGAACCACTACGCGCCCTACATTTCCGAGAACCACACCCTCCTTACCGACAGTATTGGCTTCGTACGGATACGTATCTTGCCTTACGTAGTTTGTCCTCCTGTTTCTAGTCATCGTGATCCTAGCAAGTAATACATATACGAGGGAAGTCTTTTAAGTTTTGCATATAGAAACATAGTAGGCCGCGCGGATCGAACGTCAGTACTGAATCCTAACCGTACTCTTTAGTAAACTTAAATTCAAAGTTTTACAACAATATGTGCAGTGTTCTCACTACAGTGAATTTTTAAGTGTCACCAAGTCATTAGAAAAATGGAACTCAACCGAGAACATTTTCGCACCATAATTTATTACAACTTTCAGAGACAATTATCGCAACAAGAATGCCTTGCTGAGTAACTGTCTGTTTTCGGCAACGAAGCGCCACATCAGTCCACAATTTTCCGTTGGTATGGAGATTCAAACGTGGACGGGTGAGTCTTAGCGACGATCCCAGGGTGGGTGCACCAAAAACGGCAGTCACCCAGCAAAACGTCGATGCTGTGCGCAAACTCATCATTGAAGATAGACATGTGATATATCGCGAGATTGAGGCGTCCTTGAAGATCTCAAAGACCTCAATTCAAAAAAATTTACATGAAGAATTAGGAGTAAGAAAATTAGTTTCTCGTTGGATACCCCAACTGTTGACTGAAGAGCAGAAAGCAGCCAGAGTTAATTAGTGTCAAAAAACGCTTGACCGTTTCAATTCCGGAAACTCAAAAAATGTGTACAGCATTGTTAGTGGTGATGAATCGCGGATTTACTGTTATGAACCAGAAAATAAACGACAGTCGGCTGTTTGGGTGTTCCAAGGTGAAGAAAAGCCAACAAAAGTCATCCGTTCTCGAAGTGTTTCGAAAAAGATGGTCGCGACATTTGTGTCAAATGCGGGTCATATTGCAACAATTCCTCTTAATGAGCAAAACTGTTACTGCGGATTGGTATACCACCATTTGTTTGCCAAAAGTCAACACCGAGCTTCGAAAAATCAACCCCGAAAGAAGAATCATCCTCCACCAAGACAGTGCAAGCTCGCACACAGCCCAAAAAACAAGGCAGTATTTAACGGAAGAAAATGTGAAATTATTGGACCATCCTCCATATAGCCCCGATTCTTTACTTTCCCGAAAATTAAAAACAGACTGGGTGGTCAAAGATTCCAGTCACCAGAAGAAGCAGTTGACGCATTCAAAAATGCCGTTTTGGATCTGCCAGCAAACGAGTGGAATAAGTGCTTCTAAAATTGGTTCGAGCGCTTGCAGATGTGTATTAATATTCGTAGAGAATACTTCGAAAAACAATAAAGTCATTTAAAACTACCTACCGCGTTGTTTTATTTCCATATGCAAAACTTAAAAGACATCCGTCGTATGCCTTGCCCTATTATAACGAAGCAGCTGCGTAAGCAGAAGCCTAAATACCAGAGCACCGTGGCTGCTATGAGGAGCTTGAAGAAACTTTGTTAATCCTATTTTTGAACTGCTTAAGGTTAGTAGAACTGGAAAAAGCATCCTTAGGTAAATTGTTCCACAATCGCGGTACTCTAGGAACAAAGGAGCGGTCGTATCGGCCAGTTAGGAATGTACGAACTTCAATACGGGTTAGGATGGGAGACAGAAGTCGGGCATTGGCATTGTAGGATGAAGAGGAGAAACCGTCAATTACAATGGATATCTTGCGGCCAGAGAGGAAGTCAGCTATCCATCTGCAAAGATTCTCTGGAAGGCCTTAGGATGGAAGTTTTCATAAGAGCGCCGCATGTCACAAGCCGTAACTTTTATGGTTCTTCAGAAACTCCAGATTTATCTCTCCATCACCTTACTTATAAAAGAGCTATAGGCCTGTAGTTGTAATGGTCAGTCTTGTTTTTTTTTTGATGGGTTGGGCATGAGCAAATTTCCAGTTTTCTGGAAAAGTGCCGGATTAGTATGTTATCTAAGAGAAATGGAGCGAGCTCTGCTGCACATTTTTTCAGTACGTCAGGAATCAAGCCCGGACCAGAAGCTGTGTTGATGTCGAGATATAAGAGCACCCGTCTAACGGTCTTATGCTTGAAGGTTACCTCCCGCATAGTATAGCGAACCCTTTGGTTTGACGGCACTCGAGAGTTGGGTGGTACGTCTAGAGTGGAGTTAGGGGCAAAGATCTTGACAAGCACTTCCTTTGATTCGGTTACAATCGGTCCATCCTGACACGTAAGCGGTGGAAGGCTATTCTTTAAAACAGTTGCCATCAATTTGCTTGGCTAGCTTACAAAATAGTCGACTAAAAGAATTTTGTAAGAAGGATTCTTTGTGCTTTGATATTTTGCTGATTATGAGTCTGATGGGTAAATATCCATACCTCAATCAAATGATTGTATCCATTATCCAGCTTAACCCCTCCCACAGTATACGCCTCCAAAGGCCCATTGAACTGAATCTTCACCAACAACTCTCCATTCTCCAACAGAGCCGCGATGTACGTTTCTTCCAATGACGTCGGCCTGGAGCCCAAGTAGAATATCTGCCCTCTAGGCTGCCTGGTCCTTATGAACATGCTGATATCCACGATGGTCCTGACTGCTCTCCTAGCGTAATCGGCCACGTTCACTGTCACCAAAGAGTTGGTGATGTTCTCGTAACCGAATGTGGCTGCCGTGTAGTTGTATTGGCACGTGTGGCCTAGGTAGGGCCTTTCGCAGGTGCAGCTGAAGTCCCGCCATCTGAAAACATGGTAATGAGGTTCGTTCGAAAAGACGATTCTCCACTACATCTAGAACCAGTTTAGTCAACAAAAAAACGACTTTAGACTTAATTTTGTTTGTTTGCAATAATACATTTGATCAAGGGCGTATCCAGGGGGGGGGGGGCACCACAGCTGCCCCCCTTTTTCCTAGCTCGGCAAAAATTAAATGGAGAGGACATTTTTAGCAAAAATTAAATTATTCACGTTCAGAGTTATCCGCAAGCTGAATCAATATCTAGTGGTTGAGAAATTTTGTTTGTTTGTTTAAGATTTATTTAGCATGAATGCTACAATTACAGTCTTTTAAACAACTACAACAATTACATAACATACAGATAAACAGAAAAAAAACAAAATTTGAATCTCTAAGAATTTTCATTGTCCTTGAAATATTCCTTTAATTTTCTTTTAAACATCTTTAAATTACAAGTAGACTTTATATCATTATTTATTTTATTAAATTCAAGTAATCCTTTCTGAAATATTGATTTGCTAGATATATTACTATTGCAATTTTGTAAATGAAAATCTATATTTCCTGTTGTATAATAATTGTGGTAATGATTATTCAATTCTATGTAGTGTTCTAAATGTTCTGGCAGAAGACGATTTTTTATTTTAAATATAAAAATAAGAAAAAAATACGATATGACATTTTTTATATTCAACCACTGCAATTCTTGTAACATAGATTTTATTTTGGTGTACGTATTTTTATTCAATATTATTCTCATAGCTTTGTTTTAGGACTATTTGAAATATATGTTAGATATAAATTTAATTTTGCTAAAGCACTATGTATGTTACGAGTGTTTCAAATTGGAACCTCACCTTTGAGGAGTTTTAATTCTTTAAGTGTTCATATTGATTAATATTTTATTTTGTGCATTTTTGTTGTTGCATGTTAATTAATGGTTTTCCTCCGTTTTTTTTTGTATTGCTGTCCCTGAAAGAGGACTCCACGTTGTAGATAGTTTTTTCATTGATATTTTAATGGTTTTCATTGACATTCAATATTCTTTATCGTGTGTCCTGATGAAGAAGATAAACAGGCAAGCAAGCTTGACTTAAACCAAGAATCACCTTCTTTCTGACCTGGTTTAGATTGGTTTGGCTGGTTGTATTTTACGCCTAATATTGTCTAAGCTAGATACATATATTTTGCGTAGATAATTTTTTTTGTGTCGAATGATAATGTTTACAGTAATTTATGATTTCAACCTTTTGCGATGTTCCTTGTACCACTATTATCGTTTTCTAGTATTAAAGAATGGCTTAAATGGGCGGTAAAACTGTGTAGCATTTGCAGTTGTATTTGACTTAGAGATAGCATTTTTAATGGCTGAAATAGATTGTTAACTCTATTTTTCAAGGATTTGGTTTATACTTGTTCTATTCGCTTGTAAATTAGAAAAAAAACGTATTTAAAATTCACACACTGAAAGATAACTCATTTAAATCCTCTATATTTCCCGCCGGAAAAATCAGCCAGTAGGATTGTGATTAAATTCCTGATATGCATACAAGGTGTCTACACATTCTGAGGACAGGGTAAAAAATGTTACGTCACGCTAGAACTTGTTACGCCATACATTGTCGCAATATTTTACTGTTAGTTTACTTTTTGAAGACGAAATAATAAAATTCCGTCAAAATATTTTTTTCTCTCGAGAACTACTCTAGCATAGGCCAAAGCGCCATCCACTAAAGAAGTATGTTTTATTATCCGCAGTCGTCCACGCAAAGTTAACGTTTGCAGATAAATAACCGAAATTGACAGTTTTGTCGCTATAAAGCGATAAGGTAGACAAAGCGTCCGTTAAACATTTATCCTGTATTTTAGGTGTACGAGCTTTTTTCAGTTTGTTTCTAATAACCTGTGAAATAACAGAAAATAGCTTTGGTAATGGTAAAAATATGTAGTCTTGTACTTGAAGGAAAACAATCATGAATTATGAAGATGGCTTACTTATCTGTACAATGGCCACCAGAATGACAGGGATTAGGCTTGCACTGTGGTTCTCTAATACATCCTACTTCAACGTTCTGGAAGCTAACCCATGGAGAACCACTATCTTGTGGCAGAACCTGAAAAAATAATTATCTGATTAGGTTACCGTCTACTAAAAAATATAGACCCATCCATTTGCAGACATCAAGGAAATTTTCCATGTTGCATGTCCTTCAATGGAGGCTAGTAAATCTCCGAGAGTGCTTTTTATCCATACGCGGTCTTTAAACTGTGAACTACTAAACCAATTTAGGTGTATCAAAGATTTTCTATTTGACACTCAATAAATATTAAACATACCCATTCTCCATTAATAAGGACATCCTCCGTACACCCGACCAAAAACGGCTGTCCATGCGTAAGTTTCCTCAGATTACTTGGGAATCCCCCGATATAAGTCACGGGAAACCCAGTAGACGTCGCGTTGTTATTCTCATTGTAGCTTATGGGGTAGATAGTTTGCTCGTCATTAGCAGAAAGTACCAAATGAGAAGAGTTTATTGCTACGAACACCTTTTGCCATTTGCTATCGTTGAGGTTAGAGCCTATAAATACACCTTCCCATTTGTTCAAAAGGCTGGAATGGAGATTGAGACGGCCTTTGGATAGTTCGAGGATATAGTAGGTGATTCCTTTGCCTAGTGCTAGCAATCCATCACCTGAAAAATTATTTAAAATGTGTCTGTCAGAGTTGTAGATTTTCAATATTCAATATAGAGTTTCCAAAGTCAAAGGGCTTTTAGATAAAAAATATTAAATCAAAAAATACTTCATATATCACAGGATTCAGCTACGGGCACAAACGTTGACGCAAATTTGATCAATCAAAACTCGAAGCATGGATCATATCCATGCATAAGGAAGTTAGCGATGCCGTGTCGTCGTCCTACCATCCTCTTAACAGTAAGTGACTTGATTATTGACATAATATTAGTTTGTTAAAGAATAAGAATTCTGTAATTTTATTTGTGCCCTTAAATAATTTATCAAGCTGAATTTTGTACAGAAACAGTGAGACATTTTTATTTTCAATAAAATGTAAATTTAATTGTTGTCACATCAATCTAGATATTTTATCAGATTTGTGGCCATGCTTGATTTATGGCGTATTTCTTGATTTAAAAAGGAATTAGGGGCCCATCTTACGCAGTATACTTTTACTCTTGTTTGAGAGACATTTTACAAGAAATCGATCATATCCATTACTTCAAAACTTAATGGTTTCACGCGCATTTTTTGCTTAGTACAATCGGGCCTTAGACTTTCAGGGAGATCAACAATATTGTTTTTTAGTGAACGTCCACATCACGCGCATTTCAAAAAAGATAATGTTTCATTTCTGAATCTCTCAATTTTGCTTCATGTTCACACGAGGAAACAATTAAAATGCCACTTAACGAGATATATCAACTTACCTAATGTAGTTTTAAACCTGAACTGTATATCGTATCCTTCCTCCTTAGTTGAGTTGACAGTTATTAAAGAGTTTCCATTCAAAGACATTGTAGTTTTCGTTTCGCAGGTAAGCCCATGATATCCATTGGGACAAGTACAGTTGAACCTATGCTGCGTTTCTTCAACCAGATATGGCCAGCAAACGCCTTTGTTCAAACACGGTTTGTTCTCACAACTACAAATAAAAATTCCCATTTTTTTCAAATTTCGGGATTTCCAATTTTTTCTTCAAAATTTCCAAATCCAATTCATTGTATATAGTTACATTGCTCAGTGGCAGAATCCGCGTCAACGAAAACTGATAAAAATGAAAGGTTAACAATCAATAACAGTAAGCTTGCCGATATCGTGACGTCACGCCAATAGCGCCCTTTCCCCAGTATCCCCCTATAGCCCCACGGTACCCAATGGGTGTTTAGGCCTTAGGCCTTCGTGGTAGTTGGAGTATAAAAAAAATAGCGGTGCGTTTCGATATTTTAAACTTTCCGCGTATTTTTCCCATTTTCCATTAATGAATGAATTTGTGCGAGTATAAAATAAGGTTGAAGGAGGCTTTCTATACCAATATAGACTGTGAATAAAATTAAATAATATTAAATTTAAGTTAGTATGTATTAAAGTTAAAGACTCCCCCAGCCCTCAACCCTCCCCGGTTTTTTCAAAATTTACTCTCACCATCGGGATCTTGGAAACAGTAAGAGATACCACGATTATCGGGTTGAAACCCTCGGTGTACTAAAAACTGAAAACAAACAAATATACTGAGTTACGAGTCTCATACTCACCCTATCAATGCCACAGAGCAGTTTTTGCCCCCATATCCACTTGCACATTTACAATAGTAGTTTGCTACCTTATCAATGCAGGTGCCTTGTACACAAGGTTTGTATTTTTCACATTCGTCAATGTCGATTTCGCAATATTCTCCTTCGTATCCATCTTCGCATTCACATACATAGCCTCCTATCTTATCCGTACACGTTCCTAAAAAAAATAATATAATCGAAATTTTCATTTAAATACAGAAATAAGACTGCAGGATACCCAATATTGTTCTCAAGACAGCCGAAGTGCAAAAAGTTTTTAAAAACTGTATATTTATACCTCTACAAGTGGGCCGAAATTTTTCAAAATTCTAATTTTTTCGAACATACCATAATGACAGGGATTGCTCTCGCACTCATTGATGTTCGTCTCGCAATTCTTTCCTGTGACTCCAACCACACAAACGCACTCATATCCAGCGGCTTCCGCGTAGTTGAACGGTCTGCTGAATACTTCCGGGAGCGGGAAAGTCAAATAGTTGGCTATTTCCGGTTGATATAGCGTGATATTGGAACGTTCTAAGCAGGTGCCGTTATATTGGCACGGGTTGCTTTCACACTCGTTCTCGTCTATTTCGCAGTTTTTTCCTTTGTAGCCGCTGTAACACTCGCAATCATAATCCTGGAAAAATAATAACCTCTTACTGAAGTTTTGACTGTCTATGCAGTTTTTTGTAGAAATTGGAGTGGTGTGCGTAGTGTTTTGCTGGTCTCTTCCTTAAGCGGTATCAGGGTACAATGACCCAGTTGGGTTATTACTGTAATGCCCTCGTATAACTGGAACTCTGGGTACCGGTACCATCCATCCCACTATGGAAGTGCATGCCAGTATCTAATCATGAAGGGTAGCGTTGCGCTAGGGTTCATACCAAAGGAAAAGGAAAATAGTTGGCTCATCATTTCTGACATACGTATATAAATGACGGCTTTTAAAATGCCAGATGTTAAAGGCACTGAATTTTGTAGCACTGTTTTACGCAGCAATTTGTGAAAAAATTGATAGTGACATACAATCAATCAAAAAATGAAGTGACAAAAATAACTTGACTTTCAATTTTAATTAGACAAAATTTAAGACATTCAAATGCTCTATTGATTCTACAAATTTAAATAATGAATTGATACACAAAACAGATACCAACAAATTTTAGGGCCTGACCATTGATCATAAATTAGATTTTACTAATCATGTAGATAAATTGCTTACTCAACTACAAAGATTTCCTTTATTATAAGAACAATTAGCTACAACGTAGGGAAAAGCACAGCCTGAAACAATCGCTTTGCCTTATTTGAAAGTAGATTGAGATATAGCGTTTTGGTGTGTCTTCTCAAAATTATTTAAAAAAGTGCTTATTCCACAAAAACGAACTATTAGATATATAACTAAAAGCAATCCCAGAGCTACATGCAGGCCTCCTATTTTTAAAAATAAATCTAAATTTGAAACATTAAATAAAAATTACAATATTAGACGAAAATAAGATCTTAAATTTGTAGTACCTAAAACAACACAAGACTCAATAATTTATAATGGTCTGAAAATTTACATGTGTCTTCCTGATGCTATCGAACAATTTAAAGATATTCTGCCGTGAACTTAATATATATATATATATATATATATATATATATATATATATATATATATATATAACAAAAATAGGAAAATAATGGGCAAAATCCGGAAACAGTGGATTCGAGCAGCAAATAGGATAGGTAACCCGAGCGATACGTATTTCTGCTGGTTGGCTTCATCAGGCCCGAAATGAATGCACATATGCAACTACAAAAGTAGATACACATGCCCACACATCCGGATACGGGTGTAACCTGAGGAAACGAAGATGGAGAGGAAAAAAAGACACACGAAGTCCACAACAAGAGCCAACCTACACATTGTAGTATAAAATGGCTACAAGACCTCGAATTTTCAAGGCGACAAATAACCACAACCACGCGGCCGGTTATAGCCACTTGCTGTGGTACTTTAAGCCCAAAGGATCTACAAAGAGAAAATTATCATGCGGAGAAAGGTATATAACAAAAATAGGAAAATAATGGGAAAATCCGCAAACAGAGTATTCGAGCAGCAAATAGGATATATATCATAAATTATTATTTTTACTTAAATCATAGAAATTCTAAAAAACAAAAGTAGAGAACGTCAGTTTTGCTATTTTTGTGTGTCATGAGTTGTCAAATTGTAGGTTACCTATGTTAGTTACCAGTTAGTTTTCAGGTAGCATCTTGGGGGCGGGGCTTATTTATAAGAAAACAAAATACGCTCGTTGGTATATGCGACCTACCTTCACTTTGTCGATACAGTGTGCATGATTTTGACATGGGTTGCCTTTACAATCGTCGATATTGCTCTCGCAATGCTCTCCTTCGTATCCAGTATCCAAACAATCACACGTGTAGCTATTTAAACCATCAATGCATTTGGCCCCATGTAAACATGGCGAAGAGGCACAATCATCGATGTTTATCTCGCAGGTTTTACCCGTGAGTCCCTGAAAATGATTAGAAAATGACCATTAACCTATAAAACCAATATGTACGTAAATCAGAAAATGTAAGAATTTTTACAAAAACACATTCAAATCAACGGAATCCACAAACAACACGATATTCTCGACGGAAGATATGAGGCACAATCGCTTAGTATTACATCAACTTCATCCGTTTCGTTCGAATTGAAATATTCATTAACTCTAATTGGGGGCCTCAAACCTTTATAATGGAAAAACAAACCACATATTGTTGAATATACAGGGTGTCCTCAAAGTTAGGATTTTTATTTACACAGTGTATATGTTGAAACCGTTCGGAAGTTTCCTAGAAATTTCTCAGGGTTGTGGGATCAATGAGGCGGTGGCGAGATTTTACGACACTTTAATAGGGTACAACTTGAAATAAATACCATAAATTTGAACCGACAATCTGGTTATTAGTTTAAATTAAAAAATTGTCTCGTGACCAGCAACACCCTACCTCCTAACGCGCACTGCTGCCATACAGTCCACTTATTCCCGAAAACACTTCGAAACAGCTTCAATGTCAGGCAATAATAAGCAAGTTCTCCTAGTAACACATATAAAAAAGTCTTGAGATAGCCGATACAAATTCAGAAAAACTCAGTTCCCGAGCGACCCCAAGGCGGAAGAGCTTGCCAAGATCTTTGCTGCCAACTCCACCATGAATGTACAAGTGCCTTCGATTCTGAGGGTTCCCTACACTATGCAGGAACTAACATTCAAGCGTAAAACCGTAAGACGTGCTCTTGTCGCTATTAGACATCAATGAAGCTTCCTTGTCCGAACTTGAAGAGGTGTGCAGTGGAGCTTACTCCAGTTTTTTCGCGTCTCTTCCATATATTTTACGAATCCGGCTACTTCCCAGAAAACTGTAAATTTGCTCATGGCCAACCCATTCCAAAAAAGAATCTAAGACCGACCCTTACAACTACAGGCATATAGCTCTGTTTTCTGTTATAAGTAAGGTGATGAAGATATGGATAAATCGCGAGCTTCTGGACTACGTCGAACGTCGCGGCTTGATTAGCGACAGGGGACCTCTTAGCTTACGTCACGCAACTGTGGAACGAGCTCATCCCCTCTTATGGTGAGGCTGATGTTGATCTTGATACCACGAAAGTGTTCGATCAGCTGTGGCACGCTGCCCTCTAGTGCAAACTTCCATCCTATGACCTTCCAGAGAAGCTTTGCAGATGGGTGGCTGACTTTCTCTCTAGCCGCAAGATATCCGTCGTAATTGACGGGTTCTCCTCTTCATCCGACAACGACAACGCTTTGCTTTGACTTTGCTCCTCAGAGCTCTCCTCCATGATGTCGCCGCACGACAACAGCTCGTTCGCCCCGAGGGGGTCAAGATTGTGGAACAATCTACAAGAGGAGACTTTTCCCAGTTCCTTAGGCAGTTCAAAAATCGGGCTAACAAAGTTTCTTTAGAATCCTCATAGCAGCCGCGGTGTCCTGGCATTTAGGCTACCGCTAGCGCGGCTGCTTCGGTGAACGTCTTCAAGGTCATTTTGATATTTCACGAATGTAATCAGATTTACAAAAAAAAAAAAACATCTGACAGCGCACCTTTTGAAATTCCTTACCAAATGAATGGTGAGTATTTTTCATCAATTTGATTTTTGCGTTTTCGGTGCTCTTCTACCGCAAATTAGCTTTGTTATTATTTCAAAAGGAAAGTCACAACTTTCCGGAGACCCTGTTTAATTCAAGGATGAAATAACCTACCTGTTGACAGATGCAAGTGAACTCGTTAACCCCATCGATACACCTCGCACCGTTCATGCACGGATTCGGCTCACACTCGTTGATGTTCAACTCGCAATCCTTTCCCTCGTACCCCGGCTGACATTGACACTCGTACTTGTTGATCAGGTTCAAACAGGTCGCGTTGTTCTTGCAGGGCATGGAGAGACACTCGTCAAAGTCGACGTTGCAACGTTCGCCCGTGTATCCCGGCATGCAGTAACATTGGAAACTGCCCTCGGAATTCACGCAGATGCCGTGGTTGCAAATTTTGTTGCCTGACACGACGCATTCGTCTATGTCCACTTCGCACAGAGGGCCTGATTGATAAGATAACAAGTACATTTTTAATGAATTCTCAAAACTCGACTGCAGTAGTTGAAAAGGAAAAAGCTTGTATCTGTGTATATTTTTTACGGAACGTATCGTCTGTCTTTCCTACAATTGCAGGACGCCTTTATGGCTCCTTGATTTTCATAGTTTTTGCTGTCCTTCAGAAGGGCGGCTCTATTTTGAGGTTATGTCACAAATGTCTATTTGCGTCAAATTCTTCAAGCTTTTGATTTTTATCATCTGTTTTGTCAGCCTAAAATTTCCTACAATTCAAAAAGAAAATGTAACTAGAAGAGTGCTGACGCTGACACGGGACAGTAGAAATTTAGAAGTACCCCAGCCTTTCTGAAGTAGAGAAAATATTATGAAAATCAAGGAGGCCATAACGGCGTCCTCAATTCAACAAATTCGTTGTCTAGAAAGTCTATGCTCTTTAAAAACACTTCAGTATTTTTTGATGGCTATATCGAAATCAAATGAAATTACCCAGTTTTCCCAGTTTCGTACGATTGATATAACGTACATAGTAAAATTAAAAAAATTGCATCGGACATCGTTCAAAATCCTTGCATATCTGCAATTTCGACCAGAATCTGATTCTTGTGTAAATCGAGTGCGTAGATTACAAAGTTGAAGCCACTTTTTCGCTGAAATAGATGGAAGGCCCAGAGAATCCGATTTTCCTACTTCAAATAGATCTTCGAGATAATTGAGCCTTCTTTAATGGACATTTTAGAAACTCTAATTTACCCTATTGTGCAGTTTCGTAATCTTGTAACAACGGGATACAAAAATGAAAATTTTGCATTGAGGAAGTTAGACAATATAGGGTGTTAGGTAATAGGGCGTAATTACAAGGCCGCATTCCTGAATCAAATTTGAGTAGAAAAGTTCATATAAACATATGTCCTAATACGCTTGGTTTCCCAGAAACAGGAATTTAAAATTTTGTAAAAATTCATAGGGTCTTTGTGCCGATTTTGTTGAGTGTTGACATTGTTGTTCATTACAATAAGATGCTAAGTTAGCACTAGTATTATGAATTTTAATGACGTCACGCCGTCTCACGAATAAAATTGTCAAAAAAAATGCACGCTTCTGACTTTTTCAAAAAATATATATTTATTTTTTTTTGTTTAAGCAGCTAACGATACAACTTCTTTGTTTTTTGTTTCCCTTTGTATCCCAACTCATTTTCGAGGGAGAAGATAAAAACTAGTTCATAACATGCCGACAAACAATTTAATTTGCACAATATTTAATTATAAGCCATTTTTAAAATTTAAGTAATGAAAAGTAAGAAATCTAAAAAATATTTACAAAACGACTACTTTCTTTTCACATTTTAACACTTTTTCGACATGTAATGAGTTGTTTTCACTTTTTCCTCGAAAACGAAGGATATGAAGGGATACCAAGAGACGAAAAAGTTGAATCATTGGCTGGTTAATACGATAACAAGATATGTATTTTTTTAAAGTCAATACTAAATGTAAGGCGTCCACAAGATGCCACTGGAATTTATAAATTGCCTTCTAGTTGGTGCGAAATTAGGGTCTTATTGCAATGAACAAGTTGATAGTGAATAATAAAAATAGTGCGAGTAACTTTTAAAAAATCACCTGTGAACCCTTCTTTGCAATCACAACTAAACTGATGCGTAGTCTTGTCCATAATACAGGTACCGTTGACGCATGGATTTTTTGAGCATGGATCAATGTCGATGGAACAATCTTCCCCAGTAAATCCTGGAGGACATCTGCACTCATACGAATTCACAAGGTCATGACAGGTTTGCCTAGGAGGACACTGAAAAAAACATCAAGGTTAACTGAAGTAAAGACTGTTTTTTAACAAGTTCAATAGTTGAAGCGTCAATCTACACTTCATCCAAAGCGAAGATAAAGTTATTCTTAAACATGACATCAACCTTCCAAGGAAAAATCACCATCCAAACTCCCCCGTAATCAGTAAACGAAATCCAATAACATGAGGCAACAGTCCGAGATGTCGGCAACGCAAAGACAGTGCTCGATAGGTATACCGTTGTAAGCACAAGTGTGTGCGGTGCTCCGATACCTATGTTTAGGAGTTTAGAAACCATATGACATAACCTATCTTTCTTTTTACCTTATTTCCTTTGCAGTTATCGATGTTGCCCTCGCACAATTTGCCTTCAAAACCTGGCAAGCAATGGCAAATAAAGTCTGCCTTGTTCGTCGCAAGAGTACACGTAGCGTTGTTCTGGCATGGATTCAGCTCGCAGATGTTAGATGGTTTCTCGCAGTACATTCCCGTCCATTCTTCAGTGCAGTTGCAAAAGAAACCATTATCCTTGTGCAGGCAGATACCGCCGTTCAGGCACGGGTTGGACAGGCACTTGTTGATGCTGGTTTGACAGAACTTTCCTAAGGAGATAAATAGGGTGTTTAGAAAAATGATTTGAGAAGTACGAAGCGAAAATGTGGTGGGGAGCAAATCCTATGGATATGTCCGCAGCACGCTGAAAATGAGATGGAGAAATACAATTTAATGCAGCAATTATCAAACGCTACATGGAAAGAATCTCAGAAATCAACTGAACTAGTTTTGCGGAACTATACATCGTACTAGGATAGCAATGCTATCGCATCTCAACAATGACATAAAAGATACAGCAGACGCTCGATAACGTAAACACGGGATAATGAAAACTGGCGCTAATGTAAACACAAACTCCGTTCTATAGGATCAAACGGAACGCGCGATAACGTAAACAATGTGTACGCTCAATAACGTAAACAACTATCGGCGCACGGAAACAGCGCGACGGTAAAATGCTGAAGCCTCGATGATTAATGTCGGGCGTCGGGGTGTCCCCGATTTATGATGTAGAGTGTAGGGGATTCACCTCTGCGATAAAATACGACAAACTCGGTCAGTCGTATGATCGTTTAGGATACGTTTATACGTACGTATGTATTTCATTTTTGAACTTAAGTGAATACATTGCACGCGTTAATATATTTTACGACTATGGCATCCACGTCCTATAAAAGAAAGTGTTTAAAGTTGAGTGAGAAAGTGAAAATCATAGACGAAGTTGCACTAGATGCGGGAGTGACACAGTTAGCAAAAAAATATGGAGTATCGAAAGCAACAATCTGTAAAATTAAGCGTATGAAAACTCAAATTTTACAAAGAATGTGCAATACATTTGGAGGTCCGGGAAAAATAAAAACTTTAAAAAATGCGAAGGCACCTAAAATGGAAAATTCCCTGTATAAGTGGTTTTTAAAACAACGGGAAAATCATGTCCCAGTTAGTGGCGAAGTACTTAAACAGAGAGCGACACTGTTAAATGAAAAACTGAAAGAAACTGAAAATTTCGTAGCTAGTGATGGCTGGCTACGATTCAAAACAAGATATGGAATTCGACTGCTGTCTATATCTGGCGAAAAATTATCAGCACAACCACAATTAGTGCAACCATTCAAAGAAAAATTGAAAACAATTACCGAGCTAGATTTAAGAATGGAACAAATTTACAACGCAGATGAAAGTGGCCTTTATTGAAAAATGTTACCAGAGAAAACCTATGCTGCATCATTTAAAAAATCTGCCCCGGGAAGAAAGCCGGAGAAACAACGAATAACCTTTCTAGCCTGCACTAATGGTAATGGTTCACACAAAATAAAGCCACTGGTAATTGGGAAAGCAAAAAATCCGCGCTCATTTAAAAATGTTAATATCCCTGTTGATTATGACTGTTCAAAAACCGCTTGGATGACTAGCAGTATATTCCTGAAATGGTTCCACAGGTGCTTTGTCCCTCAGGTATGACAATCAATTATCACAAATGCTCTATTCATAATTTGAAGATGTGTTTTCAATTTGTAGGTAAAAGGTTTCCTAAAACAACAGAAGCTTCCAATAAAAGCGTTGTTACTATTGGATAATGCACCAAGTCATCCTCCCGAGCAATAACTGAGGAGCAGGGATGGGTCAATTTTCGTCATGTACATGCTGCCCAACGTAACACCGTTAATTCAACCGATGGACCAGAATATAATAAGACTCACCAAACTATACTATAGGAAGTTTCTACTTTCGTCTGTCTTATCAAAGAATCCTGAAAACTTATCTGAGGCTTTAAAAAAAGTAACATTACGAGAAGCTGTTTTAGATTTGCATATGGCCTGGAATGAACTTAACCAGCAAACTATTCAAAAATGTTGGAACAATCTCTTTTGTACCAATAATGAAGATGATGAAGAAGACGGTGTCCCCTTAAGCGTAATTAGAGAACGTTTGCGATCCAATAATGATAATGTTATTAGTGTGTCATTGGATGTTGTTGATTTATTGAAAACAGTGAATCCCAACATTGTTTGTACTCCTGCTGATATTAATTTATGGAACGAAGATAAGCAGACGAATGATGCTGATAAGGAGGAAGATATGGACAGTGAGGATGATGAGAACGACCCCATTGAAGTCAGAAGTGTAGTGACTGACTCGCAAGCTATACAAGTTTTTAACCAAGCTTTAGATTGGACTGAAAGAAAAGAAGTTTCATACACGGATATTTTAGTTCTTCGTAAATTACGGGCGCAGGCATTGGAACACAATGCTAAGCGCAAATTTACGCAGACAAAAATTGTTAATTATTTTTTTTTCTAATTAAAAAAATAGTTATCGCTGTTGGAATATTTGTTTATTTTGTTATAAATAGTATGTATTAAACGTTTCTTTAATAAATCAAATATTATATAAATCACGTTCGCTAATGTAAACATTTCGATAATGTGAACCACACTTGGATTAAATTAGTTTGCATTATCGAGCGTCTGCTGTAATAGTATATTAACTTCAAAACTATGTGGTGCATACTGGTTTTTGAGTCACATAGTTCTAAGCTCATTAGACGCCATCATGAATTTCATCCACTTATCATAATTTTTTTCAAACTTACGATAGTCTTGCACTCAGTGTACATGTTACATGCTAACTTAACGACAATCGAATAGCGTACACTAACTGCTGCATGTTTCCACTATAATACACTGCAATGATTATGAGTATACACTACGCTTTCCAGCATTGTACATTGTTATCTAGCCTAACTATTTTTCCCAACTCTTTACGAAATACCTTCAAACCCAGGTTTGCATGCACAATGAAACCCAATACCAAGGTGTTGTATACAAGTGCCGTTGTTAAAACAAGGTAGTCCAGCGCAAGGACCCACGTGAATGTCGCAGTTTTTTCCTGTCCAACCTGGTAGGCAAGAGCACAGATAGCCGCCCAGCTAAGAAAAGTCCACTAATAAGGGATTTCGGTTATTTTGTACGATACATTTATTTTAATCATGTATAACAACCTTATTCCTAGAAGTCGGATTTATACGGATTTATTTCACAGTTTTTTTTTTATATCTAAGAGGAGACATAGCTGATGACGACAGCAGTTTTATTAGTTTCCCACGGCGAGTAGACTATTATCTACAATGTCACTAGGATGGACAGCATCCTGCGATCATAAACTGAGATTCCTTTAGAGTTCCAACAGAAGACTACCTTCACTTTGTGCAGTATTTCGAGAGAATATAAGAGGATAATTTTGCTTTGTTTTCGTTCGTAGTTCTACCTAGAGACCTACATCGTATTGATGATTGATAATAAGTAAAAAACACCGCTGCACACCGTTGCCGGGCGAAATCAAGTAGTATCATCATTTGATTTTTCAACATCGTGTTCTTAAAGGAGGTCCAATTGATATTTTATAAAATTATAGACATACAAGTTTAATCACTGTTATAGCCAAAATAACAGAAAAAATAGTTCAAATTAGATTAAGAGGCTTCCTAAAAATTAACAAAATTGACAACGAATTTAGCTTTCAAAATAAAAAAATACCATGGATGCTATTTTCACATTACTCCAATTCAAATTTAAACGATAAACAATTTCTCTTTGTGACACTTTCAGAACTTTTTATTGTGTAAATCACGATATACTATTGAAATTTGTAGTAATGGAACTGAAAGATCATCACAAAGTGTAGCTTTTTCCTATTTTTATAAAGCCTATAATTTAAAAAGTACACGACTTATTTTTTTGTTTAATTTTTCCCACGTATCCCGCTAAACGTCGACTTCTGGGAGACCCTGTATAAAAGATCACAAAACATCAAGGTAAAGCTTATGAAATACTTACGAAATCAACGCACTGTCTTGCATGCTCGCATGGCATTCTTGCGCACTTTAGCTCCGTTTCGCAATGCGGACCGGTGTAGCCTTCCGCGCAAGCGCACTCCAAATGCGTGCGCCTATCCACGCAAGTACCGCCGTTCAGGCACAGAGCGGGCTTGCACCTGTCCACTCTCTTACACATAGAGCCTTCTTCGACAAGCAGTGTTAGTGAGACATGCAAAGCGATAAATCGGTGTGCACATTTTTAGTTAGTAGGGTGATGCATGCCACACAGAACAGCTAATATTCCAAACGAATGCATTCATTAAATGCATACTTGTCATTAATAATTTGAACCGAACAACTGCTATAATGATCCAAGCGAAGTATGATTAAGTTTCCTATAGTCGAAAATAGTTTTAGTTACTGGTATATTTCACAAATGTGAAAAAAGTTTTCCGATAACATAAAATTTAAGGAAGTTATGACATTTTCTGTATTGGGTGCTGTAACCGTCCGCCCTTAAGCGTCGAGGTTTGGTCATGACGTCACATGCATATCGCATACATCCTTAGGGCTCAAGCTGGACTTTAGCAATATATTGTTTGTATTTTGGCATAGGCTGCTGTGCGATATTATATGTAGGTATACAATAAATAAAATGCAAGATTTTCTGAGCACCGATTCCACTAATCTTCCTAAGGTGGACATAATAATGATCAAATATACTATGCGATACATTTATGCTTTGGCACGCATTAACATTTGGAACTAAACAAACACGCGATCGACGCCGCAGTGGTTCAAAAGTCCTAAGATATAGGAAGCAAATAAAACCATTTATATGTCGATTATAAAGAATATCCATTTGTCAAAGACCAAAATGACATTTAATATGATATACATATGCAAAAAAAATTTGATTGAGCTCAAATATTTGAATGTCTTCAGATCGTACCTAACTGATCGCACCCAAAAAGTGAAAACATCTAGAGAACTTCAGATGCATGGTATCTCTCATCAGGAGTCCACAGAGTTCAGTACTGGGACCTCTTTTTTTCCTAGTATACACATTTCGTTTCAATGAATCCAACGTATTGTAATAGACACTGTCTCCGCATCAATACATCAAAATGTACCGCGATACCATACTGTCCTATACATTCAGATTACAGTATCACAAATCGAGTCTCCTTATTTATCAACGACATTAATATTCCCTTTTTTGATAATGCTTAGAATCTAGGTGTTATATTTGATTCAAATCTTAGAATTAACTTACATGTGAATAGTATTATGAAGTCGAGTTATATGAAGATGAAGCTTTTACATTCTAGTCGCCATATTCTAAAATTTGTGCCCTAAAAAGTTGTGTGAAAGCCTCATATTATCAATTTTAGCCTACTCTCTAGTCCTCATTTACCCATGCCGAGACTCAGTTTGCAAGTCAAAATTGCAGAAGCTTCACAACAACTGTTGCAGATTCATATTTGGTCTTAGGAAGTACAGTAGCGTTTCTTCAAAAATTAAGGAGTTACAGTGGCTCAGAGTTGATGGCTTATACAACTATTCCATGGCTTCATTGGTGCATAGAATTTTTAAAACTGGTTAACCCGTCTATTTACTCGGTAAGTTGATTCCTCGTGGAAACCAAATTACTCTAAATCTGCGGCACAATGATCTACTTTCCATTCCTATACATCGTGCGTCGGTCTTTGAAAGGTCCTTTACTTATAATGCGGTCAAGGTATACAATTATTTACCAGCTATCTCTAAGAGCTTAAGTTTGCAGCGCTTCAAGAAGGCAGTCGAGTTGCACTTTATGAACTCAGCACATTGAGTGATAAATTCATTTTGCTGAACGATATCTTGTTCTATTGTTTCTCTTCTTTGTATATGTTCATATTATATATTTACTCCTTTTTAAGGCATTCCTTACAGCTACTGATTGATGTTGTTATGCTAATGTTTTGTGATGTCTGTTTGTAGTATGGTTGAGTGGTAGAGTAATTTAGTTTCAAGTGCTTTTAAGATCGCTAATAACGATAGTCAAGCGGAATCGTACAGCAACCATCGGTTGCGTGAGTCAGTAGACTACACCGCTGTTCGCAAACACACAAGACAAGAAGCGAAATCGCACTGTGAACAAAATTAAATCGTGCAATTGTAGGCCCAAACAAAAGTACAATTTTTCCACACATATAAATTCTTAACTTAACTTTAGATTAATTCAAAATTACTGAATACTAGTTAACAATGTCAAGGCACCCCTCCAACAGACGCACTCTTCCCCCCTTCCTTGCTGTCTTTTTTTCCCCCTCTTTCTCCCTGACTTTGTCTGGTATCTGGGCAACCAGACTACTGACCTACACTTCTTTAAAAAAGAGCAAAGGTCCCACGGACCGCTCTGACAGACAATGACGAATAGAGAGAAGATCGCTAATAACGAAATAAATATGGATTCTTAAATGTTTGCAAAAAATTTGTTGATTGCGATCAAATTACAATTTTATGGATAAAGTCAGCTGCAGTCAAAATTGACATATTTCTTGATTGGGTGTCTGTTAAACATGCTATTCGAAATAGATAGGACCATAATCGGCTTTTTTAAACCCTTATTAAATCGACTAATTACGGAAAAAAATACTTATTGTCGTTTAGCCACGTGTCGATAGAATGCCATCTCATAATAACTATACAGACCTTCGACTCGGTAAATCTATTTTAATACGACTCAATATTCGATTATACAATTTGTCTGCATCTTTGGCTAGGTTTTTTGGAGCCCGAATCAAGTCTTGCATCTCCACATCAATACAGACGAGGTTCAATGAGTATTCCCTTCCAGATACAACATGATCAATATAAAAATATTCACATTATCTAGAAATAAAAGCAATAATCAAATCTATCTCCGTTCTCGTTTACACCAGTTAGTTTATTCATCCATTATAACAGGCATATACAATAATGTTTATTATCATACTTTTTACCATATTAACTAAATACTTACTAACGTCAAAATATTTATAGCCAGTATTATCGTCCCTGTCTCTGTTCATTACCTTAAACTACTTCCTCAATATTTTTGCACAGGTAAACTTGTTTTTCTCGAGCTGATATACCTGTATGTATTTATTTATTTTTACCGTAAATCGTTAATACGGGGTAGAGTCACGTTTATCAATGCCGCGAAGCCTGCGCGGCAAACGGATCGCTTTGTGGTAGCGATGATAGCTGGTGTCATGTGACGTCATTACTCAATCTCGCGCTCCAACAGAGTGATTCTCCAAATAAGATACTTCCTGGTAGCGTTACTTTGTCAGTCTACAAGATATTAAAAAAATGTCTTCAGTGCTGTACTTTGCTTAGACTAGCATTTCAGTTGTGTTTTAAAAAATAGGAAACGTCCTCACGGTTCCAATAATTCACAGTAGTGTTCTGGAATATATACCTGTTCAAGTGAACGACAATACGTTAGTGAGATTAAATGGCTGGTTATTCTTACAATGATAAGAAATTAACACTGTTCCACCTGAACACTAATCCCAAATTACTCACCAGTGAAGCCCGGTTGACAAGAACAATTGAAGGTACCCTTGTAAGGAGTACAGACACCACCATTCAAACAAGGATTCTTCAAGCAGACCGAATCTCCATTGCAGTTCGGGTACTCACCATGGTATTCTGGTTTGCATACGCACGCTGCAGATCCAGGTGCTAGAAGAGTGCGCCAAAACTCGCATAAACTCACAGCACGTTTCAACAATATATATAGGTAGGAAAGCAATAAGTAAATTCAAGTAACCAAGACGAATACGGAATTAACACATTTTGCGCGTTATAAATATTTATTATTTTCCAATAATGTATAGGAAAAGCTAATATCATTACATCTCAAGAGACGAGAGAATGTATAAAAATCATCTTAAAGTAATGCAGATCTGAATGATGGTTCTTTCAACGTCGTGAAATAATTACTGAGTATTCATGGATTGTACCATTTTGTTTTTGTAGCTTTGACCTTTTAAACACTGTTTATGAAAAATGAACTATGGGATCAAACTTGTAGGGGTTATTCAGTGTAACAGTAGAAAACATTTGAGTATAGAGACCCATATCCGGCGCTTGTGTGTTGTTATCTTTAAAAATGATAACAGATGTTGTTTTTTGTAGCTGCATTCCATATCACCTTAGTCGTGCTATCGTATTTGTGAAGTTTGCAAGAATTTAACAAAAATTAATTGTTGCTAATGGAAAACTTTACCAATCAAGAATTGGGGGATATGTATTTGGCATACGGAGCAACAAGCTGCAATGCACGAGCAGCAGCGCGGTTGTATCAAGAACGTTATCCCGAACGACAGCATCCGGGATACAAAAAGTCTATTGCTATTCATCGGCGGCTCTCCGAGACAGGCATGTTTAAAACCAACATACATGATACTGGTGTTGCTCGAACCGTAAGAACAGTCGAATTTGAAGAAGAGGTCCTTCGGCGAGTTGCCGACGAACCATCAAGTAGCACACGTCACATCGCTGAGGATATGAATACGAGTAACGCTTTCGTTTGGCGGGTGCTACACGAGCAACAACTTTATCCTTACCAATTCCAGAAAGTTCAAGTATTGACTGCAGCCGCTTATCGTCCTAGAGTTCAATTTTGCGAATGGCTTCTTCATCAAATCGCTGCACAACCAAATTGTTTACGCTATGTTTTATGGACCGATGAAGTCTCTTTCACAAGAGACGGCATTTTTAACAGTAGGAATAGCCACGTTTGGGACAAAGAACATCCCCATGCAGTTTTTCCTAGAAAACATCAGCAACGTTGGTCTGTCAATGTATGGGCAGGCATTGTTGATGATTATTTGATTGGGCCATACCTATTTACCGGCGTTTCTTGGAGGAAGTTCTTCCAGAACTTCTTGAAAATGTTCCATTGAACGTTCGACAGCAGCGGTTAGGGCACCGTTGAAGTGCCAGAGGTGAAGCAGTTTCTTGGCCTCCTATTTCACCCGATTTAACGTCGCTATATTTTTCCTGCTAGGACATGTAAAGTCTTTGGTTTACGAAACTCCAGTAGAAACAGAGCAAGATTGGACGAATTACAGTAGCATTTGAAATCATTCAAAACGAGTATCAAATTTTTAGTCAAGTCCGCCGAAATCATGTGCGACGTTTAAATCGGTGTATTCAGGTTGGAGGAAGACATTTTGAACAATTGTTGTGATGATATCATGTACAAAAGGCAAAAATTAAATGCATTAAATCCTATTCAGGCAATTCATCGTCTTTCAAAATTTTAACGCGTCTCAGGGCTGTAGTGACACTTTTCCGGATATGGGTCCCTATGCTCAAATGTTTTCTACTGTTACACTGAATAACCCCAGAAGTTTCATCCCATAGTTCTGAAACACCCTGTATATCTTGGGACCCCTTGAGTCTTGAGGGCTTCAAGAATTTTGTTCGCCGAGACATATAACATATAAAAAATTCAGCGTAATTAACAGAAACCACTTTTCTACTTAAAGCATATTTTTTGGGTATGACGCCAAGATACCCGAGATTTTCAAATTCAGCGACTCTTCTAAATAGAGCAGACGGAGACGACCTATAATCTTGTGACTCATTGTGGCATATCAATTTATTTACAATTTGTAATTGATGTGAATAAATTATTTTTATTATTACTATTGCATTTTGGGGTTTGTGCCCTATGAGACATTTGTTGAGGACGCCGAGGCACGTAACATTCGAAATTCAGCAAAATTAACCAAAGCCACTCTTTCACATAAAGCAGGCAGCCAAGAAGGACTGATACCCCATTATTCTGACTTGGATGGCCTATATCTTGGGACCCGTTAAGTTTGGGGGCCTGTGTCCATTGAGATATTTGTTATTGACGCCAAGACGCATAACATATAAAAAATCGTTCGAAATTGACCGAAACCACTTCCCACTGGCGCGTTGCCGGGTCTTTTGGGTTTGAAACAAAATAACATTATTTTTCTCACTTACTTTCTACGCATTCGGCATAAGGTCCACATAGCTCGTTATCACAATGAGTTTGCTTGCTCTGCTCAACCTCACAGTGATCCCCAAAAAATCCTTGTAGGCAGCGACACTCGTAACCGCCGCCAACTTTTGAAACGCATACGCCGTTGTTGAAGCAAGGGCGAGAGTCGCAGTCATTTATTACCTGAAAATAAATACAAGAGTGACATTTTATCTCGCTCTACTCCACCCTAACTCAGTATTTCTCAAAGCGGGACATAGCCCCGCCTGATGTAGGCAATGTTTGTTTGTTTGTTTAAGATTTATTCAGCATGATTGCTACAATTACGTTCTTATAAAAAACTAAAAAATTTCATAACATACACATATTTAGAAAAGAAAAAAATTTGCATCTCTAAGAAGTTTCATTGTCTACGAAATATTCATTTAATTTTCTTTTAAATATCTTTAAATTACAAGTAGACTTTATATCATTATTTAGTTTATTAAATCCAAGAAATCCTTTCTGAAATATTGATTTGCTAGTTATATTACTATTGCAATTTTGTAAATGAAAATCTATATTTCCTCTTGTATAATAAATCTGGTAATGATTATTCAATTCTATGTAGTGTTCTAAATGTTCTGGCAAAAGATGATTTTTTATTTTAAATATAAAAATAAGAACCAAATATGATATCAAATTTTTTATATTCAACCACTGCAATTCTTTTCGTTTTATTCAATATCATTCTCATAGCTTTATTTTGCAAGACTTGGAATTTTGAGAATACAGCTTCATTAGCAGTGAACAAGATAGTTGAAGTAGTAAATGCGGTAGTATGATTGTATTATAAACTATTTTCTTTGAAAAGGTACCAAGACTATCAGAAGCCCTATAAAAGTAATTTGTTTTTTTTTTGGCAATTTTTGAAATAATGTATTCATAGTGAACTGAAACTTTAGTTTACTATCAATATATATATATATATACCTAAATATTTAATTGATTCACAATTTTCAATTATTTCTCCATTTACCCTAACTGTGATAGTATTTTCATTTAGGTATTTCCCTATTAGCATACATTTTGTTTTAGAAGTATTCAATTTTAGTTTATTTGCATTTAACCAATTTACGATTTTTTCCAAGTCAGAATTTAGCATTTTTAAAGCAGTGTCTATATTTTCATCTGATATGTATATTAATGTATCATCTGCAAATATCTGAAGTTTACAATAATCTAAAATATTACAAATGTCATTAATGTATAAAATAAATAGTAGTGGACCTAGTTTACTACCTTGTGGTATACCAACAGAAATAGTTTTTGATCTTGATAATCTAGATCCAATTTTGGTCTTTTGACTTCTGTCAGTTAAATAGTTTTGTAGAATTTTGAATACTGATCCTTTAAATTCGTAGTGATGTAATTTTGTAAGTAATTTATCCCTGTCAACAGTCTCAAATGCCCTTTTGAAGTCCAAAAACACTGTTACTGTATGTTTCCTATTGTCCATACATCTCCTCCAGTCCTCTAAAGCCATTTGTGTTGCCGTTTCAGTTGAATGTTTCTTCCTGAATCCAGCTTGAAATTTGGTTAAAATGTTATTTCCCTCAATAAATTCGATGATCTGTTCGCGAATAATTTCTTCAAAAACTACTGATCAGGTGGTAAGAAGCCTAGTGGAAATTGAGAGAGGCATGCAAAGTGACAACAAATGAACTTACATCCTGACAATTCTTCCCCGCAAACCCATCAGCACACTGGCACAGAAAACTACCGTACGTATCGAAACAAGTGCCGCCGTTGAAACATGGTGTCGCATCGCATTCGTCTACGTTGATCTCGCATCGGACGCCTTTGTAGCCGGTGTGGCCGCAATCGCAGGTGTAGTTCGCAAAGCCGTCCATACAGTCCCCACCGTTCAGGCACGGGTTTGGCTGGCAGTCATCGATGTTCGTCTCGCAGCTCGAACCAGTGTAACCTACGACAAAAGAAACAAGCAAATATGTAGAAAAACAAGTACAGTATGTCTAGTGGAAAATTTCACTTTGTAATTTAAGAAAAAAAATACAAAATGAATGAAAAGAAAATTACTACCAACAAATTCGTGAATTTGGCGGGTTTTATTTCTTAAATATCATTAAAAATGTTTGCCATCCCTTCGAACACACTCATTAATCGCGTGCGCAAATTCTGAAACTTTCTATTGCAGAGTTCCGAAGTGGTGTTGTTTATTTCTCGTCGAATGTTGTCTACATAAATAATGTAAAAACTACTCAGTGCCTTTTAAATCTTGTAATTACATTGAATATTATAAATGACATAATCCTATGCCGTGTTTACCTTGTTTGCATCTACATCTCGTTTTATCAGTCTCCTCGTCATAATCGCACGTTCCCCCATTCAAACAAGGATTGTTTTTGCACCTGGGATGAATTTGGATTTCATATTCACACTTTTTACCCGTGAATCCAGGCGAACATACGCAGCTGAAATCTCCATTTGGATCTGGTATACAAGTAGCCCCATTCTGGAAAAAATGAGTTTTGATGGGGTATTTAAACTTGCATTGCTTTCGGTGATATTTAATAATATAAAGTATACTTGTAATTTAAAGAGGTTTAAAAGAAAATTAAAGGAACACTTCATGGACAGTGATAATTCTCAGGAATGCAAGGCTTATTTTCCTAAATACTTGTATCTTATGTAATTATTGTAGTAGTAACAAACAAATCTGATTAAGAGATACATTGTAAGAATTATTTTAAGAAATAATATGAAAATAGAGCTGGTGAAGCTGCATTTTCGAAAGAAACTTTATTATTTATGAAATCTATTATCTTTTTGTACAAAGAAATTATTTTTTAATTGACACATACCTTGCAATACGGAGCTTTCTTTTCACACAAATTTCCAAGATCCATCTCGCAATTTTTGCCCGTGTATCTAGGTGCGCAAACGCAAGTGTACGTATTTGTACCACTGAGACAAGTCCCGTGCCTCATACATGGTTCGGTCATACAGAAATCTTGAGTTGCTGCCTTTTCGTTTGGTACACCTAAAAAGTAATACTTGAGCATACAAATAGTTCCAAACATCAAGCTGAATAATCCAAAGTAAAATAGAGCGAGCCAAAATAGTTATAAACGAGGGTTGTACGGAAAATACGTATAAAAAATTCGGGGCGTCGTGTCAAGGCGTTGTGGAGGGGTGGCCCGGTGGTTCCCTCTCTCTATGCAATCACCTCTATAATCAGTTCGAGCTGGTGTGCTATGCGAGTAAGTAGGATTTACGTCTGCCTGTTGAAAGTAACCCCTGCATCAACATCAAGCGTCTTGCAAAGCTAGGAGACAATCCTCTGAAGGAACCAACCGTCAACAAGTGGTTGAAAAGGTTTCGGGAAGGTCGAGCAGATGTGAAAGACGACCAACGCTCAGGGCGCCCCAAAACATCGATCTCTGAGGAAAATCTTGAACGAATTCGGGGCTGTGTTCTTAAAGACCGTCGATTGACAGCTGAGGAACTGTAAATTCTCAAAACAATAGTCCACGAAATTCTGACAGAAAAACTTGAAATGAAAAAATTGTGCGTGAAAATCGTTCCGAAGCTCGTGACTCCAGAATAGAAAGCAATGAGGGTTGCTTGCTGTGAGGATTAGGGGGACTTTCTAAACCGGGTCATCACTGCAGACGAGTCTTGGTTCTACAAATTCGATGTGGAGCTGAAATCTCAAAGCATGGAGAGGAAGCAAGCTAGGGAACCGAGAACAAAAAAATCGAAAAAATCAAGGTCTAATGTGAAAAGAATGTTGATTGTTCTCTTTGATTCTCGGAGCATTGTTCACCAGGAATTTGTCCCTACCGGAAATATCTACATTGAAGTTTTGCCTCGTCTCAGAGCTCGTGTGGCCCGAGTTCGACTGGATTTGGCACAAGGGGGCAGGTGGATCCTTCATCACGACCCCGCACCTGCTCACACGTCTCTCGTTGTGAGTGAGTTTTTGGCCCGAAGCTCAACCACCATGACAGAACACCCGCCTGATTCACCCGATTTAGCCCCTTGAGACTTCTTCCGGGTCCCAAAATGCAAAATGGTGATTCGGGGGCGGCACTTGAGGGATGTGGAAGCCAACAAGGCAGAAACGACACGCCAAATGAAGATCCTCACAATTGAAGACTCATCGAACGCATCTACAGTGGAATCGGCGTTGACAGAAGTGCATCTTGTCTCAGGGGAAGTACTTTGAAGGAGACCATATTGAAATACCTGAATAATCATAAAATTAAGTTACTATTCCACTTTTATACGTATTTTCCGGACAATCCTCGTATACCAAGCTATGGAATGTCACATGTGAAACTTATTCTATGGTTTTAATGCTGTATATGTTTGAAATAATGTTTACTGATACGATTAATAAGTACTTGAAAAAGGCCACCATGGGGGCTGAAACTTCGTATCAGTGAACAGTATACGAGGGATGTCTTTTAAGTTTTGCATATGGAAATAAAACAACACGGTAGGCAGTTTTAAATGACTTTATTGTTTTTCGAAGTATTCTCCACGAAGATTAATACACATCTGCATGCGCTCGAACCAATTTTCGAAGCACTTATTCCACTCGTTTGCTGGCAAATGCAAAACAGCATTTTTGAATGCGTCAACTGCTTCTTCTGGTACTGGAACCTTTGACCACGCTGTCTGTTTTTAATTTAAGTAAAGAAATCGTTAGGACTTAGATCGGGACTATATGGCGGATGGTCCAATAATTCCACTTTTCTTCCGTTAAATACTGCCTTGTTTTTTTGGGTTGTGTGCGAGCTTGCATTGTCTTGGTGTAGGATGATTATTCTTTCGGGGTTGATTTTTCGAAGCTCGGTGATGACTTTTGGCAAACAAATGGTGGTATACCAATCCGCAGTAACAGTTCTTTGCTCATTAAGAGGAATTGTTGCAATATGACCCGCTTTTGACACAAATGTCGCGACAATCTTTCTCGAAACACTTCGAGAACGGATGACTTTTGTTGGCTTTTCTTCACCTTGGAACACCCAAGCAGCCGACCAATTAACCCTGGCTGCTTTCTGCTCTTCAGTCAACAGGTGGGGTATCCAACGAGAAACTAATTTTCTTACTCCTAATTCTTCATGTAAAATTTTTTGAATTGAGGTCTTTGAGATCTTCAAGGACGCCTCAATCTCGCGATATGTCACATGTCTATCTTCAATGATGAGTATGCCCACAGCATCGACATTTTCCTGGGTGACTGCCGTTTTTGGTGCACCCACCCTGGAATCGTCGCTAAGACTCACCCGTCCACGTTTGAATCTCCATACCAACGGAAAATTGTGGACTGATGTGGCGCTTCGTTGCCGAAAACAGACAGTTACTCAGCAAGGCATTCTTGTTGCGATAATTGTCTCTGAAAGTTGTAATAAATTATGGCGCGAAAATGTTCTCGGTTGAGTTCCATTTTTCTAATGACCTGCTGGCACTTAAAAATTCACTGTAGTGAGAACACTGCACGTATTGTTGTGAAACTTGGAATTTAAGTTTACTAAAGAGTGAGGTTAAGATTCAGTACTGACGGTCGATCCGCGCGACCTACTATGTTTCTATATGCAAAACTTAAAAGATCAAACACATGTGGTTTCATTTAGCATCCAAAAATAGCCACGTCGAAGTTGATTGCTAAAAGATTCAGTTTTGCAATATGTTACACCAAATATTATATATTGACGTAATGAAGATGTAGCTCAAATTTGTACATAATATGGATTCCCTATTTGATTATGGTAAACTAAAAGCAAAAAAAATATCCCTGCTTACAACTGTCATATGGTATAGGGCATGGTTCAAATGCTACGTTCTGCGCAGTAAGTACAATATTTGAATCGAAAACGATAGAGGGTCCTTCTAGAATACATCCTTCAAAATGGTTTCCGATCAAGAGAACTGCAGCTCCTTCGTTGTATAACCCGGGGCTTATTAGCAGGTCACTTCGATAACTTGAATTTGCTATTAGCTGAAACAAGATGCCAAAACTTAATTGCGGTTACATCATATAATTTGCTCTGCAGGTAATGCAAGATGTTAAAAACCATGAAGGAAAAGAAAGTATATATTCTGATATCTCACCTGAGTTTCACCGTCGACATCTATCGTTAAATTTCCTAGTTTGTAATGTAAAAATACCGTATGCCATTTGTTGTTTATAAAACTGCCTCTAATTTTGTGTTCATATGTCTTTCCGGCAGTCTTTGCTATAAATACCAAGCCTTCAGCATTTACTATCAATTCTATCACATCGTCGTTTTGTGTTTGCGAAAATAAGGTTCCATCTAGAAAAACATCAAAAATATTACTGATACGTAAAAATCATCTTGGTACTGGTACGTTTTTAGCTAAGATGGGTGGACGATGGAAGGCAAATTATATAAAAATCATAGTTATTACCGATGCCGAATTCTGCTGCCACGTATACGATCTTGAGTTCGAGGTGGGTGTTAGTGTGACTAGAAGGAATTTGTCATCGCATGGCAATAACTTTGACTTTTTGATAATTAGCTTTCCATGGTCGACCCACCGTGCCTCTTCCATGACTATAAAGGTATTTCTTGACCAAGTATATCATACTATCCAGATATGGAGAAGGAATCCACCGCATACCAGACTAGTTTTGCATATCATCTCATTGTGTAGTTAGATAGAATAGCGAATATATTTTGAATGAATTCAATAATAAGAACCGGATTTCTCCTCCAAAAACTAATCACTCATATTCTAGCCCCTATGGTGTGTCTGTGAAATGTCGTTATCCAAGCGTGTTTATACCACGTTGTGTCGGCATATGGTGGGATAAGACCTTTACTAATATTTTCTAGATAGATCATTCTTACCATTAACGCATGTCCTAAAGCTAAGTCCAGTCTGTTTTTTCAAAGACACTGTTGTGAGCAGTCTTAGGTAAGCGGAACCGTTGAAGTAGGCTTCGGGTTGTGAAGAAGGTCCATAGTTTTGGACTGCTCCGTTTACGCTGAGATTCAATAAATAGAGTACTGGAAAAATAATGATAGTGAAAAAGCAATCCAATGGCAGAAATAGTCTTCTACTATAATAAGCTTGCTTCTTTTGTTTTTGATCGCATTAGTAACCCACGCTCATGTATCTAGTCTCATAATAGGGATATTAGTACAAATACATTGACCATGTATGTTGTTCAAGAGTGTTGTTCTTCTTATGGTGTCGAAGAACTGTATCTCATTTTATTCATTGAATCAATGATTACTTATTAGATACATTTTTGGAAGAGGAAATGATATCACAAAACTTGTAGATAACGTCTTTTTACATTTAAATCTCGAATACTGATATGGGTAATTTGAATACACTCAGTGAAAAGCATCTATCATTATTCATAAATAGAAAATCGAAACATATTCCCAGTGGTAAGTTGTCGCACAATCTTGTGCATGCGACTTATGCTATAACCATGAAACAATGTAGATAAAATATAGCATTTGTTGCATATAAGAAGAGCAGCGCGAACAATACCTTGAAGCACTGCTAGAGGATTGCGATTCAGAGATACGCAAGAATTACGTTAGGACTTATTTTCTGGCTAAATCAAAGCACATGTATGTTTTAACTTGCCTAAATCCGGCGCTGCGCCAGCGTGGAAGTAGCGCAAAGTAGTAGTATAGTAATGCATTAATTTGGCAATGAATATTTTTCATTCACCATTTTTTGTTTGTTTGTTGAAAATTTATTTAGCATTAATTATACAATGTCAATTTTTTATAATTATCCGTTTTCGCATTTTTTTAATCAATTTTCTGTAATTTTCTATTCTATGAAAATTAAATCTAGTGCATTTTGGATATTCATTGAAAGATTTTTTAATTTCACCTTAAACATTTTTGAATTATAACGCTGTTTAATATTAATTATCAATCATTTTATTAAATTCAAATACTCTCTGTTGAAATACAGATTTGCTAGTTATGCTATTATAACAATTTAGATGATAATTTAAACTGCCTCTATTTTCGTATTTATGATAATTTTGTGAAGTTTTCTAAATGATATCCAGTGTGTAATCAAAATCACAATAAATAATACGTGAAGTATCTCACAGCCTGTGAGGCACATCTTAAAATAAACCAATAACTATTTATCCACAGTATTATACTCAAAGTATAACAAAACACCAATCACGTTAAGAAAACTAATGTCTATTTATAGACCTTTGCTTATTTCAGTCTAACCAGCGACTGAGCACTTCCGCACTAAAAATGTCATTTCAGTTTGGACTGTAGCCCGTGAAATAGTAATATATGTGTTATCTATCTCTGTAACAAATTTCATCCAGATCCATTCAGCTATTTTAGGGTGATTGAGTAACAAACATCCACACTCTTTCATTCATAATATTAGTAGGAATTTCTATTTATTGTACGACATTTCGGCCCCCAGTATGGCCTTTTCTTGCTTCATTAGAAAATTTCAGTTACAGCTGAAAAGGTTCCTTGAAGCAAATAGAGATATTGCATTAAATAAATCAACGTATTTAACAAAACTTTATTAAAACAAATTAATTTACAATATAAAAATCCCACCCGAACGATGCACAATAACTAAGTTACATTTTATCACCAATAAAATGATAGCTATAATATAATAATATAAAGTATACTAAAAAGATATTTCCAGGTTGAGCACACTTGTGTAGATATAAACAATACACACCTCTCAAAAATCATCACACAAAAAATATTCACATGTTTTAGGACATTTTTTTAAATGATTGGTAGCTTGAAACGTAAACATAAAAAATAATGTAGTACGAAAATAATGTACATATATAAATGCTTAATAATCACAAAAGCTTATCATTATCCAATAAAAACTAGAACAATATTTTTTACAGCTTGGCCCGCAAGACCTCGATTTTCTTGGCAGCAGTCCTTTGCAGCTCAGCTAGTTTCATGGCCAAGCCCATATTTCCTTGGATTTTAACCTTTCCTTGGAAGAAGGCTTTCTGTGGAGGTATTTTGCCCGTTATCAGTTCTTTAATATCCGCATCTTTAACGATGAATGTTACATCTGGTTTATCTTTGCCATTGAATTCGATTTTTCCTTTGCCTTGTTTACAGTTGACCACCTGAAAAAAAAAAGTTTTTAATTACCTTTTCTGTAACTTACGATGTGTTATGAATAGAAAATATATTCAAACAGCTTAATGAATTTCCAAATTTAGGAAATGCCAGTATACTAGGAAAAAGTTCGAAACACCTAGTTATATTGCAACAGCTCCCACATTTATGAGAAAAGCTAGCAAAAATGAATGAAAATTATTACCTCTTCTAAAGTTATTACCTTAAACATGGAATCAGAACTATGCTTGCACTAATTTTGTCATGGCAGACAACTAAATTTGAAGTTTGAGGTGTATTATTCGACACTACTTTTTAATGGGAAAATTGGAGAGTTTCTGTCATCCATTATGTTTTACGTTGAAAATATTTGAACATTTTCTATATTAATATCTTGAAGAGAAGTATTTGTCCCGATTGGAATAAATAATGCAAACTATTGGGAAATGTAACCTTATATACTGCCATATTATGGCAGGTGGTTGGAATATGTTATTCAACTTTTTGGATTTGTCCTGTGAGTGCATGGCTTTGAAATGCCCTTCAAATGCCTTCCTAGAAACAAAATGATCTCTGAATTGGAATCAAAAACCTATATCGTACGCGTCTGGACTCGAATCCTGAACTTTTTTGAATTTGTCCTTGAAGTGACCTTGAAATAGTTTTTTTAGATGCCTAAATGACTTTGGGTTGGGCTGAACTGCTTCTTTTGAAAATCTAATTCAAGTCACCATCAAATGCCCTCATAGAGACAAACTAACCTCAGCGGCCCAAAAAAACCTGTTCTACTGAAAATCGTATGAATTCCGTATAAATCGTATTTTCTGCTAGCTTTTTGGTCTTCCAGACCACCGTGTGGTTGTCGAATACCTAAATCAAAATCTAGTTTTTTAAAAAATAACAATGATTGAATACGCAAGAAAGGAAATGAAAAATGTTGGCTATTTGGTAAGTTACAATCTGGTTGCCAAACCAAACATTCATAGTGAAACCTACCCAATATCCTGTTTTTCCATCCCTGTTGATTATTTTAAGTCCATAGATGGCTCTGTGGCTATTTATAAGACCATCCTCATCTTCCTCCATAGCTTGTTGTAGGATTTTGAGGTATGGAGTAACTGAAAAGTCATTTTCTGATACAACACTCCCTGAGCCTGCCATACTAGGTTTGTTTTTAGCCTGATTAGGAAATCCTAATTGGTATAAGGCTACTACTACTGCACCACCTAGGCCTAAAATAAAAATATACTCTGTAGTAACAGACGAATAAATATGCATCAAAAAATGGCTAAACGGGGTGATTAGATACAGCCAGAATTTCTAAAAATATATAAATACGCCATACTGATTGAGGTCGTATGTCCAGAAGTATTCAAAATCATTTCCATCTAAGTGTTTCATGGTGTGTATAGAAATGACTAAAAAACAATGTTATCCATTTTTTTATAAAAAACGCATTATTTGTGCATTTAATTATGTATTTTTCTTCTATCTTAACTTGTTAACAAATATAAGTACAGCTAGAAATTGTATGTCAAAATTGCAATTTGCTGCAAAATGAGGCTTCAAGAAAATCAAAGAGAAAAAGTCATAATAAAAGTAACCACCCCTACTTCATTTTCTTTACCTCTTACATACCGCTATATAATCAGCCAAATATAAATAAAACAAATCTCCAAAATGAATATACGTATATCACGCAAATTAAATCATAAACATCTCGGAATTGTTTTAGACTGCCATCTTCGTTGGGATTAACAAATCCAATACATTAAAAAGGAACTTAGATTTCTATTATATAAATTCAGATATTACAGACAAATTTTCAGTGAAACAATTAAAAATTATATATCAAGCATTAGTTGAATGTCACATAACCATCTAAATTCTTTACAAATAATACAAAAACTATTCATAAAAACAATTCATAACAAACCTTTACTATATCCCTTTCAAATTGCTGTTTATAGAATCAGAACTTTTAGAAATAAAAAAATTATTTTGGTATAAGAAAAAATTATGAATATGATACTAGACATAAAAATAAACAAATAATTATTGCAGCACCACAAAAAGAAATAATGTTGAAATCTTCTATATACTTAGGTCCAAAATTATATTATAACTTACCAAAATATATTAGAAAAAACTGAATTTCATTATTAAGAATAGATTTATACGAGTGACTATTGAAAACTGATATAATTTGTAATTGATGTGAATAAATTATTATTATTATTATTAAGAAATAATGAATTTCTTGACAAAAAAGAAACTGATAACATTGTTTTTCAGGCATCTCTATACACACCATGATACCATCAGACGAAAAGTATTAAAAATAGTCCAGACAGGCTGATGAAAAGAAAGCATGCGACATTGTCAAAATATTTACGGAAAACATGTATTGTACCACAAATGATATTGTAACTAGTGACGTGAAAAAGCCATCACAAAACCTAATGTTTGCTTCAATAATAGTCTTCCTACACACCTAGTTAAGATACTTGAAGTAGCCTGTACCTGGGCGCTCGACGTTAACTCCAAAAAATCACAATATCAACCATGATCTGTCTATAGTTGACCAATTATAAGTACATGAAATCTAATATAAAAATGAATCAAAAGATAATATGACAAATGCAAGTGGGATTTTTGCGATAACGATAATGTAAAACGAAATTTCACCATGAAAAAGTTCTTATTTCATTCGAGTCTAAATGAATTTTTAAAAAAGGATATGCTCTTTTGAGGTTTCTTTTTAATTGTGAATCACACTAGGCAAACAGAAAACAATGTAATGATTATATTTATCATAACCTAGCCTCAGAGGTTATCAAATTATCGTTTACTATTATGATATCATTTTCTACTCAAACGACGTTGATTGGACTTATCAATAAAGTAATACACACATACCCTGTAAACTCGGCTAACACGATTCTGCAATTGTAATAACAAACCTAACTACTTATGAATTCGCTTAACGAAATAGCGTATTTTGTACAATTTCACTTGAGATGCAGTGAATGTTTCGAAGATTTTACTTTTACACGTACGGCTGTGGGCTATGTGCGTGGCCTAGAAAGTGTGCTGGCAACGTTGCCAGATGGTAAAAAAATTAACAAACCTCAAGATATCGATCACAATGCCGTTATCTACTCTTCAATATTTATAGCAGCTTAATTAATTATTGCTACCATATTTATGAGACAATATGAATTTGAACATTGAACAGATAAAACACATACAAATTAAGAATGTGTTATTTCACTCGCATGTGTCAAAACTGTCAAAACAAACAGAAAATCCTCACATAAAAAGAGGCCTTAAGCAAAGGAACAACTATGGATGCGGAGCTTCGCCGACAAAAGTCCATTATCATCCATCCGCTTCTTCTTCTTTTTATACCATGTTCTACTATATTATGATGACACCTTGTAACTTTGGTATAACATCCATTACATAAATTTTAATTATAGAAACCTGTTTTGTTATACAATGTTGTTAAAAGCCGTATAATGAATGCGAACTAATACTTCTACGGAATCTTACGAAAATAACCGCATTTATATGGGTATTAAGGTCAATGCACAAGATATCGTGTGTTTTGCATACAATAACTGGATTCACCAGTTTTCATTATCCTGTTATCATAGAGAAGACGCGATTGACTTATTTTATATATATATATAACTACATAATATAAGGATCTATTACTCTGACTTTTCTCCTCTCTACATTTATGAGAAAATGAAAACCGAATAAAATTAAGTACCAAGCCTCTGATATTGAGTTCTTGTGACTTTTTCGTGATAGAAAAATTAGTATTTTGGTTAAAATGAACAAGGAGTTTCTATCATCACCATTACCACTTTGATCTTCATCTCACGAAGTGGGTTACCTGCCTGGAAATCATGTATTTTTATTTGAAAAAAGTAGCCGACGAGCTTGAAGTATTATACAAAATTTCATCCATAAATATTGGTATTTTCTTTGATATACAATAAAATATAAGAGTTGGAAATATAGCTGCTATATCATTCTTTCCTGGTCAACGTTCCATATCGATTTTAATTAGGCTCAGGAAATTACGTGACATAAGGATATGATGGTAGGTAACGCATAGTTGGCGAAATTATCATTAAAAGTAAATCATTTATCAATCAAAACATTTGACAGCTAGAATATAGGCTAGTAGACTGAACCTGTCAACATCCATGAATTGTAGATGCAAAGGGAGAAGGATATTTGATATTTGCCCACCATTTCTCCATTTTAGAGAAAATTACAGCAACACTGATTTGAGTTTTGGCAGAGGTTCGACGCCTTTCTAGAGATCAAATGCATTTTCAACAAATTGTTGTCTTTTCATTGCAAGAACTTTGTATTTTCCTTGACAGTTTCGACACATACCAGAGACAGAAGAATTGTCAAATATCCTCAATGAAGAATGCTCCCTTATTTGGTTTGAGGCCTCCTTCCTCGAGGAACGCAGGCTCCTACCTATTTTAATCAAGTCTACCGAAAATTCATTCAAGATCCAGCGTCTTATTATCAATTGATAACCAAAGGTAACAATGAAGCATTAGATCGAAGCAGGGGTGCCTTAATATTTGATATCTTGCATATCATTTGATATTGGCGAGCAAGCTATAAATACCTGGTTTTTACGGGGAAATGAGATGTTAATTCTTAACAGTTACCGTTCAGCTGAATGAAAAAAATTGCGGCATAAGAAATTATGACTTACCGATGTTATGTTGCAATGCCAATTTGGCACCCGGCACTTGTCTGGGACCCGCTTCGCCTCTCAACTGCCAGCAAAGCTCAGCGCACTGTGCCAAACCAGTGGCGCCGAGCGGATGGCCTTTGGATATCAGGCCCCCGCTCGGGTTGATGACGTATCTGTTCAGAAAACAAGTTTTTCTTAATAATGAAGGTAATTGTGCACAAATCAACAATGTTGACATTGAAGATGTTGTGGTTTATTTCATCAAATAAATGCGTTTCATGGTGCCAATGGATGAAAGTACAAGGTGTGTGAGATTATTTCTCTATGTTTTTTTTTTTCTCTTTGTATACCAAGAATATGTGGACTATCTTTGGAACTAGGATAGAGCTTATGAGAACAATAAAATTTTCTAAAATATTAAAATATTTATTTTTGTTACAAGTATGTGTCAGAAGCTCTCAAATGGTGCCCTTAAGAGTGCATATTCACTGCTCTAGCACATTACAGAATGGATAAAATCCCCCTTTTCATGCATGAAAATTGTAACTGTTTTAGAGTGTCATTTATGAAATATGAGAGTTGCCTAACTTCAATTTTTTTCAGCAGCAAATTTTATTTTACTATGCCCTATACAGAACAAATAATTGAATACCGTGGAAAAATGTGGGATTTTCAAAAAATTTTAACGCCTACAAACGGTTTTTTATTACACTCAAGAATTATCAGAAATCCTGAGAACATCGAAAAACAAGTTTGGAGATTTTTTTCGTTCATAATTAGGCTTACTTTGGATCGATTTATATCAAATTACACAGCTTTCCCCTCCTTAGCATGGGCTAAAATGGCAAGATAATTGAAAAAAATCAATGAATGAAGGAATTTTTAGTAATTTTGACACCTCCAAAAAAAGCGAAATTTGTGAACGTTATTTTTTTATTTTTACTGATAACTTCGACGCCACTTGAGCAGTTTTCAAAACTCATGAAGCTTTTTCGTCCTTGGCATGGTAGTATCAATTTCGATTTGTTAAGTAATAACAAGACATCCTCGTCAATTAGCATGGGACGTAAAAGACACACATTTTAACTAGCTAAGACTTTTGAACTTTCTTGATTGTTTTTTTTTTGTTTATTAGATTCTATTATTAGAATTACATCAGTTTCAAGATGTCTATAATTTTCACTGCCTTCCATTTTTTCATCTAATTTGTCTGGTTTGTAAGTCCACATCATTTTAGAGAAAGGCGGAAAAATTATCCGAAACAAAAAGATGTAGATTTTAAGAATCTGATGTTGTGGAAATCACAATCTTACCCTCTATCCATCCATTGAATACCTGCTTTGAATAAAATAATGATAATAAAATATGTGACTATTTGAAATAGAGTAAGTATATTCAAAACATAATATAAACAATACTTACTTTCCACCATAGGTATTATCCCCTCTATCAATGAACTCTCCAGCCTTTCCAGGTGGACACAACCCAAGTGCTTCATATGTGATCAATTCATTAGCAGAGAAACAATCATGCAGTTCTATGACTTGCACATCAGATGGTCTTTTGCCTGTCTTTGCATACAACTTATCTGCAGCAAGTTTAGACATGTCATACCCAACAATGCATATATGGCTGTTGGCATTGAAAGTGGATGGGAGATCAGTGGCCATTTCCATGCCCAATATCTCCACAGCTTGCCCTTCAAGACCATGCTTCTTCACGAAGGTCTCTGAAGCTATAATTGCAGCTGCAGCCCCGTCAGATGTAGGGCAACACTGCAGTTTTGTCAAGGGTCCATACACTTTAGGTGATTGCATGATCTGCTCTAGCGTATACAAATCCCTGAATTGGCTTTTTGGGTTGTTTACAGAATGTTTATGATTTTTGTAGGCAATTTTGGCAAAATGTTCGGGCTTTGTTCCATATTTATTCATGTGCTCTATTCCTGCATTTCCAAACATTTGAGCAGTCATTGGAGAGCCATCTATGTCGGCCAAATTTGACATTGCTTCAACGTGTTTCATCATTGGATTTGCTCTATCATTAAACTGAAAATTATATTTATACTTTACTGAAGTATTAAAACCCAACAGAGAAATATCCAAAATATCATGATTTTTAAAAAATTTGCAAATGTTACTTGGTTTAAGAATTTAAAGAGGCCATGCCACACACACAGAGAAATGGAGATGATATAAATTTATAAAATGATACAATCCATCCACTTTTGCAAATCATTTTCATCACTTATTTAGAAGTACATAAAAGATCAATTAGCATTGAACTTAGGACCCTTTACTTGAATCAAATATAAGTGTAAATTTATCTGGAGTACAAAATAATAGTATATACTGTAGATGGCAATCTAGATATTTGTGTTTTTTTTAATGTTTTATTTAAAATACTAATTAAATAGTGCAACTTCACATATCTGATGATACTCAAGATGGCAAATGGCTAAATTGTACCTGACTGATACACAATTTACAGAAAATGAACCATAAGAAAACAAAAATTACTTTCAGATATTGTAAACAATTTTTTGTACCACTAAATCTAGAATTTGGAAACATTTACTTCTAGAAATTGTGCATCCAAAGCGAAATAATAATGAATCTCATTTATGTTTGTAGAACTCAAGATCAAAATATGAATCAAATCGAATTTCAATCTAAAATTTGAGCAATCAAAATTAAGCTGGTATTATTTTCACTTGGTATTACCCACTCAAGTCAATTAAATTACTCATTATATTTGTAAATGCATAAGCGCATACTGCATTTGCTAATAAGGCCTGATCCCTGCAATTTTTTACAAAAGTAGCAATAATATCAGCATAATTAAACATTATAACAAATGATAGAGCTAAGGAAAAATAAGTTATAAGGTAGTGTTATACTCTATTTTTTTATTATGCACTAACAAGAAAATTATGAAAGCCCCAGGTAAATGTCAATCAAAACAATAGCCTCTCAAAAATAAACTACAGAAAAATATTTCCTGCTATGATAATCACTAAGCTTAGAGGTCATCTCCACATTTGATAAAATTGAGTTTCTGTGATAATCTGGAAGAATGATCAATTTTTCCTATTGAAAGTGGTAAAATGGCAAGACATAAAAATATTATATCTAAGCAGTTACAAAAACCTGTAGGTATCCTTCTTGTTTTTGTTCTAGTGAGATGTCAATAAACAATATTTAGCCTTAATGTAGTGGTATTATATTACGTATGATAATAGGACCTAGTTATGCGCCATTTGATAAATTTCCGGATTTTGCTGCCAGATGATGCACAGTAGGTCAACTTACATATGAAAAAATGCAGGCAGTATAGAGACCTGAGGTTCAAAAGCAAAAACATTTTTTACTAAGCGCCAAACGTAATATTTGTTGTTATTTATTTTGCAACAGATGACCAAACGACCAGATTTTGTGTAGAGTCGGCATTGGCACTACCAAAGTTTTGCATATAAAGAGACCAATATTGAGGAAAGACCATCGAATGCTACGATTCAAGCATTGCTTAGTAAACTCCTCGAAAAACTGTGGCCAAATGGGAAACCTATAGCAGAAAAGCTAGATGATTTAAAATCATTACTAAGTCTTATACCCAAGGAATCCAAGAAGTTCTATAGGAATCTAGTTGGCGATTCAAGTATCGAGGAAGATGTAGATAGGTTCAATGGTCAACCAGATTTCAAGCTTGAGGATGAATAATACAAATTTTCGATTCAGGTTCTTGACTCATTTCGAAAATGTGTGGTTACTTCTTGCTTTATTTTATTTTTGAATCAGTATAATTGAGTTTATTATAACATTTGAGATTTAAACAACTTCTTATTTGGTTTCGGGAATGTTTTAATTTGTGTAGTTTTAATTTTTCAATGAATTTTATGCTAATTACTAAAATACCTATAAAAATAAAGAATCTTTCTGCAATGTGTTCCTTATTTTGCAAAGCATGACCAAGTAACATTTTTGTGTTGAAAAATGAGCATTCATTTTGAAAGCAATATTTGCCATTTCATTTCATTAAGTTTCAGGTATAAGAGTTTTTGAAAAAATGATTGCATACATAAATTTGTAATATCATTTTCTATTCACAGAACAAAAAACATTCACCAAAATGGTAGCATTGATTTCTAATGAATTGTTAAAGTTTATTCATCCTCCTGAAAAACAGAGATTTGTCACTTGGTCAAGTCATGCATAACGCGGTCCAATTGTAATAATTATTTACCTGGGAGGTTAAGCTGCCTCTCTGCATCTTTTCAAATCCTACAGCCAGTGCACAATTATATTTTCCAGACTCAACCATTTCTTTAGCTATCAATAAGGCACTTGATCCTGTTGAACAATTATTATTGACATTGAATACTGGGATGCCAGTCATCCCAACTTCATATATCACACGCTGACCACAAGTGGAGTCTCCATAAACATATCCTGCTGCTGCCAATTCTACTTCATTAAAGTTTACTTTGGCATCTTGTAAGGCTGACAGCATTGCTTCTTTGGCCCATTCTGGGTAATCATCATCTCTTTTGCCTGGCTTGTCAAATTTGGTCATTCCAACACCAATTACGTATACCCGCACCATGTTTGCTTCTCAGTGTAGCCTCAAAAATACAAAAGCATTATTCAAAGCAGTTTCCAATTAAGTACAACAAAGTGTATTGCACAGAATCATCATATTCAACTAGAATATGTAAATTGAAATTCGAGTTGCAATAACAGTACGGTGCAAGGACTTCAAATATACTACTTGGAAAATTACAACGTAATGATAATTAAAGGAAAATTACAACAGTTTGTGAGACTTGAGCCTAAGTCACTAGTGAAAAGCCAAGAAACAGACCTATGTATTAAGCTATAGGTACTTACCTGAGGTTTCGCAGAAAAATTATGAGTGATTCTGACCGGAGATTTTTATCGACAAACCGCTAAATACTCAAAGACAACTTTGGATATACAAGTGAAAATGCACTTTGCACTTGGCCGCACTTTGTTATGACGTATCGCGTTGCCGTCAACCTCGACTGACATTTACACATTTACAGTGTTGAAATTCCTATAATGGCGGATGTAGCGCCATCTATCATGAGTACGCTTAGTTATTTACATACAAGGGGCGCGAAATTAGTACCGTAAAATCGTATTTGGAAAAAATACAAATTGACAAATAGTGCCAAATTTCATACATTTACAACACAACAAATCAAAAGTGAAGATACATACTCGCTATATTTTTAGGATCTACTATTTTGAAAGAAACATCAAATGACCTAGTCTAGCTTTTTTTATTCAAACACCCTGAATTAAGGATATATTTATATATGCATTTTTCGCTGAAATGGTATATATCACCGGTTTATTAATTTATTTGGTCTGCCCCGAAATTAAGGAATTAATAAAAAGTCATACTAGCATTTTGTTTGACTTTACCACCAAGAAAGATAAACCAGAAGTTTTCAAACATTTGTCGAAATTGAAAGCCAACTGTGAGTGCTGGTAATCAAACCAAAGTTTTAATATGCTTAGGTTAGGTTCTAATTGAAAGAAAATAAGAAAATTTAGTTTTCCAAAAAAAGATTCAGTAAAAACATGTAGACTATTGCAAATAAGCATAAAAATCATGAAGATAAAAAAACACTGATCATCGTAGAAAAAACATAATTCACTTGTAGTAATTTTATATTTTGACGAACGCCTTCATTCAAATTCAGCAAATAGAATAGTCAAAATTCGCTTCCAAAGCTTGGCCAAAATTCTAGCCACTTTAGCATGGATAACTCTACCCTTGACTTCTTTACGCCATAAATATAACTTCCTAAACAATAATTGTTATATGTACGTCAACACTGATCGTTCAGACTATATACAATAAAAAGACCTCTGACAGTCCGTTTCGATGATACTCGGTATTTTATCTTGTCCAACATAGATGCCATATCAAGTTTACTCTATTTTAAATCCATTATAAAAATTGTTGGATCAGAATTTATATGGCTTCCGACAAACGATTTATTCTAATCTGAGGAAACCAGCTCATTTGGCAACGAATATGTTCCGGTATGGCTGCTAGGATGTAGGTCTCTGTGTTTTCTCACGGTATTAAAAGGTATGTAAGATGTTATGTTCTCATGATGGAAACTGCTGGACATACATTAAACATATGTACACCTACCATGTATGTGTATACTTCAATGGAATTGATGTTGACGTGTACTATATTTTTTATCTAATAAATTACACGCGCTTTTCAATTTCTAAACAACAGAACAGGGTTGAAAAAACATGTTTTTTTTTTGTTTAAAACATTCAAATGTACCTGAAAGAAAAAACATGTTTAAAACAGTAAAAAAAACTTAAAAAACTATTGTCTCTATAATCTAGCAACGTTAATGAAGTTCCTTGAAAGTGTTGTTACTATTTTTGATCCAGCTCTATCAGAGCACATCTCTAATTCAAAAGCGGGCACCGGGAAACCACCGTGTGGACGTCGGGGAAGTACCGTTTGCCTTTGGGTAATTTTTCGCGTTGCGATCTCCGGCAGTCAAATATGCGAAGGCGTAGCGTGGTGGTGTGTTTTGTTTTTTGTGCATTAAAGATCGGCAAAAAAAGAAAGGCAATGACAGGGAGGATAAAGGATCCCGTGCTGAAATATTTTAAGGAGACTGATGCCAAAGCTGGCTCGAAAATAAATAAAAGAGCAAAATGTTTAACCTGCAATATGGATATAGTGCCACTGGCGGCTAGAATGCGCAAACATATTAAAAAAACCATGACCAGAATCAAATCCAAGCGAATAACCAAAATTTCTGTGTTATGTGCCGCGGTTATAATATGGTTCAAGATGACACACGGGTTGATGACGCCAGTTACACGAATCGCTTGAACGCGTTGGTTTTAACCGCGGTTTTGTTGCAAGTTGTTTATTTTAGAAAAGTGCGTATATAATCTCTGATTATTTTTATTATCACTTAATAATTGGTGCTTTTTTGTCTACACGGTGTATGGAAAGTTTAAATAAGAAACCTTTCATAATATTCATGGGAGAAATGTTATTTTTTTCAGAAATAAATTTTTAATGATGGAACCATGGTTTTGTAGGTATGATAACTTTCAATTCTCTAAAGTTTTCCGCATGTCAAAGAAAAAAAACATTTATTGATTTAGCAGAAATGATGAAAAAACGATGAAAACAGATATTAGCAAAACCGTATACAGGTGGACATCATCCAGTGAGTTAAATGGCCATATTTTAATATTCTTGTGGTATATGGGTACACAGGATACTTTGTTAAACATAGGAACTAGATTGAAAGTGATCCCAACAACAGTAATGAGTATAACTAATAAGGTGCTCCACTTTATGCTAACACTGAAGTCAGCCTGTATCAAGTTTCCCAAAAATGAAGCTGAAGTACAATAACAATATCCAATACCCGGCAAAATTCTAACTTGTCACATTTCAAATAATAACCAGAAATTTAAAACTACTCCTGAGTTGGGTAAATACCACAATTTTGTGGTGATAACTTCTTATCTTATAACCTTATCTTATAACCAAACTGATAACCACACTCGCTTGAACGGATCGGTAAATACCAACCCAAAATGGTAAGTACCATTTTCATTTGGTTATCCGCTTGAATTTGATTATTCATTCCCGTCGATCTATTTGTTCGCTAATCCTTGCTCCGTCTATAATTTGGAAAGTACCTACTACTCGGATTCGGATGTTTGTGACAATCGAAAATCGGGAAGTGGAATACTTCTGAGGGGGTGCACATGTCACGATTCAAGGTAATTTTTATACCAAGACACATCAATGTACACCATTTTCTTGAAAAAAAAAATGGCAGACTGAGGCGGCTAGGGGAGGGCACGCACGCCCCACTCCAGTCCCCTCTAAATCCGCCCTTGGGTAGCGCGGTTACGGGATATGCACATACGAGGTGGGCGCGATATCTATGTATACGAGCACCATGCTTGGAGTGTAATTTAATGAGGTTACTTGATGTCGCGAGGTAATATTACATAGTATCGTATATACAGGGTGTTTTTAGGTAATCAAAAAAATGCCATTTGGAAAGTTTCGAAATTCAAAGCACTTTCGGAGAGAGGCAGAAAAAACCGAATTGTCCGAATCGTTTTAGTTTTTTCCTCTTTATTTGTAGTGGACTTGACATTGCCACTTTTCCTCCTCTACAAGACGGCATAATTAGAATTTCAATATGGATTGGATTTCTGCAAGAGTTATCAAACATTGTTGACAAACAGTTTTACATCAGAGCTCCAACGAAATGAGACTGCCCTGTACGGACACGCTCATTGCTGCAATCAGAGGAATTTTTGGTTCATAAAAAGCTCAAATAGTGCACTAATTATTCTGACAATATCCTACGTATTTTGGGTCATTGCACTACATGGGAAATTGTACTAGCATTTGCTCCAAAAACTTCAGATTAATTCATTCCACCCCGTATAATATTTCCATATACTTTTAGTTGATACCAACGGGACATTATCGACTAGTATCAAATATCTGTAATAAAGTAATTCGAGCCCCGCGCTGAAGTTACAAACAACTACGCCCATGTGCATTTTCGGTACTAATGTACTAAAGACTAAAGCTAATAACCTTCTAATGACCATCTTCGCGCCGTTATGGTGACATGGGTCGTTGATACATTTCCCTTTTAAGACCTAACGGTTGAAATCACCACTTGATTCGAGTGGTACCCCGCCTGATGCCATTCGTATTTCTGCATGGGTCTTTCACCGTGGCGGTTACTTTTAGTCGTTCAACATGTTTTCCTAGAGGTACCGTAATTCGTTATTCTGTGCGACTCAGAATGGAGTCTTTTCACTGCAAAATATACATACGTACGAACGCACCTTTGCTTCTTGGAAATCAACAATGAAAAGAAATTTACCAAGAAAGGCTCTAAAGTTCCTGTCTGCAGATTCGTTTTACTTTTACTTTCCACGCCTACTGGCAAGGAAGTATTGTATCGCGAGATATTGTTTTTTTTTTCGCTTGTCTGTCTGTCGGTCGGTTTGTCCGCTAATCCTTGGACCGCCTATAACTTGGAAAGTACTGCTCGGATTTGGATGAAATTTTATAATTTTTGAAAATCAAACCAGTGGTGGCGGAGTTAGGAGAAAATACACGAAAAACATAAAAATCGCTCAAACTTCGCGGGTTGGGGCGTTGGGGGTTATCAGGGGTGTGGAGGAATGTATACCTCATTTTGTTGGCGGCAGTATATATTTATGCAATTCAATCCCCGGTAATTTTACGCACCTATCAGTAAATATTTGACACATCAAAGATTTCCCCGTACATTTGCCTTACAACTTAGACAAATATGTATAGACTTGACACGCGGTCGGTCGGGGCGATTCGATGCAACGGCGACTTTCATACGCAGAACCCTGCCTTGCGACTGACAAAATCGCATAGTATCGTGGTCGATACTTAGGGCAGGGAAAAAACTAGCATTAACGTTATCAAATGGATGGGGACTATGGAGTATGTGTTAATTGTATATGGGCCTGTTTGGCTGACTTGACCCATTTAATTTTCTTGTTATACATGTTTGTAGCTAGATCAAAGAGACTAACTTGGGCTGAACATTATTCTTTATGGACTGATAACAACGTCGTACAGAGTCAACCTACTTCTTCTTCTTCCTTCGCGAAGACTTGATTCTAAAAAATACATGTAGTCAAATTAATATGGTCAGTACTTGCCACGGTTTGATGAAGTCGACTTTAAAATCATGCTACATTATTCTAATTTAAAGTATCATTGATAAAAAGTAGGCCAAGTTCTGGATGTGTTTTGAATATATTTGAGCTCGGTGCTGCCAAAAGATGCATAATATTCGAAGACAGTTTCAGTACGACTAAATAAGATCCGTAAGAATGGACGGGTAACAAGAAACCTAAATATTCTTGACCATACCTTAAAACGGCGAACTTGGGGATCATACGTAGTCTCGATTTCACTCGAAAAGCGTAGAAAAATTATTAAACTGGATTGAAGGACCTTCAAAAATTATCGTAGACGAATTTCAATTACTCATGACGCTGACAGAATATGCAAAAACGTAATATCTTTAAGTGCAAATATTTTTGCGCGAAAGTTCACGCTGCCAAAATATTGCTGAATTT